GCCAAAGAAAGAGCATGTCTACCCCACGAACCAGGTCATCTCATCCAAGTACACAATCATAACATTCCTACCCAGAAACCTCCTAGAACAGTTCAGGCGAATAGCGAACATGTATGTCTCCACTGTTAGCACCGCCTTACCCCACTCCACTGACTGACCACTTCCTGCAGTTTCTTTGCATTCATAGCCATCCTACAGTTCTTCCCCGAGTTTTCTACCATCTCTCCGGGTCTTGTAGTCATACCCATCCTCATCGTTCTCAGTATCACAGCTATAAAGGATGGCTACGAAGACGTCAAGCGCCACCAGTCGGACCGTCACGTCAACCATTCTCAGGCTCGCGTCCTCTCAGGTGGCGATTGGGTTAACCCGAATATGAACGGTAGAAAAAGTCGGACCTTCGTCAGGGGTATCATCCCAAGACAGCGTCCAAAACGGAAAGACGTGGAGGCAGGTGCTACAATCGAACAGGATCCTGATATCGAGTACGACCACAAGGATTCGATGGAGGAGGGTGAACATCATATGTTTGGGCATGCTGGTGAAAATGACAGGCCCCATTGGCACAAGACCAAGTGGGAGGATATTCGGGTTGGCGATTTTGTCAAGATCATGGATAATGAGCCTATCCCGGCTGATGTCCTCATATGCGCCACGTCAGAGGAAGATAACGTGGGGTTCGTCGAGACGAAAAACCTTGACGGAGAGACGAATCTCAAGTCAAGAAACGCATGTCCTGCCCTTACTGACCTCCACACTGCTGCCGATTGTGTTTCCAAACTCAACACATTCTCTGTCGAGTGCGATCGACCGGACACGAACATGTACAGGTTCAATGCCACTGTCACTCGCAATGGAGAAAAGTCCCCGGTGGATGTGCAGACGGTTCTTCTTCGCGGCACGGTACTCCGGAATACAGACTGGGTCATTGGTGTTGTTCTTTTCACTGGCGTCGATACCAAGATTGTACTTAATTCTGGTGGTACGCCCAGTAAGCGGAGTCGAGTGGAGAGGCAGATCAACCCCCAGGTGTAAGTCTTTTCTATCTTGGATCTCTTCTGTATCTGAATGCTCCACTTTCAGCTTGGCAAATCTGGCTATTCTGGCGATCATGGCAGTCGTGTGTGGTATCGCCGATTCCAAGATCGAAGCGACGCAATACCCAGAGGGTGCCCCTTGGCTATACGGCGATGACATTTCTAGTGATAACCCACGGATCAACGGACTGATCACTTGGGCTTTTGCGCTGATCACGTTTGTGTTCATGATACGATCTTTTATCCAAAACTCATCAGCCATAACAGGTTCCAAAATATTGTGCCCATATCCCTGTACATCTCAATAGAGTTCGTGAAGACGTGTCAGGCGCTCTTCATCTACTTTGATTATGACATTTTCTACGCCAAGAAGAACCAACCGACCATCGCCCGGAGTTACAACTTATCCGATGACCTCGGGCAGATAGAGTACATATTTTCGGACAAGACCGGTACTCTGACACAGGTGTGCCTGCTGTGGCCTATTTGCATCATTGTTTAATATTCTTCATAGAATTCTATGGTTTTTAGAGAATGTTCCATTGCAGGGACGGTATATCAAGGTGATCCCGAGGACGAAGACATCAAGAAACCCACAGGGAAAAGTACGGAAATCGTTCGTGAAGCCAGCAATGACTCCTCCTATGCCTCGACCTCCACCCGTGGAGATGATCCTGCCGTTCCATCCGCTGCGGATGCCACCGTCGTCAAACTCTCCAATGGCGTCCTCAAGCATTTCAGGGACGAGCGCCTTTCCCAAGATCTTGCACGTGCGGTGGAAGCCGAACCAGATTCGGAAAATGCTGCCCAAGCACGCTCGCTTAACGGCTTTTTCTCTGTCTTGGCACTCTGTCATACCGTTCTCACTGCTGTCGACCCTGCGACAGGCGCCATTGAGTACAAAGCACAATCACCCGACGAAGCTGCCCTCGTCCAAGCCGCCGCGGACGTTGGCTTCATCTTTCGTGGACGTGAGAGGGAGATTCTGCTTTTGCAGACGCCTTTTTCGAGGGAGATCGAGCGGTATGAGCTGCTTAATATCCTGGAGTTCACTAGTGCACGGAAGCGGATGAGCATCATCATAAAGAAATTGGATGAACAAGATGAGAGATTGTTCTTGCTCACGAAAGGCGCGGATAATGTCATCTTTGAGCGGCTCAAAGCTGGTGGCGATGATTTGAAACGAGCGACTGAGGGGCATCTGGAGGACTTTGCGAATGCTGGGTTGAGGACGTTGACTCTGGCATACAAAGTTATTCAGGGTAAGTTGGATTTAGCTCGTGCTCCCACTTGGCTAAAGGGTATGTGCAGATGATGAATATGAGGCCTGGTCTGAGCGCTATCATGAAGCCTCTACTGCCCTGGATGATCGTGAAGACAGGATTGAAGCAGTTTGTGATGAGATGGAGCGCGAGTTGCGACTGCTGGGCGCCACTGCCATCGAAGATCGCCTCCAGGATGGCGTGCCAGAAACAATTGCTGATCTCAAACTCGCGGGAATCAAAATCTGGGTTGCTACCGGTGACAAGCTCGAGACTGCCATCGGTGCGTATTCATTCTATTTTTCAGAAGCCCGTCTCACTAGTGTTTGATGCAGCTATCGGGCGCAGTACGAATCTCATTGCCGAGGAGTCCAATATCATCGTCATCCGCGGTGGCGACCGGCCGGTTCAACAACAGATGATTCAGGCGGTGGAGGAATTCTTCCCGGACAGCGGCATACTCGATGAACATGGCCTCGTCACTAGTGCATCCAAATCACCATCAACAGAATCAGCTAGTGCCTTTCCCATGCGGCGACTAAGCACGGGAGTCCGTGATATCGTCGGAGACGATAACGGTGATCGACCTGGGGGATTTGTACTTGTCATTGATGGTGCTGCACTGGACTACGCCCTTGCGGACGACGACGACAAGGCTCTCCTTCTCCGTCTTGCTACCCAATGCGAGGGCGTCATCTGTTGTCGTGTTTCTCCACTGCAGAAAGCGCTTGTCGTAAAGATGGTCAAGGACGGTCTTGGCGTGATGACCCTTGCTATTGGTGATGGCGCGAATGATGTCAGCATGATCCAGGCTGCGGACGTTGGTATCGGCATTAGTGGTGAGGAGGGTCTGCAAGCTGTCAACTCATCGGACTATGCTATTGCCCAGGTGCGTAATTCTACTCGATCTTGGATATGTCGCTCATAATAGGACAGTTCCGGTTCCTCAAGAAATTACTTCTTGTCCATGGTCACTGGTCTTATGCTCGTAACGGAATTATGTTAGTCCGTTCGTATCTCTACTTCATGCTGGTGCTGATACTCTTCGACCATAGGATTGTCAACTTTTTCTATAAGAATATTGTGTGTATTGGCGTTTTGTGGTGGTTCCAGATCTATTGTGGATGGAGTTCGTCTTAGTGAGCTATGCACTCGTCTCAATCCTGCGTAGCCGCTGACCTTTTCGCTTAAGTGTATTTGAGTATACTTACCTGTTATTCTGGAACTCGTTCTGGACGATTGCCCCTGTCCTCGGAATTGGTCTGTTTGATCGGATAGTTGGTAAGATCATATCACCAGACATACATGCTGCAGGTTTCTGATAAGCTACACAGATGCTGATGTTCTGATGGCCTTCCCTGAACTGTATCGTTATGGTCGCGAACGGACTTGGTTCTCTATGAGATTGTTCTTGATCTACATGCTTGATGGAGTCATACAAGTACGTTGCATCTTTCTTCGGGTCGTATCAGCACTCTGACATCCACGCAGTCTGTTCCACTATACTTTATCATCACTTATACATACTTCACGACTACTACTCGTAGTGACGGATACAGCATTGCATTGTATGAGTATTCGACTGTAAGCTTTATTCATCTGACCATTGTTTTGTTGTTGATGGTAATCCTCTGTAGACCATGGTTTTTGCCACCGTTGTAGCTGTTAGCTTGTTCAATGGCCTAAACACGAATGTCTGGACTGCCTGGGTCTTCTTTGCTGTCTTCATCGGTATTATCATTCTCTGGTTGTTCACGGTGAGTTCCTATCACTCTTTCTGTCGTTTATAAGACTCACGTCTCCACAGGTTGTCTACAATGCAATCAGCCCCGGATGGATAGTGACTAACGTTTACGGCAACAATCACTACCTGTTCACGTCGGCTTACTTCTGGTTGAGTCAACCCCTTCTCATCGCCATTGCTCTCCTTCCACGATATCTCTATCGCGCATGGCAATTGGGTTACGCGCCTGGGGACCTAGAGATACTGCGCTACATCCGGAAGACACAGCCTGACCTTGACATGACAACACTTCGAAGTGAATCGATGCGCTCCAAACCGTATGCGTCTTCAAGACGTCGTCCGTCCTCACACGCGTCACGGACATCAATCGCTTGTTCCAGCGTCGATAATCTGTCATTGGATTTACGGAGAACGCAAGATCCGCGTTGTGCGAGCCGAACTGACATGTCCACTGGTATTCGCTCCGTGCACCGCGGATTTGACTTTGCGACAGAAGAAGGTGGCGTTGCAATGAAGCGCATGCAGACCAATCTGTCAGAGCGCAGACAGAGTAGCCGCAACCTGCCTTCACTACGGCCGAGCTCGCCGACTCGGAAGCGCAGCCTACGTTTGTTCTCCTCTTTGCGTCGCAAAAAGTCGCCTACTTTCAAGAAGGATGATTGATGAGATTTTATGATATGCCTGCCATGATTTGCTTTTTTACATTTTATCAATCATTCATCGCATTGTGCTACTCATCGCCCCCCTTATTCCCACTCCACGTGTATTACTCACTGTATTCCTCTTCCACTATTTATGATATTGAGTTATCTACTATAACACTTCGACGACAGCACATATCTGATGAATAGATATCAGCATTGTTAATACACTGAACTGGGATAAAAATAAAACAATAAAGATAGGGCAAAAAAACAAGATAACAAGGGATCAGATCAATCATGAGATATAGGTCTTTCAAACTTCGGGACTGTCGCTGTTCTGCGAGAACTTGATCTTCTTCCTGGGGCTAGGGGTGGAAATAACGATTTCGGCGATGAACTTGCGCTTCTTGGGAGTTGATGGTTCGATAATAGCAGCTGCAGGCATACGACTCGGTGTTGGAGTGTATGCGGAGGATTGTGAGCGAGTAGAGTGTCTAGAAGAAGTTCCTTCGTCTTGAACGTCGTTCATGCGCGCGGGGAGTGATGCAACGGGCAGAGCATCAGCGTCATCCTCAGATTCGCACATGCGCTGCACCTGCTCTTCTTCGGAGTCGGATTCGTCAGTACTCTTGGCTTTGCCTCGTCGCTTCTTCGTGCTTTCCTTCGATTTCCCCTTCTTCCCTGTCTTGTGCTTATCCCCCTTTCCCTTCTCATGAACTGAACACAACTCTACTGCTGCTCCGGCTCGGAGAAGGACGTCGATCCAGAGCTGTGGCATTTATGAAAGTTAGATGGGATACGCGCAAAGAAGCTCGCTGACGACGACCTTTTGATTTTCCTGAAGAGTATCACCTGGGCCCTTAACTTCGACGAACTTGCATTTCCCTGTATCCGCATTCCATACAAAGAGATCTGGCCCGCCTGAGCAGCGCCCAGCATAGTCTTCACAAAGAAGATGACATATCATAGACAGCGCTGTCCCGCCAAGACACTACAACTGCGTCAATTGCCGGCCTGCTCAGAACTGAATTCGCACTCACACGAACTATCTCTACGATCTCCCCTTCCTCTACCAACTCCCAATCTACACCTACGCACCATGTCTTGCGCGCTTTATGCTCTGCTTCTACTCGGTTCACAATTTCCTCTCCTTGTCCATCCTCGAGTTCCTTGAGCCTTATTTCGATGGGATCTCGTCGAGCATGATAAAATGAGTCTTCCGCCATATCCAATGGTGCAGTCTGGAAAGGGGTCTCGAAGGCACCGGGGATGGGGAGGAAGATGATATCCCAGAAGAGAATACCAAAGAGGGTAGTGATGATTCTAGTTTCTGAGTGTATGCTGCGGAATTGAGTGGTCGTGAAGGTGGAAGGCGAGAGATAGACATACCCTTTGAACCCCTGGTCCTCGTACCATTGTAGTGCGAGTGTCTCGACATTCACTTCTAGGTTGTCTCGTCCGACCCAGATGGACTTTCCTTTCTCCTCTTTCCATTCCCTGGTCTAGGAACAGGTCAATGTTTAATTTCTCATCCGTAAAACGAGAGCTCACTTCGACTTTGATCGAGACAGGCGTCGCATTCACTTTTGTAAAACCAGGCTTTTGTGGCGACAAAAATTTAGTGATGTCTCCTGCTGGTGTAATAGAAACTTTCTGTTTGGCAGTGTCGTTGATTTTCCTCCCAGAACGGTCGAGTTTTAAACTCGCTGCACGGTGGCGCACACGCACACCTTCAAGGGAGACCAGCACAGGGGGTTGGAGGTTCCATTCGCTCGTATGTCGATCTGCAGGATCAACTTTGAGTTTTTTCTCAAGGGCTGTCAAGCGGCGGTCAAGTTTGGGACGAAAGACTATCGAGTGATCAGTCAGGATGCGACAGCTAGCTTCCGGATCCCAACCCACCAATATGTGTATCATCGTCTTCTAGAGCATCGAGACACGCCGAAAGCGCGTCATCATCTCTGGCTACGTATCTCCCTAGGATCAGCACCCGGCGCTCGTGCCACCTCCCCCGTCGTCCGCGACGCCACCAATTCTGCGCAAGTAGGGACTCGAGAACACTGAGTTCATATTCATATTCCCCGAGGATACCGAGTGCATGCGCGCCTTTACAAACGAGGCGAGTTAGGACATGCCCTACACAAACGTTAACCAAGTGGGTACATGCGGTGGATTGGAATATACATACCGCTCTCAAACCTCTCCAATCCATACCCCCTCTCTTTCCCCTCAAGACCACCTTCACTCTTCATCTTCACCAGAGCCTGCCAGTGCGGGTACACCTCCTCAAAGATCTCTTTCACTAGTCGCGCCCCACGCACACGCACAGAGTCTGAACTCTCAATCTTGACAGTCACACCAGATCTAGATTGCGGCTTGCCCTTGCCATTTGAAGCAGGTGTTGTAAAGGTACTTGACACAGGGATCGGCACAGTCTTCGTAGAAATCGGTGTCTGCGGTGCTCCAGGTGCAGCATTTGGCGTGACTGGTGTCTTGAATCGGAGTTCATCTGCGGCTGGAGTCTTGAATTCCCTCTCGGCTCCCGCCACTGCAAAGTTCCCGTCGAACATGGCATCTACAATTTCTTCCTGCTCAAGCGCTTGTTCGTAAGCGAGAAGGGCATCACGTGTAGGCCAGATATCCTTTGTACGTATGAAGGCTATGCTTGCGTAGGAACGCTTCTTAAACCGCGAGAGCAGGGCGGGCAGAAGAAGACTCTGGGAGGATTGAGTCCTACATTATGAGTTAAATTGTGGTGTAGGGAAAAAACGAAAAAGGCACAAGAAAACGCAGAGGGAGAAGAGGAGACGCACAGCCTGAAATAAATTATGTTTGCCCGCCGCACTAATCGGTAAAAGCTCTCATGTACACGCACGCACTTGCCGAGCGTGCCGAGAACAATATCGCGCAGTCGTTTCTGGGCTGTCTCGCGACCGAAAGGGAGGGTAGCTTGTCGGAAAATGGCTGCTGATGATGTGAAAGTTGTAGAAATTTTGGATATCGACCGAATCTTGGACGTCGTCGTAGCACAGGCAAATGATGACACTAGTGTTGACTGCGTGCAGGAACCTCTTAGAAGGGCATGTATCATTTCGGGCTGTATTTGTGGAGATTCAAAAGATGACGACTAGATGTGACAAGGACTATGAGGACGCACTTTTGAACTAGCTTTGACACGCATCTGCTTCGCGATGCACCGTAGTTCGTCGACTCTGAGGCACTCAAGGAGGGCAGGAAGGTCCATTTGAGACTCGTCTTCTGCTAGGATACCTGCGGGCTCTGGGAGTGTTTCAACATAGTTCATAAGCTTGGTGTCAGCCATAGGAAGGTCTTTAAGCTTTATAGAAGAGGGACCAGCAAGAGCATTTGCAGCAGAGAGCGTTGCATCTAGGGACATTGGAATTTCCTCAGTCTTGATAGTGGAGGGTTCTGGTAGTGCGGGTTGATGCAGGTGCAGTGTAGGTATTACCTGAGGTTGAAGAATGTGTGAAGGTAGGTAATGTGGTGGGTAGACATCATCCGTGAGGTCTATTATTTCCCTTTCTACGCTCATGTTAGTGGCCCTTTCGTCTATAGCGTCCACTTTCATTTGACCTGGCACAAAGCACATCTCATTGATAGCTTGAATAAGCCCTTCTTTGCTGCCTATTTCAGCTTCATATTTGAGTGAGTCTAGACGGTGCCATGTATTGGGTTTTCGCAGGAGAAGCTTCGTCATAAGAAACTTTGCGCTAGCTTTTTATCACTGAGTTTAGCTCATAAAGTTATGAAAAATAAACATACACGAAAGTCTGTCGTATCTCTGGAAATAATCGAGTTCTGAAAGGTCGAATAAATGACCCTCAGTCTCTACCAAAGTCCTGAGCATATCTGAGTTTGCGTGTCCTTAAGATACTTGATAACACAATCTTGATACACGACGCACCTTCAAAAAGTTGGACATATATATTGACGACCTTCTTGTCAGATGCATCTCCTGTCTCCCGATCGTAGTTCAAGTTGGAAGGCTCTGCCAGGCGCTCGCCTTCACATATTTGGGTTTCGTATGAGTAGTCGCTTCCAAATTCGCCGCCAGAGAATATGAGCGTGCTAACTGAGGCCGCTTTTGGTGAACTTGGGCTCATTGTCTGTGTTGGTTTGATCTTGATGTGAGCGTGTCTTGGGCGTGTCTCGCAGGCGTATCACGATCACGTGGGTTTCATTTGTCTTGGTTCCCAAGTTAGGAAAGTCCAGTGTTTGACTACTTGAGCTTCATATTTATTGGCCGCAGTACTTGTACCATGACCATGGTGACGGCTCCAAGCAGCATTTTTTCAAGCATGTTGATGCGCTCTACGTCTTCCACTACGACCAGGAACACACCAGACGTTCAGCGCCAAGTACTCCCGTTCCTCGTTACCCCAAACTCCGATTCAATTTCAGATGCTTGTGTCAAGGCGTCTTATCGTGCCCTACTGCCAGTGCTATATCACTTCGTACAAATAGGAAACTTCAAGGTTTCAAGGTTGTCAACAGTCGCGCGGTATCCTCCATGGCTGTTTTTTATATCTTTGACACAAACCATGCAGCGGCATTTCCACGGGGCTTATCTGATCATTTGGATTCTCGAATTTCTGGATCACGGTAGACCTCCGTTCAGACTCCATGGAGACCACTTCTTTTCATTTCTGTTATTCTAGACCCCCGACCGAGATCCCTCCTAGCCCACGCACCAAACGAAATCAGTTCTTTTGTCCGGTGTCTCGCAAGGATGACTCACTGCCAAAATCTTCTTCCCCCCCAGAAATGCCACAGTAGATCTGCGCCCAAACACACCCTTTCGGTGCAATCCCTCGCTTCAAAGCACACACAATCTGTAGCTCATCTGTCCCTCTCACCGTCATTTCAAGATCTGCAACGTCCATTACGACTCGAATCAGGTGTTTGACTTGCAACTTGGGAACCACAGCACGGCCTCCCCTATCTCCTTATCATCCTGCGCCGCAACGTGAAGTTTAAGAGTTACCAAAGCCAAATATACACTAACGCCAATTCCTTGACTCAGAAAGCGCATGCCAACAATCATCACAGTGGACATTGCAAGTGTGGGTGATCCGTCCCCAGAGTTCAAGGGCAAGATCGTCAGATTGATCAACACCAAAACCAGCAGATATGCTCAATCAAAAGAGGAAACGAGCATAGTAAACAGTGGAGGTTTGCGCCGAAGTACTATTTTGACAACAAATATACCAGGGCGGACACTAGCATGTCGTTCAGTCACGGATTAGTTGCTTTGTCCTATCAATAATGTTCGCAAGTAATTGGGCCGAAGGCTACATGTCATTGTTGTACAAGCCACTCATGCACACGGATTAAAACCCCTGATGGAGATTCCGTGTGTGCCCTTCCTCACCGTACAGATCGCCAATATGCACTCACCAAGTGCTAAAAGACAAGTACTGACGCTGCGTATTTGCAGGTCTAGCTCGAGCCCGTTGGTGAAGAGGTCCCCATGCAGCTCTGGAGGACGTCAAACTTACAGTTATATTAACATTGTCGTGGGTGAGCATAAAAACACGTTTTGGGCTGATAACCACGTAAGACAGAGGAGGGGTGGTAGGTCTAATATGCACGCTTGAAAGAGATCTTTTCAAGGGTGACTCGTGAGTCTTCATTTCGATACACTTCTGATTTTGGAACATACAGGACACACATGAGAACAAGGATCGTCACCCGGTGCATCACACCCTGAAACAAAATATAGTTCGGGGTGAGAAGTCAGAAACTCTAACCAAGCACAGTACTTTGTGGTGGGCGCTGCGCTTGCAACTCGAAGGCGTCTGCCGCTAGGACTGGTCCACCACGCGCATCAGGAGGCGGCATCTTGGTTGCACCTCCGCATACGAGGCCTTATTAGTCCTCATTAATCACTAGTGAGCTCGGTAACACTCACTGATATGTGCTCGAGTGACTGCTCAACTTTGCCTCCACGGTGAGACAGACTCGTCGTCTGAAGTCGGTGCCGAGCTTAGCTCCGCCATAAGGGTAATATTCTAATCCAAGACTATCCCTCAGGCCTCCCTGTAGAAAGTGAAACTAGAGAACAAGTCTCAGCGTCGTGGGGAAAACCGCTAACATTGATAGATAGTACCTAAAGAACAAGTCTAGACGAAATACAGCGAGGAAGAGCTCGGCGTGCAAACTAAATATGAAACATCTCAGCGTCATGGAGAGAACCGCTGAGGTATAGACAACGAGACAACGAGATTATGAGTCACAGTATAGAGACCAAGACGCCAAAGACAGAAATAGAACGATGTCGGACACTCCCTAGGCTTCAGGCTCAAATTGCGTTTCTGGAATTCTATGACAAAAATGTTACAGCCCGACTTGTGACTCACTTGGACCTACAACACTCCTGTCCGCTACCGCCGAGCGCCTCACTCCTCGGGACAATCAAACAGTTTGCAAACACGATAGTGAGCAGCGACCGCAGTCTGAATGTCACTTGGTAGGGCGCTGCGAACAATATTTTCGCCACAAGTGTAACAAAAGTGAGTGTTGCAGGCCGGGGAGATGCACTACGACAGTATATACGTTAGAACGGTGTGCTTGTCAAGAAGTAGATCACGCACGGCCACATGGGTGCATCCCCCGTCTCTCTGGACTGGTGTTTTGCAATCTGTCAATGACCATAAGTAATAGCGAATAACCAATAGGAAGAGTACATACTCGGGCAATACCTCCACCCACGCTGCTTCATTAAATGGTCCAGTTCCGAGACCCCGTCACAAGAATGGGGGGGACCGTCGGTTGTGAGAGGTTGCTGGCATGCTTTGCACCAAGCATGGTCACAATCGGGTAAAGGACAAACTAGCATGCGAGATTCGTCATGCTCCTGTCTATCTACCGGCACCGAACGCTGACACCTAAAACGACATGGTTGACGCACTGGAAGGTAACACAGGCGAGACACTCACTTGCGGCAGTGAAGGAGAACTGAAAACTGGCTTAGTTCCATTTCTTCCCAAATCGCATATTGCCGCTCATCGACACCAATTTGCTGCACGAGGAGTCCCGAGATCTCTAAGGAGGGTGAGTTAATAACAGGTGTTACAGATGATGTACAAACCTGCAGGTTGACGGTCATTCTTTTCTGTCATGCAAACGGGACACAGGACTGGAAAACAATGTTCTTCGATCTTTGAGAAAATATGTCCTCGGATACAGGTTCTGCATATCGAGTGGTTACATTCAAGATCCAGACTGTTGTCCACAGGTTGTTCTTCCATGCATATTACGCACGAAAAATTGTGTGGGAGTGAGGCAGCCAGAGTTTGCATCTGATCTCGAAGTTGCAAATCTTCAATGTCGAAACATTGCTGCAACTCGAGGGCCGCCGCTAAATTCAGGCTGTCAAACCCCCACTCATGCCCTAAGTCTTCCTTGACTGCATCATAGAGTGATGACCATGCTTCTGCATCGTGACCGCAATCATTGTTCATTATTTTGTCGGATGACGAGGACGAGCTGAGCGGAGCCAATCGCGATGGTCCAGCTATTCCGTTGGAGGGACATGAAGGGAGGGGCTGTGAAGTGAAGTGCCATTTTCTGCTGCTCTGCACGATCTTTGAGGATGCCTCTGACCGAACACTTTTTGATTTTGTGTTGCCCATTGACTTGAAGGGAAACAGGCGCTCGACCTATGTAGAGTTTGGAACGAAGCTCAACACAAGTAGCGCAAGCTGCACAAGTAAATTTTCAGAGTCAAGTAAGCCCCAGATACGGAGGGGGTTACAGGAACCAGGTCCCGAGAGACAGCGAGAGACTCGCAGAGAATTGGAGAGATCGATGATAATAATCAAAAGTTGGGTGACTCCCAATTAACCCAATTAACCCCTAGTACACTAACCCTACTAACCCTTCCAAAATCGCAGATATATGTAACTAACCTCTTAACCGGCGGAAGGGTGACCACTGACGAAGGGCCGACGGACTCGAACCAAGCAGAAAGCAAACACAGATGGAATGGGGTGAAGACTGAACGTTGAACATGTGCTAGCGGTACATATAGTACTTCGAGGCCCAGGCAAAACCCCTGGCACCCCTTGCAAACCTGAGACACCTGGTCAAACCTCGGCACTCTACTTTTCATTTCTGTCGTTCTAGAATCTAGACCCCCGACCACAGATCTCTCTTAGCTCGTGTACCAAACGAAATCAGTTCTTTTGCCCGGTGTCTCGCAAGGATGACTCACTGCCAAAGACTTTCTTCCCAGAACTGCGATGTTTGCCCAAACACACCTTTCAAGCCAATCCCCTGCTTCAAAGCATATAAGATCGTCTTGTTTAGCGGTCGTCTTCGCCAGAACCAACCCTCAATCAAATTTACCCTAAGTGGCAGGATTGAAACTCATCTTATTATGTCTGTCCCGCTTACAGTTACTAGTAATTGCAATATCTGCAACGTTCATTGCGTCTCGAATCAGGTGTTTGACTTACAGGTTGGAGGTCACAACCTAGTCCTCCCTATCGTCAGTCGCCGCAACGCGAAGTTAAAGAGCTACCAGAGTCGAATATTCGTTGATGATGATTCCTTGATTCGGAGGGCGCAGGGTAACAATCACCACGGTGGACATTGCAAATAAATGTGGGTCCCGAGAGTTCAAGGGCAAGATCGTCAAATCGATCAACACCAAAACCAGCAGATATGCGCAGCCAAAGAAGGAAACGAGCACAGCAAGCAGTAGAGGTTTGTGCCGAAGTGCTATTTTGATAGCAATAGCCCTCCGGGTATCCCAGGACCCTTTCCAGGATTTGCGTTTTGTGGTGGGCGAAATCCTTCATATCTCCGTTTCTTTCTCTTCCTTATCTGTCATTGTCGCGCTCTCACATGCAGTCCGTCATTTTGCTGCCTCGCTCATACAATTCAAGGTCATAGCTCAATGGCAATGTTTGCTCCGGCAAACAATCATTTCGCAGCAAATGCAGGGCTGCCGACACCATTGGACGATACTCGTAAGTAATTGTACTGAAGGCTGCATCCCGTACTTGTACGAGTCACCTCGTGTGCATGCAGGATGCACATGCAAACCCTTGATGGAGAGTTTGCCTGTGCCCTTTTCCACCACACAGATTGGACTCTGGTATGCACTCATCACGCTCCAGAAGATAAGTACTCACGCTGCGTATCTGTAGGTCCAGCTCAAGCCTGTTGATGAAAAAGGTCCCCACGCAGCTCTGGAAATTCCCCCCCATCTAAATGAAACAGTGCGGCAACGGTTCGAGTTGACGGATGACGCACTCAGTGAAGCTCCGTTGTGAGGTTTTAGCTGTTGGAGCCGCGTCTCGAGGGATAGCGGATTAACAGCTCGGTGTAGTATCGAGTTCCCGATCTTGTTTGGGCAGTCTCTCAGTGTGTAAATACAACGTCAATTTCTCCATCACGCTGGATAGTATGGCGCACCATACATAGCCAATTGATTCCTCTAGACGTACAGAACCCGATCGGAACACATCAAATTGTTCAATCGACTGGAAAGAAGCGGGGGGCTGAAAAGAATCGTACAACATTCTACTGGCTACAGTGCTAGGGTTAGTGCAAGAGGGTATCATACACACTAATACACCGATCCATCTCCTAAAATAACCTGAGGGACGCTCAGTACCCTCTTCGCAGCCTATCGTTTTCTTCCCGCAACCTCTCGTTCTCCTCCCTCAACTTTTTCACCTCCCCACCCCACTCATCCATCTCCTGCCGAAGCCCGCGCCCCATTCGCAGCATGTCCACGTGTAACGCTTTCATGTCTGCGTGGTTCTTGGCCTGCATATCCGCAATGAGACCCCGGAAAAGCTCGTACGCACCGCTTGCGCCAGATTGCATAGACAAGGTGCCGGAGGTTTGCCGGAGTGGTGATGGAACACAAGTCTGTGCTGCGGGGCGGCGAGGGGAAACTTGCATCGAGAGCTCGCACTCATGGGTCACTTGCCCGTCTTCTTCGTCTTCTTCCACAGCGTCTAGCTCCTCATACTTGCCAGCATCTTCCGCATCCATATGATTGACCTCTTTTTCTTTCCCTTCATTCTTGATTTCCCTCGACTTTGCGGTACCAATGACACCAAGGACTGTGCTCCCCGTCTCTGTCCTCGTCCTCCCTGCACTTGTTCTTACCCTTGGTTTCTGGGCTTCAACAACTATTCCTGCTGCCTGTCTCTTCATGTTGGAGACAGGGGTTACGGGGTCTATCGGCAAATCTGGAGACGATAAATCCGTGCGTGCATCCTCGTCTTCGTTGGTAGGCGTCTTTGAGCGAGCGCTGTCCCTCGTCCTTGATGAAGAGATGGATATTGTCGACGGGGCGCGCTTTAACGAAGACCCTTTGGTTTTCGTGCCAACACTTGAATTTGACGACATCCTCGTAATATCAGAACGAGCAGACGATCCGGAAGCAACCCTGGTCTCTCTTGGTTTATCTGTGCGCAACGAGGCCAGTCTAGCGGAGATCGACTCGCCAGGGTGAGCATGAATACCCGATACCCCTGATTTTTGGGACGATGCGGCGCGTGCACTCGATCGCATTGAGGTGCCACTTGCATCATCAAAGATGTTTTCTTGCGATGTAGACACCCTGGTGCGCAGCATGCCAGTTGCTAGTTTTGAGACGCATGTTAGCGACCTTCATAAATATACTGCATAAAAAATTACCCACCAGAACTATTGGTACTTTTGCCACTACGCGGTGATATAGGATTCCTCGATGGCGAGAAAGTTCCTCTGTTTGAGACGCGCCTAGTCGGCGTACTGGTCTCTAGTGCATTCCGCTTCGTAGGTGCCCCAGCGATGGATGTCTTGATTGACGATATCCCATTCTTTCCCGGTACAGCAGCTGTCACAGGTCGGAGGGGGGAACGAACGTTTGAGGCTACTTTGGCACGAGCACGTGCAGGAGGGGAGTTTGCTAGTGGATTGGAAATACTTGGTTTAACAGCAGACGCAGAGGCTTTTAGTTTTTTCTGCTTTTCTCGTCAGATTGGGAATGCTAGCAAATGCAGCGTGCCAGAGACACATACCTGAACAGCAAGACATACTACTCCTTGTCCAGCCTCGCCTACAGAAACTCTCTTCATTTCCTTGTCCAGTTCTCTGAGATTGAGAATCCTCAGTCCATCCCGCACACCGAGGTAGATAGTTGCACCCTCAGGTGAAAATGTGATCGAGGTAATGAGCTGCGAGGACAAGACTGTCTTGAATAACCTATGCCAAGGGTGTTAGTGCACAATGAAATGGAATGTGTATACGTACCCCTTATCCTTATCCAAATCAACAAGGCCGACGCTATCTGTACTTGCAACGGCAATAAGCGTCTTGCTAAACGGGCTGCAGGCGATGCCCACTACAACTCGACCCATGCCAATAGGTTTTACAGGCGCAAAAGGCTTTTCCACATCATAAACCAGTATATCACGGCCAAGACCAAGAAGCAGGCGGGTTCGAACATGAGGATGGAATGTCATGGTGCTCACACACCTTGGAGCACTTGTGGGGAGGGGAAGAGATGTATGTTTGGCAGGAGCAAGTAAATCGTGAATATGAACGCCCTTTGAAGAGGCGGAAGCGATGAGTGTACTGTCGTTTGACACAGCCAGCGCGGTAATCATCGTTCCATGGGATTCGAACGTTTTGAGCACTTTTGTTGATCCAGTTGCGTATTCCAACACGATCACCTTTCTCCCGATGCCCAATACTACATTTCCTGATGGAGTTACTGCCATAGCATTTATCTCTCCTTCCTCCTTGGACTGCGCATATATGGCCTCATCTAATCGGCTTTCCGAGATTATGAAGCGATCGATGTTAAATGGAGAGGCAAGATAGAGAGATGCGTTATCGGGGGACCATGCTGATGCAAAATATTGGGATGGAAGAGGCTGGCTTATTGGAAGCAAGGATGGAGGATTCTTTAGCGTGACAGGAGGAGCCAGCGCGAGGGCTGTCGTGGTGACCAAAGCAAGCATGTTGTAAAATTATCACTGGTTAATTCTCAAGGAGTAGTTTACGGTGGATGAAGGAGTGCAAATAAGTTGGATGATAAATACAGAGAATTGATTGTACGAGTTCCACAGCGCACGACGAACAACACGCGTCGGTCACGTGGTACAAAACTTACGGAAACCAATTGTTCGCAAGACGCGTCAGTCACATGATGCAAACTTACGCAAACAATCCAAGTATAATCCAGACTTCAGTACTAGTACCGAGTTGATCACACCGTCCTCATCACAAAGGCCCGCGAAGCACTCGTATACCTACCTGCAGGAGCTCATTTCACTCTTTCTTCCATCCGCGGGCGGCGTTTTCTGTTCCGTGGTGATGGAAACAAGGATGCGAGAATATCGGGGATGAGTGCCTGGGTTGGCACCACCTCCACATAACCAATTTTCTCGCAGTGCCGCTGTGCAGCAGAACAACATACTATGTAGGTAGTTATTCACTATTGTTCCCATGGAGGCTGATAATGCACTCCCAGTTGGGAGTATGGCTCGCATTACAGGGATGAGGACGAGTCGCTTCCGTTGCGGTTTTCCTGAATTTCTACCTTCTATATGCGATTTAGATCTGTAACAGTGTATTCTCGCATCAATTGAATATGCCATCCACCCTGCTATGCCCCCTGTTAGTTATCAAGCCAACTTGAACCAAAATCATTTTGAAGCAGGCACTGCTAAGCATCATGACGGAGAGCCTGTTTATTTCAAAGATAGGCGCGACGGCGATTGGACTCATTTCGCGGCTCTATACCCGTCCTAATATGTGGTAGTACAGGAACGAACTTCTAAGCAGTAGTCGACGCCCAAAAACTATCCCTCTCCGACACCAACTTCCACACGCGGCCTCCTCTCCGCCCCACCTCCTCCGATCACCATTGCCTACCCGTCCTTCCGCTCTTCCTCCTAGTGAATAGACAAAGTATTCATTGGTACGCCAGGGAGAGGCTAATTGCGGGCGAGCAGCTGCTTACGCCTGCTGTTCTCGTAAGATTGAGCTGGTTTGGCTTTGAGGTGCGTACCGTCAAAGCTACCAAAAACCACGACGTCCCTCCCTCGTGTGACCCATCAGATGTTTTCAGGTAGACAATTTGTCAAATCCAGAGAGGACGAGAACACATGAGGTCGAAAGTAATGGGATGCAGGCAGTGTAGCAGGATGCAACCTGTATGCATAAACCCAATTGTAAGATGCAGGGAGCTTGAATGATACTAAGAAAAATCAAAAGGTCGTGAAGCGAGCAGCAAACATTATCCGCACTAGGTAGATTGGCCACAAGTCACTCCGCCCATCACTCCAAGAAAGTTCAATGAAAACCATGCGTCTGAAGTGAGGCAATGACTTGGATGAGTGGATTCGATTGCCGGCGTAGACTGAGGCTGTGAGCAAAGAACTTCAATGGAACCATTGCGATATCTGCAGCTGCGAAGCAAAGAAGATATGTATTTCATGACGAGGGCAGAAGATTCGGCAACAGGACTGCGACCCACCACAGCCCACGTAATCTATGCTCCTCCCATAACCCTTTTGCTGACGGAGACAAAAAAGACTTTGAGCTTGAATGACATCTCGGATTCACGGAGACGATGAAAGCGATTCAATGGCATCCTGGATTCACGAAGACAACAATTCCCTTCAGAGACGTATTCCCTTTCGGAGGCATATCCTCCTTGAGCGATGCATTGGCGATGTCCACCACTCAAGATCCATTATTCGAAGAGTCTGACCGCCTCAAAGGCCATAGATCCGCGGTATGGGATATAACGTTCATCCCTTGCACCCGTCTCCTTGTCCATTGCTCTGAAGACAAGTATTCGGGTATGGAATTTGGACACGGGAAAACATGCAGGAAAGCCCTTGCTGGGTCACGATTACGGATTCTGGGTAGTTGCAACGTCCCCTGATGGGCGTTGGATTGTGAGTGGAGAAGATAACGGAAGTATCCTGGTGTGAAAGTTGCGACAAGGAAGAGCGTGTCAGTCTCATCCGAGGGTCATGAGAGTGGTGTTGAGCCCGCCGTATTTGCACCAGACAGCGAGACATTTACAAGTGCATCAGGAGACAGGGGACATAATCTTGGGACCACTCAAAGTAGGCGACTGGACGAATTCGGTGGCATACTCTCTCGATGGGACAAAATTAACAGCGGGCACCGACAAACACATCATCATTTGGAACACAGCAAGTAGAGAAGAGTTGCTGAAAACAGAGCAGTGAGCGTTCAGAGTCGCATTTATTCCAGCATGTCTGAGAACCAGCCTTCATCTGGTGTAAGCGTCATCGACTCATCATTGCTGTCGCCGGTACGGATGGGGATGGGAACGCAGGTTTGCTGGCCTCGCCCTCGGCAGTACCGTGGTCATCCGGGAGGCCAGAAATGGGCTTAGGGTGGAATTTGCTGGTTGTCGATGTGGGGATGTTAATTGCGTCATCGTTGACTGTGGAAGGAAGCTGGTACTCTGAAAGTGGGAGAACGCAGGTTGTTGAGACAGTGGGATCGATGGTTGAGCCCCAGAACATGAGACGCCAGCCATGGAAAGTTCCATTGTGCCCTTCGGATGATGCGAGTGCGAGTGTGAGAAGGAACTTGCTGGACTGTATAAGATGTAGGCGATGCGATGTTGAGAACACGATTTGCTGATGCGTCGAAGGATGCAGTGGGCGTCAAAATAGACGCAGGCGATGTGGCACATGGTTGTGGTTGGGTGTTGGAGGGAGGGAGTTAAATAGCGCATGGATCGCAGCAAGCTGTACTCCCGTCGATAATCTAGATGGAACGTGAGCACAAAAAAAGGTTTCAATGTGTGGATATGAAGGAAAGGGAAGCGGTGCTCCACTACGCAGTCTCGGGGCGGGGACGGGCCATACCGGACTTTGTAGGGAGGGGAGTTTAAGCCAACCAAAAAGAAATGATGCTCACCAAGACCATCATATGCAGGTAAGGTGAAGGCAGGCAACTAAAATCCGTGACACCCACTTTAGTGGGAGGAGGGTTTTGTTGGTTGAAATCGTCCAAGTGGCAGGGTTCCGAGTCGCATTGAACGCGGAAGCTACGAAAACGCGCAGTGGGAACTCTTGACGAAAATACGCACCGCGCAAATAATAAATATTCAGGTGTTACACCATATCACCACTCCCTTTATGATGTTATACTTGCACATTTATTATTGCGCGTTGCGCAGTCTGCGCGGTGCGCGTTTCAAGTGACCCGTTATTACCGCAACCTGCGCGCTGCCCTTTGCGAAGTCTGCGCGCTGCCTTGAAGTCTGCGCGCTGCCTTGAAGTCTGCGCGCTGCCTTGAAGTCTGCGCGCTGCCTTGAAGTCTGCGCGTTGCCCGTTCAAATTGATGACCTGGGGCTCTCGCCATGTGGATCACTTGCATCTTAATCATTAGGACAAACCTCCTGAAATTCGACTACTAGTAGTAGTGAAAGGACATCAATTGTAAAATACATTGCACGGTACTATGCTTATAATGATGAATCAGAAATTAATTTTTCAGCGAGACGGTCACAAGCTTCTTCGACAAATTGCTCTGCGTGGTTAAATGCGGCTCCCTGCTCAATGATCTTGAACATCAGTTCCTTGCACCCTCCACTAACACGCCCGAACTGCAAATCTTTGAAGTGTTTGACAGCTTCACAATATGGTTGTGGGTTTCGTCCATCGAGAAGGAAATGAGCCATGCCATTCCACCAGATAGCGTGCCAGTCCTTGTTACAGCCAACTGGATCTTGGCAGTCGCTAGTGTGGATCAAAATTTTGGGCTCCTCCGCAGCCACAATACGACGATGTTCTTCAAGAGCTGCTTGCACATAGACCAAGCTTGTAAATACATTGTTCCCTAAGAGTTGCCAGTGTTGTGCAGTCAATTGGGTAATGGGAGTGTTGACGAGTTGCTTGAAGGTGAATGGGAAAATTGCACCCGTATTATACTGTATGGCAAGGTTAATGAGCTGAGCAGGGTGGAAATGATATTGAGTAGATTGAATGCATGAAACCACAAATTTCCGCATGTGCGAGCATTGGTACATATCGCAGAAATGGAGAAAGTTTGACAATTCTTCAAGGGTGTATTGACCGGCGCATGCTCTGCAGCTGGTTTAGCAGCTTGACTCAACAAAAGCCATAGAACAACAACTTACCTGCCAAAGGTATGTTCAAGGAATAATTCAAACATCTCCCATGTTGTACCAGCAAGATGGATGGGCCTCTCATCACTTTTCCCGTCAATCTCTTCCAATCCAGCACTTTCCATAGCAGCAAACATGCCATTGAATGTTTCAGAATTTGAGGACAAGACCGAGCCACAGAGCCTATATAGCACATTATTGATCTGAGGGCACCCAAACTGTGTGAATGATTTAATATATCAATCAAAAAGCTTACCTGAAAGACATGACTTGCATTAGAAAAATAATAGACAGGATGTTGAGTTGGTGTGGTAGAAGCACCTAGGCCTGACATAGTCTCTGAACTGCAATGTTAACAGTTTGATGGGAAATCAAGTTTGAAAAATGTTTGACACAGTGTAGCACATGATCATGTGAGTTGTTACTTGAAGGAGAATATTCACTCCGACACCTACTCACTTCTCATCAACACCTGCTCACTTCTCATCAGCACTTACATCAAGGATCGTCCCCATCTAGTGAGAGAACAAGATTGAGAGAGCCAATGACCAATACTGTGCAAATCTCGGCATGAAGTATGTCAAATTTCGGTCTCTGTCTTGGTGTTCTCGTCCATGTGTTGTGAGTCATGTCATGTTGTTTGCAACCTCCATGACAATCATCCCCATCTAGTGAGAGAACAAGATCGAGAGAGCCAATGACCAATACTGTGCAAATCTCGGCATGAAGTATGTCAAATTTTGGTCTCTGTCTCAGTGTTCTTTGAAGCATATCATTAGCCAGGCTGTTGTCATTGAGCAGGAATTTTCGACAGGTTTGTCATTACTTTCATTCTGTCTATCTTATGCCAACTGTTTCTCTGGATCCTCTCCCCATTGGCCTCATTGGCACAAACATTGGGTTAGAATTCCCCCATGCACTATACCTCATGTCCATTATGTTTGCCCATGTGCTATACCACATGTCCATTATGTTCGCCCATGCACTATACCTCACATCCATTATGTTCACCATCGTGCTCCTTCCCCCATGCACTATACCTCACGCCCATTATGTTTGCTGGACTTACCTCTGCATCAGTTCATTCTAGATATTTTTCATGATGGAGAACATTCACATTCTGGTCATTGGTAGTACTACTAATTTCTCTATGTAGTGTATATATGCAAATGACTCACTGTAAATGTGTTCAGATTGCAATGTCTGTGTGTGTGAGTGTGAGAGTCTTGCTGCTACTTGAACTTTAAGTTGAAATCACAGTTATCGTGACTCGGATGCCTAGTATGCTACCACAGATGCTTCCTCACTTTCCACTTTGCACAATGGCCCATACTCCATGGCCAGCTAACTTCCTTGTTGCCTATGATACATTATCAGACATTTACAGGCATGCTTATCACATTCTGAAACACGAGGATGCAGACCCTCTTCAGCTCACATATCATTTAGAAGCCATAACAGCTGATGCTATACCATTACTCGAAGCATTTGAAGTTGATCCTCGAGGATTGGAAGTGTGGGACTGGCTATCTGATGCAGCTACTTTACTGGGGAACTTGTCTGTCCAACTATCGTCATTTCGACAAAATATTGAGACTCGGTGTGTTTTGTTCTCACCACTCCATTAAGCAATCACTTACTGCATTGACAGGGTGGATGGTGATATTGTATTTGCCAAACCTGTGACCTTGTCATGAACAAGCTGTGCAAGTCGCCCAAAGAAGATTATAGACCTCAAATTCCTTGCTGGCGCATTGTCAAACTCTTGACAAATCAAGCTTAGGGAACTGGTGGACATATTAGGAGCTCACAGGAATACTTTGCGTCTCTATATGAAATGCCATGGTATCCAAAGGAAGTACTCTGAACTCACAAATGCTGATCTCAATGTTCTAATCAGCAAGTTCAAGAAAAGGTGCCCAGACTCTGGAATAAGATACATTATTGGGCATCTTCGCAGGCATGGCATCCGCATGCAACATCATCGAGTGGTACATTCACTTCATTGAGTAGACCAGTTAGGTCAGGTGCTGCGAGATTGACGAGTCAAAAGACAGCGCAAGTATTATGTCAAATGGCCCAATGCACTCTGGCACATGGATGGCCATCACAAACTAATTTGATGGGGGATTGTAGTTCATGGATTTATCAATGGCTTTTGCAGAACGGTAAATATATGTTTCATGTGCTTGTAAAAAAGTAGTTTATTGATGCAGCCTCTTTTCTATTAGATAACAGCATTGAATGTTAGTAACAACAACCATTCAGCTACTGTTTTGGACTTATTCAAGCTTGTGATCAGAGAGTATGGTACTCCTTCTCATGTGCAAGGTGATCATGGTGGAGAAAACCTCGATGTTGCCACTTACATGATTATGAAAAATGGACCACACCATGTGTCATTTATGTGGGGATCATGAGTTTTTTCTTGCTTGAATTGTTTGAGTTGCTGACTCTGTGCCTAAGCTCTACATGAAACTCTCGAATTGAGCGGCTGTGGGTTGAAGTTGGCACTCAATTCACCAGGCGATGGAGGGCCTTCTTTACTCAACTCGAAAATTGGCATATGCTTGACCCTCAGAATGCTAATCATCTTTGGTTGCTTCATGCACTTTTCCTTGATGATGTCAATCAGGATTGCTCCAACTTTCAGGCAGAGTGGAATTGCCATCCAATATGGGGTCCTGACACGAATGACAAGAGTCCAAAGGTAAGCTCATGAGTTGTATTTCAACTTGCCCAAAGACCTTAATTTATTCAGGACCTATGGTTCCTGGGACAAACACTATTCAGCGTGTATCATGACAATTGTGAGGGTGTTCACCCTGATGTAATTGAGGAGTACTATGGCATTCATGGTCGCCCTGCATCCCGATGGCCATACCAGACTAGAGCAGGACATCCTGCTGACGAAGATGAAGATGTAGATGAACAGTCGCCTGACATTATCAAGTCAATCAATGATCAGCAACGGCAGCATGTCCATCATGAAGCCGTTGGAGTTCCTTCACATAGGAATGCTTTTGGTGCTGATGAAGAGATGCAAGGGCAATTTTTTGCTGTTCTTGCCAAAGTTGTTGCAAGGCAAATCACACCAGCACACTGCCAACTGACACCAGATGAATGGGAAGGTGATGAGTATCCTATTTTTGAGACTATATGTGCTGGTCGACAAGGTTCAAAAGAGCTTCAAGTCTCCCTTGTGGAACCAATTTGGTTTCATAGAGCGACATTATGGTGTCAAGCCTTACTAGTTTTGACTACGTTTTTAGCCAATAGGGAGTAATTGGAACATGTACTAGTTAAATAATTTTGCATTGTAAATTAATTCTGTGTCTTGAAGTCATTCCTATACCTCAAGCTTCCCTGATGCGACTTGCTTGACCTGTCCCACAAGCAACAGTATCACATGGACCATGAAAACTTCTGCAGAGCAGCTGATCCTGAAGGTCAACTTTGCGACTGTGAAGATTTTTATCCTTGACATGGGGATGAAGGACACTGTGCTGAATGTGGGCATGGACGCAGTAAACATCCTTGGACTCAGAAGACAGCAGACATTGGACATTCCAAAATACCCCAGGATGAAGAGGCTTGCCCAAGTTCCTCCAGTACTGCTGCAGTGAAAGAGATCTTTAACTGTGTAACTGCAAAGTGGGGAGGCTTGATTCTCTCAACTAAAGCTGCCAGAGATGAGGCTTTGTCAACACTTGCTTCTACCCATCTCGCAAATTACAGCAAACTGTCAAAGGGCCCAGGACCATCAGCTGGCTCACAAAAGGTAATGCACCATCAATATACTAACAAATTTACCTGTGCATTCACATTTTCTCTAGACTCAGAGGGATACTACCGCTAGTTCACAACCTTCTGGGAGCCAGGCAAGACAGAGTACTACTACCACCTCTGGAGTATCCAATTTCCGTGTTGCATCAGTTGGCATGCTCATTTGCGGAGTTGATGTTAGTCATGAACCTTCACCTATGCTTGAAAGGGTCCACATCACTAACATATCTTCAGAGACATGGCACTATTAGAGTGTTGAAAGCCCCATCAAAAAATGGTATGAATGAGATCCAGGCCATGAAGAATCGCGGATGCTATGTGGATGAACAAGCAACATTCTATCACGACTGGTCATATGCCTGGGTCAGTCAATTACTATGCAAGTTATTTCCAAAGGTCTTCCATTACCTTGATACCAAGAGACCCAGGAATGTGTCATCATTGTCACAGTCGGCAGCAGGCCAGGAAGAGAAGCCGCCTTGGAGGCTCTTGAACAAAAGTGGTCAAGTACTGACTGCCGTTGACATTGCATGTCTGACTGGAACAGACTTAGCCAAGCACAAGGGCAGGGACAAAGCAAGTGTGACAGAATCTCACCTTTGGTTTGGTGTGGTTGCCACTATATACACCTGAGCGCTGTGCTAATAACTTGTGTTAGTCACCAGGAACTGTATTCCACAGCACATGTACGAATCCTGGAACACCCAGCCTGTTATAGCCGGTTCAGATTCTGAAGCCAATGATGATGGTTCAGAAATGGAACTTCTGTCTGATGCAGACAGTATCAGAGATGACACCAACCATAACCCTGAACTTGCTAGCTCCTTGATGGAGATGGAGTTGAGCGACTCTGGAGACTTTCACACTGACTACAAAGGCAAAGGAAAGCTGAAGATCTTGAAGACACCAATGGTCAATGGTACGTCTGTGTTCTATTCCACTTTCAGATTTGGACAACAGAATTAACAACTGCATATCTAGCCAAACGTACTCACACAGCACTCTCCCCTGATGAATCGCCGACAAATCCAAGAGTAGCATTGAAAAAGCTCAAGAGCAGTGTGTCCCTGTTGCCTTGGTAACATAAATTTGGACTCACAATTTTTATTCATTAGAAACAGCTGCCATCCCACTTTTCCTGCCTTCACAGTCCTCTCCTTTGCTCACTGACAGTTGGCTGAGCATTCTGAGTGTACCAGCTACATATGCAACATGCCCTGAATTATCCCGTCCAGCTACAATTGTCCCTGTGAGTGAGGATGATATTTTGTGGCACAACCAGCCTCAACCTGATGACCCTTTCGCACCAGTTATAGTCAATCCCTGGGAGTCCGAATATGTTATCAGGCCAGTTGATTATCTTTTTTAATGCTTTCGCATTTCAGTTTCTTGTCTATGTGTTTAATTGCTCTTTTTCTGTTTGTCTTGCACTATGCTTCACTACAGCAGCATGATACTTATGATACAAGTCTTTGAGCCATATAACTCAGGCATTGACAACTAATGATTTTGATTGTCATTACATCTACATACGACAAGGACAATAGTACCCTGCTTTGCTTTACTGTTGACTGATTTCGGACGTGCCAGCAGGACATGTGATGGCACAGCGTCTCACATGATTTTGTGGCCTGTTTGGACCCTCAAAACTACTAGCAAAAAAATTACTTACAAAAAACTTAAAAGCAAAGCACACAGACTTCACAAAGGACAACAAGCAGATATCAAGCAACACACAGACTTTGCAAAGGGCAGCGCACAGGTTGCGGTAATAATGGGTCACTTGAAACACGCACCGTGCAGACTGCGCAATGCGCAATAATAAATGTGCAAGTATAACATCATATCCTTTCATCCTCATTCCCCTCTTCATTGCCCATACCTCCATCTTCATCTCTTTCTTCACGAACAACTTCATTCGCAGGATTTGCATCACCAAGTCCATCCAAAGGGGTAAGCATGGCAACGTTCATGTGCCATTCCCAGCCATGTGCATAGCAAAGACAATGCCAAAGTCCTTGGTCTATTGTGAGGGTGTGCCAATGTTTAGAGACAAGACAACAGGTGAGCAAGGAAGCTGCTGGGAGATGCGCGAAAATAAGGAGAGAAAGTTCTGTGGGAAACCACTTCTTAGTCAGAGCTATTGGACAGTGGACACAACGTCAGACTAGTGTTTTTGCCAATTATGACAGAAATTTAACTGGGCGATGCTTCATGTGCACGACTCTTCACTTGCCTCTGACAATGTTGTAGTCTTTCTATTGGACACATTCAGTGTCTGAATGCGACGTCCAGTTCAGCGCTCACTGATTTTCCTGGTGAACCGGACATTTTCATCACTGTACATTTGTGGCTACTGCAACAAAAATCAATTCTGTTTCACATCTGATGTGTCTAGTTCACATCTAAGGCTATCTAAATCTAATCAGGTACCAGAAAGCTTACCTGATGCTGACAGATTCACCTGTTGCCAGTACTCTGCCTGCTAGCCTGGATGTTCTGAAATCAGGTCATTCAGATCACTCTGCACTTTTCGTGATGCAGGCTGCGCCACTTTTGCTGATGTGGCACCAGTAATGAACCAAAATACAGACATGCACCATTCCAAGTCAATCCAGCGATTCCACCCACCAATCCCACTTGACACTTAGATGTATGGAACACCCATACACATACATACACCAGGTTCTTGAGATCATACGAAGAATTGCGAAGTTTGATGATGCCATCACATACGTCCACTTTCTTGCCTTAGGGGCCGCCTACTTGTTCATGATTGGCACATCACAACAAGCACTAGGAGACATGTATGGCCAAGATATCGGCAATAGGCTTCCCATATCCAAAATGCAGAATTTCCAGGATGTAATCGGGTCCAGTAATAGCGACACTTGCAACCACAGTAACATCCATGGTACATAATAATTCAACCAATTATAAGTGAACGGCCAACCATGGTATTTGGGTGTCTGAACAGGCAAAACTTCTGTTAGTCAACAGCAGATGAAACAATGATCAAATAATGAACCACAGGTTTGCCAGTCTGAGGGCTGAATTGATGCTGAGTTTGTGTCACCATAGGTCTCAAGACATAGTATGTAAACAAGACACTCACTCAATATACCGGACTCTTATATTTTTTGAAGCCAAAGTGATATTGTAGCTGTTAAATGTGCAAGTAGGATGCATGAGACCTGCGACCATATAGGCACAAAAAAAGGCAATATTCTGAAGAATCAGAGTTAGATCATTCCTGTGTTCTGGAAGGGCCAAGGGTCACTCACCTTTGAGTTGCTCACATCCTTGAGGATGGACTGAACCCCCCACTTGGCCACGGCCAATTTGAATGCTGATCATGGGTAAAACACAGTCAGCTACCTGGTAGTCAATGAACATCGGAACAGAACAACAAACCTATAGCAAGACCATCTTCATCGTATATCTCCCAGTGATAATTGTGCTTCATCATGCCATTCCAAATTTCTTGTAACATTCCTTTCGATAAGACAAGATACCTGTTTCCAAAAGCATAGGTTGGTGATCACTGACAATGTATGTCGTTTTGTCATGCACATAGCTACTTACTTGCTATCAAGTAATTGCACTTGTGAACTTAGTGACTGGTTGTTGATGACAATATTGGATGCACCCAGCACTGCCGAGACACCCTTGTTAGAGATGCTGACTTTCTGGAAGTCCCAGCATTCATTGAGGTTGTTCCTCAGGATGGTGTTGACCTGTATACCAGGGTGGATGAAAAATAATCAACTGGGGCTATGTGAACTTACTGATTATTTTTACATCCAATGGATTCTGTGTGAAGGATAATTATTTCCCATAAAAATCCATGGCAAAGCCACTGAGTCAGATGTACTTGTAAACCTCATATTTGTGATGCTGTAGCAGCATGAAAAGAATGTGATATAAGTAATGCATGATGCAGACATTAAATGAGTATAGTGACCTGTAGTAGGACCCTGAGGGATGTGTTGTGATTTCCCAATATTCAGATGTGCTGGAAATGGGGTGAACAAGTATAACCCTTTTGCCATCATCCGAGGCCAAATACTCTCTGCTACTGAGGTTCCACATGGTAAATGTATTGGTGGGAGACTGGAGGAATGGAGGACTCAGAATGAGCTCGACAAGCCAGAGCTGTAGAAATGCTACAGCACTAGTTGATAACATGGTGGTTTTATCCCATGGGGTCAATGCACCCAGTGTTACCTCTAGTAGACAAAGGTGATGATTAACAGCAAATTCGATGACTGTCTGGACAGATGATACTCACTCTTGGAATAGTCTTGCAGGAATCCCACATTCGCATCAATACATCAGTCAAGTACTAGGTAAAGTGGGACACTCACTCAGGTTGTCCCAGGAAAGGACTTGGACACTAGGAAAGTCCTTACTTATGATAGAATCTGTGTGATTATACCAATAAGTAAGGTATTAAAGGTCACAAAGGGTGATGGACATACAAACCCCTGGGTCAATAGTTGATGACATGCCGTGGATGAGGTACAGTGAGATGTGGATGTCATCTTGCAAAGATGGGATGTACGAAATTATATAGGGAAGCCAAACATAATTGAAATCATAACACAGATACTATGTGATTCACAGCTGCAGGGTAGTACTGATTCCGTCGCATATCAGCAAAACCCTGATTTGGGTACAGCGCCACAGCCACACAGCATGTCACAGGTCACATAGATTTTGTTGTAAAGGCTCTGCAGCACCACACAAGTATTGATTCTATGTAAAAATGAGTGTAATGTAGTCACAAACATGTATATAACAAGATGGTGTGCTAATAATTATGTTTTATTGAGAAATTGGGTAGTGTGCAGCACTGTACAGCACTGTACATGGGGGGACATTTAACATATCACTACAGGAAAGGCTGATAATGCTGTCCAGGTCACCTATTACATCAATTCCACCATCACATTCCCTGTCTCTTCACACACTGTGAGAAACATTCTCAAGACAGCTCATCTCAGGTCAGTAACAAGGAAGAAAAGGCTCTCCTCTCTATCACACATATGCAGAGAGGACTAGCACCCTTCTTTTTTCACATATATACCTTGCCATCTGACCCAATCCTATTTATTGTGGTCTTATATGATCATATAACATGCTTCCATTCCATGTAATCCAATTCTAATGGGCTAAGGCAAAGGTTAGTCATCTCTGTTTATGTGTGATAGAGAGGAGAGCCTTTTCTTCCTTGTTACTGACCTGAGATGAGCTGTCTTGAGAATGTTTCTCACAGTGTGTGAAGAGACAGGGAATGTGATGGTGGAATTGATGTAATAGGTGACCTGGACAGCATTATCAGCCTTTCCTGTAGTGATATGTTAAATAATAGCCCTCCTATCAGTAGAGGTGAGCTTGGATGGACACCCTTCACAGAAGTTTTCCTTGTCTGTGTGACTTTCTTTGATGAACTTGGCCACAGTGGACTTGGATACTCCAGTTCTAGAGGAAATTTGACAAGCAGAGAGGCCAGAATAGGAAAGAGAGAGGATATTATCCCTTTGAGCAGGGGGGGTGGCTTTCATGGTGAATATAACCATGACATATGGAAATTTTTGGTTTGTATAGTTAGATATGGTTTTAAAATGACATAATGACACCACTTTATAATTTATTTAATGGTGGCATGATTGTTATGGTGTCATAAATGATGATTTATATAGTTTTAATATGTGCTCAAAAAACTGTCCGCATGAGTCATGATTTTGTAAGCCTTGTATCTCCACCATATCTCCTCTGATTCTCGCGATGTGGTGCTCAATCCAAAGCCCTGAAGCAGCACTACAATATGGTATCAGCATGTCACTGAGGTCTTTATGTATTCTGACACAATATTGTAAATAGTAAAAAATGCAAAAACATGTGGACAGTTTTTTGAGCCACTGTATGCCAACAGCATTATCTTTGTGAGCAGACCATACTGTTACCTGTCTTGCTTCTGTGCCTCTGTTATCATCATCTTAGCAGGCAAGTGCCAATCCCTGACACAGCCCACCAAGAACAGTGGTACTCAGTTTGTATCCATTTAATGTGGTCACTAAGAGGGCTTAGCAGATATCCTCAGCTCAATTGCCACTCTCAAGATCAAATTTTCTCACTGAAGTAAGCTTCCATTGTGCGGTATCTGAAAAAATCTGGTTCCACCAGCGTGATCACACCTGAAGTTCCAAATCACATTGTTTCAAAGCACCCCATATAAATGCTGATGCTGAATCTGCATCTTTGTGGGTAAACCAGATTATCACAATCTTGGTTCTGTGGTGGTAACTGAACTATCATAAGTCATATGATAATATTCCAAGTTTCCTGAAAGTTGAAACCTTCGTCAGCTGCAGACAGCTTACAGCACCAGATATGATTTATTTAGCAGCAACATGACTCATCTTATTGATATCACTGTGTCAAGTGCTGCAGCAATCATGTCTGTGATGGGAACACACTGGGCAGAACCACGTACACGGCCATGTCAAAATATGTTCAGGCTGCAGCCCCCCAAACCAGGATTATTGGTCATCGAATCGTCATTGGGCCTATCTACTGATCAGGTGAGTTATGATTCTGACTTTCAGATGATTGTATTCACCTTGAGAGTTGCCCTATAACCCCATTTTACTATTTTTAAAAGAATGCCACTCACACATCATTTCAACTTTTCAAGCGCTCCTGGAATCCAGGATCATCATGTAATCATTATGATCCAATTGACATCTTGCTGCGAGGGATCATTGGGTTTTAGCAATGTGTTGTAGATAGATGGAGAGGGAATAAGAAAGCATCCCTTCTGACCCACATAGTACATACTGTTCCTTTGCATTCAGAGTTGGAAAGAAATGAGGCAGAGAGTTGCATTGCCTGGATGAGAAAATACTTTGCATGAAGTGTTGATGTGGTTTGAGAGATTGTAGATCTGAAACCTGTATGTTGTCCTCTGAATTGTCCCTGCAGATGTACCATGATATCAGTAACATGAGTATGTAATGCAAGGGCAGGCTGGATGGTGTACACAAAGCTCCAGATTAGTTCAGTGTCACGGTCAAAAATGGCAAATTAGAAGAAAGCTCCGTCCAGCCTTGACAGGCTTGAGAGTCAGGTGACACAATCTAATAGGTTGGGCTGGACTGAACATTAGCTTTGGATGGGACACAAGCAGGTCGAGCTGCTGGGAGGGCGGGATACCTGCTTATCATGCCATATGACTTGTTAAGCCAGGGGATGGCAAAAAGTAATTGATGCAGTAAACTATAAGATGTGTGGCTAATAAAGTGCTAGGTATAAACTATGGTGTGACAAAAATTTAAAAGGGAGTAGTGGGCGGGTATAAAAAAATTGTTTGAACAAGTGAGGAGTGTAATGAATGACGAACTCAATGTTGTGGTAGAGAGGGAAAAAATGAATGGAGGATGTAAATAATGCAACCGCTCAGCTGGATGCATGGTCCCAGGATATTCTGGCAGGCTGCATTACCCGGCACCAGGTGCTGGGTAATGCAGCCTGTTCTCTCATTCAATTTTTCATCAATTATTTATTGACATGAGCTGCACTCAAATGGGCAATGGTATTGAGTCAGAGCTCAAAAACCTGTGACCGGGCCATGCAAGATTCCCAAATCAAGGTTTAAGCAAGCTAAGTGTTCCCATGTAGCCTTTAGCAAAATACATGAAATAAGCGAAAGCCACACGAGCACCCATGACATCCCGAAACCCATTCCACCTTACTTCATAGACTAGCTTCACACCCATTGTGCCTTTGGCACAGGAAGCAAACAGAGCGCTTCACACTCCTTTTTGGCTTCCTGGCCTCAGCTACATCCTAGCATGTGCAATAAATAATTGATGAAAATTTGAATGAGAGCACAGGGGAATGGGAGAACAGACCAAAAGTACTCGCTCCACTCACACCTTTGGCCCATTCCCCCATTCCCCTGTGCTCTCATTCAAATTTTCATCAATTATTTATTGACATGTGCTGCACTTGAACAGGCAACAGTATTGAGTCGGAGCTCAAAAACCCATGCCCCAATATGAACGGGCAACGGTATTGAGTCAGCACTCGAAAACACATGACAAAACCACGCAAGATTTCCAAAAAGAAATTAGCCAAGTTAACTGAAATAAGTGTTCCTAAGTGAAAGCCACACGAGCTAGCGAGACAATTCCCACATGTCACATCCTACTTTATAGATTATAGATTGCTTGAATCAGCATCTTATGTATATGGCATTTGTGGTGAAACACGTGCCACCCAAGCTGTTCATGACTGGGTCAGAGAAGACTCAAGTAGCTCATTGTTGTGGCACAATGATGACATAATAATTCCCACAGGATTTCTTGTAGAGAAAATGATATTTGACGCAGACAAAACCCTAGACTGGTATGACAAGTCTCGAACAGCATGCTACTAGGTTACATTGTACATGATTCCAAACAATTTGTGGAACTATAGAGTCTGAAGTTGGTGCTCGACTACAGATCTACTACTTCTGGGCCCTAGCCTCTGCAGCTACCTTTACTTGCCTGATACCCCTTTTTTTGCAGCCCTGCAAGTCTCCAAGAGATCATCTGCATGCTTCTTTGCTAGCTGATCATCTCTTGACTTCTTCTTGGCTGCCTCCCCCTCCTTTTTGGCTGTTTCTCTCGTGAGTATAGCTTCAGCAGACTTGCTTTTGGCTTGTAACCTCACTTGCATCTCCTCTGCTATCTTCTTCTCTGTGGACACTGTCCTCATTTCAGCTGCTTCAATCTCATCATGCAAGACTTTTCCCTGCAGATCCTCAACCCAAGCAGCAGATACGTTTATGATGAGGGAGCATAGTACAAGAGGTGAGGGGGTTTCGGTCACATACAACTGCAGGTACAGGTGGCTGTAGTCGATGATATGGATGTGAGGGAGGAGGAGTTGTTGGTCAAGGTAGTGGTTCCACTGATTAGTGCGAAAGTTCTCCTTGATGGCTGGCATGGACGAGAGGCACATGGTGGGCATGCTGTCGAGTGTCTGTGGAGTGAATTCTACCCGAGTGCCACCAATTCCAGGAGCATCAGTGATGATCCCATCAGGAACGGATGTGGGTTCGGCATCTGAGTCAGAGTCAGAGACCTCAGTGCTAGGAGCATCAGTGATGATCCCATCAGGAATGGATGTGGGTTTGGTGTCTGAGCCAGAGTTAGAGACCTCGGTGAGTATTATTCTGGTTTGAACTGCAGATGTGTCCTGCTTGTTTGCTATCCTGATACTGTATTTAACGGTATATTCAAGATATGTGAGAGTTGGATAGACCATATTGTCTGGAATGGGAACATCCAGTGAGAATGTCCAATGACCTTTATCATTCTCAACAAGGTCAGAAATGGATTCTTCAGAATACGATGCATATGTTAAGGTCGTACTCAAGGGATAACTGGATCCGAAGGGCTTCAGCCTCAGCTCATGCGCTGTGCCCCTTACCCGAGTATTGCCCCTTATTTCAGGAAGGCAAGACTAACATGTCCGGAAGGTCGGATGAGTATCGTAATGGATCTGGATGACTTCTGGATGCAGGATAGGTATTGTAGGGCTAATCTGGACGAGTCCAGACTAGAAACTAACAGTATAGACTGTCAGAGACAGAGGCGGATATGGATAGACTATAGGGATCAATCCTAAGTCTCAGAGGGTGACAAGAGTGGGGATACTCAAGTCCGGAGGACAGGAATGAGTAGAACTAAGATGATATTCGAACTGAGGTACTACAGAAAGTTACAGGAGGTTATATACTATAGGTATCTAACAGAATGATCAATCAGCAGAGTCCAAGGCTATGTACAAAGCATGTGGATAGTCTATTGGTAAGTAGAAATGGATCACAAATCATGAAATGGAAATGAAACATAGGTAATGGATCAGGGAGCAGGACGGATATACAGATAACTGAAATACCGGAGTTAGGGGGTTACCGAAAGGAGACGAGCACTGGTTGTGGATTCGGATGAGTTGTGGACTGGACCAGACGAGTGGACAGATTGAATGACAAGATGTTGGAGGGAGATAAGATGTGGATCTGAGATGAGATAAGGGTCAGATCTGAGACCCGGATATGCAGATATGACAGCGTAGGTGTGTGTCTCATTGATTTGTTCGGGCAGAAAGACAACCGGAGTCAGAGTGAATGTAGGTGGAGGTGCAGATAATTGAACCACTAGAGCCATATGTTCAATAGGCTGTGTGATGATGCTCGAAGGGGTCTTGAAGTTGTATAAAATGATATGTGAATGTCATCTTTTGGAGTTATGAAAGACCTGGTTATATAGCAATTCTCAAAGAGAATGCAATGCATCAGAAAACTTGAAACATGATGAAGGTTCAACAGCTCTGCTGGGCTTGCAGAGCAAAAGAAAGAAAGGGGCTCTCACTCTGGTGGTGAGAGGAAGGCCTACTGACTCTCTAGGTGTTGGTCGAAGTGTGCTGAGCAATGTGTTTGACCCTTAGGGGAAGCAAGGAAAGCAAGATCCACAAAGGTGACACCAGGTCAACTCTGGTGAAGCATGCTGAAAGTGCGTGTGCGGGAATGTCGAGCGCATAGGTGCGCGAAGCGTGGGAATAGAGTGCATGTGGTGTGCGGATGTGTAAAGACTGATGGAAGGCATGAACTGGGGCTGCTGAATGGGCTGGTGACAATAATGGACTTGGGCTGAGGACTAGGGTGATGACTGATGCATACTGGCTGAAGATGATAGATTCTGACTCTAGGTGACTACTGACATGGTGGTGGTAGCCATACCTCTCTGGTGGTGGTTGGTAGGTGTATGAAAACTTTCCCAGGCAACAGGTAAGCTGTGCCTAGGCATGCTCCCAGGGCTCGGAAGCAAACAGGGAGTGCTCTAAGTATGTAAAATGATGTAAATAAGGGTCCATGATGGAATAATATATAATACAATGCTAAATATGAGAATAAATGAAAAGGGACTCACTAGGGGACTGGTTGGATGATGGATGGATGCACTGGGATGCTGTGCAACAATAGGCGACCGAGCGCGGGAAGAGCGCGCTAAGCGCGTGTGTGGGAATGCGTCGCATAGTGCGGGAAAGCGTCGCACCTCTGGCGCGTTTTGTGGGAAAGTCATAGCTAGTGAGTTGTGCACTGTACCAATCATCGTGAGTTGAAATATGTGTGATATACGCCTAGAGGATTCTCATTCCCTACAATGATGCACCTGATCAGTACAAGGATTTATTATCTTGGTTCTGGGGGTTGGGGGCTGCGGTAGCCCAACATAGCCATGTGCATATGCAATTCTCCCTGAAATGTTCTTATCATGGATACAATACATCAATAACTGGGGGGCTCTTGAGTGGTGATATTGCCATGGATCACGAGAATCTCAGAACTGCATCTGGCGCTGTAAACTTGCTGTAACTGGCTTGTGTTTCTGGAAAATTGGAATGATTGATGACCTGATGAGTGGTCGATACGAGTATGACAGAGGCACAGAAGTCAGAGGCAGTAACTGACCATGTGTGAGATCCTTAGCATTAATGACATCAGTGAGGCCTTGAGGATCCAGCGCTGCAGCATTAGTAAACAGTGTTCTGAGATGCCATGCATTACCAAGGTGAAATATTATTAGTAATTCTTCTATGTCAATGGACCAGCTGATTTTATCAGAGTGCCATCATTGAATTGGCATGATTAATCTACCTTTCGGAAGGTCAATCTCGGAGAACTGAGGGCTTTCAGAGACCTAACAGGGGATGGTAAGCTCGTGTGATGCAAGCCCCAAGTGCACTCTGTTGCCGCATGTCCATGACATAGCCAAACCAGTCAAATATTGGCGCCTGCATGTAGTGGGCGGTTCTGATTCTTCTAATGATGGCCCCAGAAATAACTATGTGGAAGGTTTTCTGGCACTCATCACATCGCTTATTTCATGCCTGAGATATCAGAAAACAAATAAATCAGGCACATACATTATTGAGTGGGCATGAGCTCCCGGGTGTAGTGTATATTCTGATAAGAGCATGCCAATTTAAACTTCATACTGCATGCAGACACTCCTCTGAGTCATTCAGGGTAGTCAAGTTTACTCAATTCTGGAGTGTTTTGCTAGTGGGGCTGTCTCAGAAAAAGTTCAGTGGAGTACAAGCTTAATAGGGGAACTCATACCCAATAGCTTTTGCAGATCTGCAAATAAACTCTGCACAGTGTGTGCATAAGGCAAAAGTATTACTGGGCCCAAGAAATCATTAATCATCAATCAGATTAATCATTGCCAGTGGCGAAGAAGTTGCCATATATGGAGGGGAGGACTGGCTGTGCACCTAGCACATGCTTGGATGCAAGATCCACCACAAACGGAGAAGATCATCCTTGAAGCTTGAAATCTCACAAGCCCCTAAACTGGTTTGATAATGATAGGTCATTTGCCTAGATTATCAGGCGCCCACTGTGGCATCAAGCATGTTTGTCCCGCACAACAGGCACTCTTTCCCTCGATTTGAAGTCCTTATCATTGCAAGATACTCAGGGTCTCTGGATCCAATTTTCTGACACAGTAGGCTTGGCTAACCAACTGTACTTGATTGTTATGATGACATGAAATTCGAAAATAAGCAATTTCCACAGTAGGCAGTTATGGATTATGCAGGGATTCCCTATTGTAAGCAGTTAAGTCGAGTGTCAATATTGATTGTTCTAAGGCAATGTCGTGGAGATTTTTTCAGAGGTTCCATATTGGCTCCAAGGATATCTCACAGCAAGTTTAGATAATTGCTATGCATATTTTGCTAGACTATAGCAACCTGACTGGAGGATTGCAAGAGCACCTGTTTGAACACATAAATATCCTGCAAGCTTGAAGTCAAGTACCACACAACCTCACCTCGACAACCTTGACAATTATGCAGGACCCTCTACTTGCAAAGTCTACCATTCTTCCATATTATTCCAAGCCAAATGACTGCTATCCATCATCTCTGCTAGTGCAGAGGGGACAAGTGAGCTGGCAGCCTCCTGTCGCTGTTAAGGTCACGTGCTCAAGGGGGTTGGATCACAAGGGCTTGGCCTCAGCTCGTACGCTGTGCCCCTTTCCCAAGTATGTGCCTGAAATTTCCGGGGGCTAGAACAGTCGTCCGGAGTTTCTGGGATTTGACTAGGGTGGATAATGGACGTCTGGATCTGAAACGTGAGATAAATCTGATGGACGTCTGGATGTTACCTGGGCAAGCAGATAAGACTAATCCAGACAAAGTCCGGACTAGAAACTAACAGAGGGTGGACTACCTTTAAGGTAGAGTCGGAAATGTAGTCTAGGATGCAATCCTAAGACTCGGAATATGACAAGAGACTTATCTCGAATCCAGAGGACACAGGAATGAGCAGGAACTAAGATGATATTCGAACTGGAGTATTTCCGAGAGTTACAGGAGGTTTATATACTGTAGGTATCATATAGGAATCAGTCAGCAAACATAAAGGCTATGTACGAAGCATATGCAGAGTCTATTAGTAAGTAGGACAGATCACAAATAATGAACACCGGAAATGAAATGTATGTAATGGATCAATAATCAAAAGGGAAACATGGTTAACTGGAGTCCGGAGACAGGGGCAGTCTAAATGGAGTTGGGCGCCGATATAGGGTTTGGATTCCAGAAGGGAGATAAAGATAGATCAGATCATTTGAGATCCAGATCTCAGATCTGGATATCTGGAGAAGTGGATTTAGAGTTGAGAGTCTGGAATGGCATATGACAGTCACCCACGTCCAGCAATGTGGACGTGTGTGCTCAGCCCTCACTCCTGCACTTGATGAACCCTTGGGTATGGATGGAGTGTATTCCCAGCCCACCATAGATGTCCCGTCAGTCACTCAATACTCTGTAAGTCCCCACAGTCACTCAACATTGCATGATCTCATTATCAAACATCTCGCCATTCACCAATATCATCCAGGCATCAGCTACCTTTCCACTGGAAGACACAAGCCTGGTTCACACCCATGCGTCATATTCAAACCAGCGCTTTGCCAGGCTCATCAGCAATAATTGTGGGAACTGGACACTCATGTTGGATGTCCCTATCCCAAAGGACATGGTCCACCCAATGCTCATGTCAGTGTCGTATATGGCCAAATACAGCACAGCAAATGATCACTTACCTTGCGTTGTTTGGTCCAATATTCTACTTGCCAAAATAGAATCAGAGGAGCCGGAAGATGGGATTATCACAGACATAACTACCCATCCCAATGATATAAATGTCATGCCGCAGACTAGCGAGGGTGCTACTGCTGTGTGCCTTTTGTCTGTGCTAGGCATCAAAGCTAATAACTTGGAGAACCATTGGAACCACTTCATAGATTGCCAACACATTCCTCTCAATGTCCACATTGTCCAGAGCAGCCGTCTGTACTTGCAGGTCCGCATCTTGGAGCATCCTACCATGGCCATGTTTCACTCTCTTTTGATGGATGTTTCTGCTACTTGGCTGGATGACCAGGAAGGGAGGTGTCTGCTTCAGAAACGTCAAGAAGCTAGGATGCGGGCAGATGACACAGAAGCAAAGGCAGTCAATGAGGAAAATGCCAGGAAGGCAGCTGAGACACAGCAGGCGGCTGATGAGCAGGCCAAAACAGAAGCTGAGGTGAAGCAGCATGTAGCTGAGGCACAATCAGCAGCAGATGCAAGGGCTTGACAGAACACAGAAAATGAAGCCCAAAAAGTGAGCTCAGCAAGGAAAGCCGCTGAAGAAGAAGCGAATAAAGAGTCAGAGGTTGGTGGCGTCACAGATGATAAGATGAAGGCAAAGATCAAAAAAGCACTCCTTCATCTTCCAAGTAATTGTCAATGTCCTACCAGATTTGCCTGGACACAAATTGCAACTGGTTTCATGTGTGATGGGGGTGGGCATAAGGTTTCTTGGGAGGAATTGGATAAATTCAGTGGCTCAGATAACTAGGACACTTGCCAAAACCAAGCTATTCACCTCTACATTGCTATTTTTCCGACCCATTTCTTCTGATTGATCATGTCTTCCAGGACTCACTTCTTTGCTCTTCTCTTGTTCTCTGAATCCCATCAACCAGTTAACCCCCCAAACATGCTCATTTTCTTCTTACAAATGTAACTGTACTTTCATAAGGAATCACTCACAATTTGGTGACAAATAAGATACATAACTCAGCAGGGTTTTCCTCATGTGGTAGAACAGACAAGGTCAAAAACAAAGAACAGTCCCTGGGATGACAAACAGAACTTCTATATATAGAAGCATCAGTGGTGCTTGGAAGTTGGCACAACTGAACGCCAATCAAATTTCCACATTAGGAAGGCACAGGTTAGAGCACTCAACCTGTACCATGCCTCAGTACTAGTGTTGCTGCAGCTCTGGCTTATTGCCGGTTTTAGCTGCAGCTAGAGCTGTAGATAACCAAGCCAGCATGTGACTTCAGTTTATAGAATTTATGGTCTGACTTGACTCAATTAGCTGTAGTTAAGTCAAATTTAAGGGTTTAAACTGGCTCATATATAGTTTTAAATTGAATTTAAAAATAAATTAGAAATAAATTTAGAATCATCCAAGATCAAGCGCATGAAGCAAAAAATTTGTCAACTACAGTTGAGGAATCGTGATTGGACCTCTACTGGAAGTCAGCTGTGTGCACAAGGGTCAAGTTGACTGAGGAAACATAGATTGATAGTCAAAAGGTCAATGACAAAAGTACAGTGGGATGCATAAGACGACAGTAAAAGTAGCAGTAGCAGTAAACATGAACATGCAAGAACTAAGAGACCAGAAGAATGTCTGGAACATTGTCAGGAACATCATCACACTCGTCTGCTACAATAACTCTAAGAAGGGCCTCATAATTGTGACTGCTGAAAGTAGTTCCACTTACAGTGGATATTAGTAGATCATCTGAGCCAGAGGTCAAGAGGTCTTCATGACTCGCACCCATGACACACATCAGGTGGTACTCCATGTCGCTCTGGGATGCTGCCCAGCCCTTGGTAAAGTGAAGTCAGTCCTTTTTCAGCATGAATTTCACGATCTGTAGGACCTCCATCAAGTATGGGCTGAGGTGATTCTGCTTCTTTGTAAACGTGTCACTGCTGGAGGAGAATATGCACTCACACAGAACAGAAGAGGCCTGAATTGGCAGGAAGTCCATAGCAAGTTTGTATAGTGTCGGAAACAGCAGTTTTGAAACCTAGCCCACCCTCATCATCAATTAAACATATTAACAAAATAAGGGATCTTACCATCCAAAATGATAGTACAGTGGCTCAAAAAACTGTCCAGATGTTTTGACATTTTTCACTATCTATGATATTGTGTGAGAACAAACAAATGCCTCAAGGACATGCTTATACCACATTGTAGTATGGCTTCAGGGCTTTCATTTGAGCCCTACACCGTGGGAATCAGTGGAGATATGGTGGAGATACAAGGCTCACAAAATGGTGACTCATGCAGACAGTTTTTTGACTCAAGTATTTTACAATAATAACCAGGTATTCTAGTATTTTGTATGACCTCCCTTGGCTTTAATTACTGCCTCTATCCTTCTAGGCATACTCTCAATTAATTTCTGGCAATCCTCAGCTGTGATCTTCCCCCATTCCACTGCTACTCTCTCCCAAAGCTCCCATACTCCTTTAGGGAGGTTTTCATAGGCTTGAAGCTTTTTCTTGAGTGTTCCCCAGAGATGTTCAATGACATTGACATCAGGAGACTGTGCTGGCCAGTCAAGAACATTGATGTTATGTTCTTCAAACCATTCCTTAGCTCTTCTGGATGTGTGCTTGGGATCATTATCCTGTTGGAAAATGATATCTTCTTCATCAATCCCTGATTCTGCCAAGCTAGGCAGCAAGTGGTCATTTAAAATGTCCACATACTGCTCAGCATTCATCTTCCCCTCAACCTCAGCAAGCATTCCCACACCATTCCATCCCATACAGCCCCATACCATTGCAGAACCTCCTCCAAACTTGACAGTTCCATTAACCTCTCTGTCTGTTAGGCCATCTCCCTTCTTTTTCCATACACATACCTTCCCATCTGACCCAATCCTATTGATTTTGGTCTCATCTGACCATATAACATGCTTCCAGTCCTCTACAGTCCAGTGTTGATGAGCTAAGGCAAAGGCTAGTCTTCTCTGCCTATGTTTGATGGAGAGAAGAGGCTTTTTCTTCTTTGTTACTGCCTTGAGATGAGCTGCCTTGAGAACATTCCTCACAGTTTGTGAAGAGACAGGGGTAGTGATGGTGGAATTGATATAATGGGTGGCTTGGACAGCATTATCAGCCTTTCCTGTAGTGATATGTTGGATAATAGCCCTTTTGTCAGTAGAGGTAAGCTTGGATGGACATCCTCCACAAGAGTTTTCCTTGTCTGGGTGGCTTTCTTTGATAAACTTGGCCACAGTGGACTTGCATACTCCAGTTCTAGAAGAAATTTGGTGAGCAGAGAGGCCAGCATAAGACAGAGAGAGGATATTATCTCTTTGAGCAGAGGAGATGGCTTTCATGGTGATTATGACTATGATACATGAGATATTCTGGTTTATATAGTTAGATATAGTCATAAAATAACATAATGACACCACTTCATAATTTATATAATAGTGGCATGATTTTTGTGGTGTCATAAATAATGATTTATATAGTTTTAATATACACTCAAAAAACTGTCCACATGAGTCATCATTTTATAAGCCTTATGTCTCCACCATATCTCCACAAAATTCCACGGTGTAGGGCTCAAATGAAAGCCCTGAAGCCATACTACAATGTGGTATAAGCATGTCCTTGAGGCATTTGTTCGTTCTCACACAATATCATAGATAGTGAAAAATGTCAAAACATGCAGACAGTTTTTTGAGCCACTGTATATCTGTACCTGTGGGGCTAAGAACACTGGTGCTATAAGCATTGAACTTGTCTTCAACCGATTGGGGTCCACCCTGGCAACATGGCAGTATATTGATTTCAGGAAGTCCATAGATAGTTGAGCCCAATGTAGCAGGACGTGGCTGAGGCACCAGCTGATTGAATGGTGCAGATACATTTGCCACCCTCTGGTTCTGCATCTGCAGGACATATCAGTAAACATTTAGCTGTTGTTACCATAGTACAGACATACCAGTTGAAGAATATAGTCCTTAGCCTCTTTGATTCATGGGGCTGTCCAATTGTCATTGATCCATGACATATGTCTCATAGGATCGACAGCTGTGCGCAACCATGAGAATTCACCGATATAAAAATATGCGAGACTTACACATAGCGACAGCATACACTCCTGTGAGGGACATCTGGTCATCATACTTATGTTAAGAACCATGCTCAAGGGAGAGAGACTGACTCAGAGGGGCTTGGCCTCAGCTCGTACGCTGTGCCCCTTACCTGAGTATGTGCCCTTCATTTCAGAGGAAGTCTGATGATGGTCCAATGAAGTCCAGAGGACTTCTGGAGGCTGGCTACTCTGGTGGAGAGTGTGGGAGGACTTCCGGAGGAGCGCGGGAAACATCTGGAGGAGCACAGGAGAGTTCCAGAGGAATGCAGGAAGTGCTCAGGAGAGTTCCTGCTGCAAGGTAATACTTCTACAGGAAAACAGGATGGAAGGATAGGAGGTCCAGAGGTCTGGAGTATGGAGGACAGGAGGTCCAGAGGTATGGAGGGCGGAATGTCTGAAGGACAGGATGCCTGGAGGTATGAGGGACAGGACATCCGGAGGTACAGAAGACAGGAGGTCCAGAGGTTCAGAAGGAATAGGGGCTACATTGGACGAAGCCCAATGTAGAAGCAAACAGAGGTAGACTACCCTAAGGTAGAGTTGGAGGGACAGGAAGTGGACCTAAGTCCAGAAAGAGGGTGAGTGCCAGAAAGGCAAGACTCCAGCCTAGGGAAGCAATCCCTAGACTTGGGACAGAGACATAGGGGACAAATCCAAAGGTCCGGAATTCCGGCCTAGGGAAAGGATTCCCTAGGCCTTATGGAAAAGGACAAGACTCCGACAGACTGAAGTCCAGAAGATGATTGGCAAGTAGAACAGGATCTAAGATGAGAGAGTAGGAACTAAGATGATATTCAGACTGAGGACTCTACTGTAGTTGTACAGGGGTTATATACTAGAGGCTATCCGAGAGGATCAGTAAGCAAAGGAGTAAGGCTATGTACAAGCATGCAGAAACACATTGGTAAGTAAGACGGAACATAAGTAAATGAACTCGGAGATGAAACTAGTACAAGGATCAATCAGCAAGACGGAAAGAGAGATAACCGAGAACCGGAAAGGCAGAGATGCCTAAATGGGGATAGGCGCAGGATCTCGGACAGAGGGTGGGAATAGGTCCGGAGATAGTAACAGTTAATATCCGGAGGTCCGGAGATCTGGGGATCTGGAAGGCAGGGTGGAAACAGGACTGAGATATGTGAGGTGGTGGATGTAGTCCAGAATCCGAGAGGAGGTAAAGTCCAGATGTCTTGCTGGACGGAATGTGCATAGGGTGGACAGGATAGGGGATCCAGCAATGAGTTGGAAATGGGGTCCGGAAATAGGTCCGGAAAGCGTGGGAATATGATGGGATCTATGTCTGGCATACAGGATATGACAACTTAGCTGCCCATGTTAAGCCTATGTCAACCAAAGGTGCACAATGCGGAACATGGTCTGCCACAAGCTTCCACCTTTGAATCAACCCTTCAAAGGCCAGAATGGTGTTGCCCAGTAGAGGACTGGTCTCACCAGACATGCATTGTTGAGTGTGGTGCAGTGCCTAATGTAGAACAGTAAATACAATATAAATTTCAAATAAATTAAAACATACCTCTAAAATAACCTTGAGATCCTGCAGGACTTGCCAATTAATGGGGCTCAGTTTATGGTGGACTATGGTGCATTGAGCAGGAAGATCAATCCAATGGTTGATAGCCTAGGCATGCATTAGGTGATGCAAAAATTTAAAGAGACAAAATATTACCTGTTGCAGGATTCTCAAACAATTGAGCATGATGTACGTTGAATCCCAATGGGTAGGCTTGTCACATAGCAATTCGACAAGTGGAAGGGCCATACACTCATTGTCATCATCTATGAACCATCCTTCTGCATTGCCAGAAATGATGGCAGCTCGAAAGCTATCATGACACTGGCCTGATGCGTGGATTGCATGGATGATAGTTCTGGCCCGATCAACCACTTTACTTTGCAGAGTCTCGATATACTCCACCTTCTTGAATGTGTAAGGGCCAGCTACAAATGTGTCAGCCAAGCACGAAAGGTCTACAGTAGAGTATTCATTGAGGATGTGTTGGACACAAATGTTCACTATATGAGGGAAACAGGGGATTCAGTGATTGACTGTGTCGAATTTGATCCCATCTTTCCGCAATAGATCTTAGAGTTTGTCCATTGTGGTCCTGTTGTTACTGGCATTGTCCAATGTGAAGTGTCTGACCTAAATGAAGTTAGAGCATGCAATGATGTACAGCAAGACACTTACATTGTGTTTTACTTCAGCACGATCAATCAGCTTCAATATAGTTGAACCAAGTGCCTTCCCGGTATGACTACCAGGGATATGATGGAAGGTGATTAGAGTGGCCTTCAAAATAAGTCTCGCATTCCTGGTTTCTTTCACAATCCAATGCGCAGTCAGGGCAAGGAAGGGATGAAGCTTGGAATCAGACCAGATATCAGAGGTGAATGAAATTCCTCCTTGGGCGGTCTGCAAGATATGAGAAACTATATGTGATTGATGGCTGTAAAGTATTCATTCCAAGTGTTGATGATCAGTTGCTGGAACTTTGAACAATGGGGGATATCAGACTCCTTTAGGTCTTGCCACAAGAGGCAGAGCAGCTGGCAGAACTCAGGACACTTGACAATGCTGATGGGCTAGAGATAGTCATTAATGAGAGTACACAAATGCTAGACAGTACTCACTTGATCATCGGCTATGATAAACCTCACAATGTGTCTATGCATCTCCTCAATGGAGAAGCTTGGCAAGTCACGCTCTGAAACTTCTGCTGTTCTGACAATCAGCTGCAAACTACCATTGCCGTGACTAGGGGGAGGGCCAAGTGTCTCGATTGTGCAAGTGGGAACTTTGAGTCATTCCAGCATCTTGGTGAAGGTCCAGCCTTCATTAAGGCAAGTCCCTACAGGATGTATGCCAATTGGCCATTGCTGCTTCTCCAACTCCTGAAGATAAAGTTCAATATGAACCTTGTATATATGTGCATGAAGAGGACTGTTGCTGGTGGATGGACCGTAAACTGCAAGGGGACAGGATGAGTTGGCCTTATGGTTATCCCTGGTAAAGGGGGTGAGAAAGAGTGAAAAAGACTATAAAATATTACTCACTCACACAGTACACAGATGCACTCACCGGTATCTGGGTTCTTCCTGAAGAAAAACTGGACATCAGAAGTAGTCTTGAGGCCTCATTTTCTCGTGGCAAAGGGATTAGTAGCGAGAGTGCTAGTCACAGTATGTAGTGGACTCAGGTTTGCATTCATGTCAGCTATGACTTCAGGCAGGTTGGCATCATCTTCAGGCAGGTTGGCATCATCTTCACTGCCACTGCCGACATTATCTATGTCAATATACTCGCCATCATCTGGATGAGCAGCTGCATTGTCCGTCCAGAATCAGTGAGGAAGTTGTTGTTGTCTCCTAGGGTGGTGAAGAGTAGTAGCAATTGCAGCTGCTGTGGTGGTAGTTGCAGCAGGAACAGGTGTGGCAGGTCCAGAAGGAGTAGCTGCATGAGCAACATGTATGGAAGGTGCAGGAGCAACAGGTAAGGAAGGCACAGGAGTAACAGGAACGGGTGTAGCAGGAGCAACAGGTATGGAAGGCACAAGAGCGACAAGTACAGGAGCAGGAGGAGTGTCCTCAACCTGGGGGATATTGGTGTTCTTGCAACGATGGCCGCCACAACATTGCATGTTAGTAGTGTTGGATGCTGGAGATGCAAAGACAGACTCACCTATCTTTATATACTTTCATTCTGGGGAGACCCAGGAAAATACCGATGTGCACGATGGCACAGAATCAAGGCGTATTAGGTGTGGATCTCCATGTGGAGAACACGAGTAGATACATTAAGATGATATTAGGGGTGATCCCTGCTGAGGAGTGGGAGAGATCGGATGATTGAATGTAACATACAGTGGTGGTTGTGATTCTTGACCCAGGGAATGATCAAGATAAAGTTCAAGTTCAATTAAGCATGGGTGATGTTGAAAGGGCATCCATCTCAGTATCGCAGCATGGGAGTTAACATGGGAATTATACAGCATGTGCACATAGACCATGTACAATATACACATATGTAGATATACTCTCACATCATATCAAAAAAACACACACACACTGCGCAGATGTAGTACTGAAAAAAGAAGAATAAGAAGTAAACTATAGAACTCTTTTCTTCATTCAACGCAAGGCAGGAGTAGGTGCAGGCATTACAGTACCATTGCACAGACATAACCTTGCAAACGATGAGTTCATAAATCAATGTGTAAAGATAAATGAAACTACTTACACACAAGTTGATTTATGAAGAGGTGTCTTTGGCAGACATAGGGGCACTGATTCAGAGACTTGAGAACATTGAGGAGAGGGTGCAGTGTGACAATTGAAATCCAGGGTGTGCATAGCTGGTGCAGGCCCTGCAGTGCGAAGTTCGTGAAGGAAAGAACGAAGATGGTCATAATTGGGATCCTCCAAAAATGAGAGAGAGCACGAGTAAACAAGAATATTTGCAAATGCAGCAGGAATTCCACCACAAAAATCAGCAATGCTGGTATTGACTTTGTGCTTGAGTATCACAGAGCTGGACAGCCTCTCATGGTCACTATTTAACCATGGAAGGGAGCCACGCAAGAAATATATTAGCATGTAAGCAAGTGATTTGAGATCGTCACAACAAACCAGCTCCAATCCCAAGTGATTGTTGATTGAAGCAAAGGCAGGGGTGCCTGTGAGATGTCGACCTCAGTGAAACGGGATGTGGGATTTGGTTGCATTGTTCCAGTACTTCTTTGCGATACCAAAATCAATGATATAGGTAGTTTGTCTTGAACGGTCCACTAAGACATTATGCGGTTTGATATCCCCATGAACAATGTCATGTGAGTGAATGTACTCAAGATGCAACAGCTGGAAAATAGATTAGTATCTGCAGTAGCAAACAACAAATTGATACACGGTACCAGCTGGTCTCCTAAATTAACAACAGTGGGAAGGCTAAATTTGTGGTTGCATGCAAGGAAGAGATCGTATAGTGATGGCCTGAGGAGGTCAAGGGCCAAGGTGTGATATGTTGACTCCCTGCCAAACCAAAGGGCATGGGGAATCCCAACTCCACCTTCAAGTTGCTTGAGAATTTCATGCTCATGCTCCACAGAAGATGGTTTGTTGGTGACTGGCTTGAGTTTGATAGCAACAATGTCATCATTGAGGAAGTTCTGTGCACAGTACACAACAGCTAGTAACATTAATGTATGTTGAAAACCTGAATATGAATCAATATCATATGGATGTACCATATGAACTGGACCCCAAAATATCTTCCAGCCTAAATCTACCATCAATGCAATCTGGGGCCTTCATGCTTTACAACAGGACTGAATATTGCAGTGAGGGATTGAACAATGAATGGACAACGACACACAGGTGACAGAAAGAAGATAGTTCAACTTCCTGACTGAAGCCGACTGCAACCAGCTTGAACCAGCTCGAGTCGATGTTGCTGGAGTCATGGCTTGTAGCCGATTCACACAGCTAACAAGTCAAACCAAGCTGGACAAAGTGGTTCAGCTTACGAGGATAGCTGAACTACAGGTGTAGCTGGTAAAAGCCGAACCTGGGCCGGGCCGAGCCGAATTGTGACATAACTACTCAGTACGGTAGTGCCCATACCCCCGCAGATCCCTAATTGTCGGCGGGTCCTCATTCTTGTTAGTAGGAGCAGTCCATTGGCATGTTTGGCGCTAATGACTGCTACATTGAACGCCGTCATAGCTCTTCGTATCGTCTTGGGAGGCAATATTTTCCTAAAGCTACAAGGTACACATCCCCGAATCAACACTATATCGAACACTGTCTCGGCTCCGTATTTTTGTATCACCGTAGACCTGTGCCCAATGACCATTGGAACGGGTACTACTGCTAGTTCCTGTTTCACTTGCGAACTCCGATCCCCGTTCGATGGTGACGGTCTTACCTCTGGCGCACGTCTACGCTCGTTCTATGGTACACTGTTATACCCCGTCGGCAGTGAGGTCACTCTGTAACAGTAACATAGTGTGATTTCACCGGCGAAAACCAATAAATTCGTCCAGACGAACGAGTCCTAGAAGCTGGAGTGTCATGATATCATTCTGTCGAGGTAATCCTTCGCTACAGCTACAAAGTACGCAAAGAGCAGACGTCGAGAGTTGATCTTATTACAAGATATACTGAGTATATAGAAAAATTAGCTGAGCTATACATAATGCAGATTATCAACTGATGACACATATTCTACGAGCTCAATCAGGGAGTCCATTAGTCCAAGGAAAGATCAAAGTGGAGTACACTCCAGAAGCCCATACCATCGATTACCTTGCGCGAACCAGCTCTCGACGGTGAAACGCATCTTTGGGGAAACGACTGGCTGGACCATCGGCTTCGCATATGCGTCATGCACTTGTACGATGTTACCAATCACGGGTTGTAGCCTGGCTACGAGTCGGTCGAAAGCATCTTTATCCGCTTCCAAATCAACAGCAGGTAATCCGGACAGAAGTTTACACTTTGCAGCTGCTCAGAACCTAGCAGGATGTATAAAGTGAGGCACGAAACTTACCTCTTTGTTGCAGGCAGAAACAAGGATACTGTTTCCTTCGTCATCTTCCAAATGGAAAAGTAGGTTGTAGAACCATTTGCAATGCGTATCGAGCATGTCATCGCAGTCGACACAGCGTTTCCAGGCTCGCCGTAAGCTACAGAACACATTAGCGTCACCTAGGGGAAGAATTAGCTTGAGCTGACTTGGTCTTGCACTTCGTGCACCGCAAGTACGTGGCTTGATTCAGATCGAAGGGATAAAAATCGGTCACCCGCGCAACGATGGTAAATGTGTTCGGACAGACGGTGCTGGCGATAACTTGCTTCAGAGTGAGATCCTCCGAGGTCTCGGGAGTAGGATGGCGTGATTTTGCAGTGGAATTGACCGCTGGTTCGATGGATACCCCGTCTCGTTTCATTTCTAACTTCCACTTTTCCTTGCGTCTGTTGTGGGAGTGTCAGTAACTAGCGAGATGTTAACAGTCCCGCCAAGACGTACTGTAAAAGAGCTTTTACTTCCTCCTTCTCGCGGTCATTGGCTGCAATGATCAGTCGTTCATCGCCCCCAAGACGCCCAAAGGCACCCTTGACACCTGTCCTCCTGATCAAACGCAGATTCTTGATTCTATACATCGCGCCTGCCTGAAGGTCACGAGCCCTGCCCCTCTGCCCACCTTCCAGGACAATCTTGACGATCCGACGTGCGAGGCCAAGGGCCCAGGGTGCTGGCTCTGCTGGGTTGGCAAGGTCGGGATTGAACGTGTAATCTGTGACGTAAACAACTGGCTCTTCCGCAGAGGCAAGATCAACATGGAGAACCTGGGAAACGTGTCATGAAGTGAAAGACGAAGTTCTTAACCGACCCACCTCAACCGTGCAGTGGAAGAACGCTACATCTCCGTCAACATCTTCGATCAACTTGGTGTCAAATCGTGCAGAAGAGCCGGACGCCCCTCCCTCTCGCTCAAACTTCTTTTTCCGCCTGGAGAACACACGATGAGTGACATGATTGTCGAGTCAACAGCACCACTTACTCTAACAATGCACGAAAGTGCAAGTTCTCGCCATTTGCGACCTCGTCAAGCTTTTTTGACTTATGTGTTTCCACCAATTTACCGTGGAGATGAACATAAGAATCTGTCATTACACGTGCGTTTGGGAGGTACCAAAACTCTCCGGGCTGCATCGTCTTTGCGAGGATCTCCGCGTCATCCCACATATCCATTTTGAACACGTATGCTGACAGCTCCGGCGAGCACCAGCTTGCTTGTGGCGGATTGGTCTGAGGGTTCACAGTGTAGTCGGTCACATACAACGTGTGGGGTCCAGCGGTATTTTCATAGCTGTACAGAATCTAGGCTTTCGTCAGCTTCACGTTTACAAAGAGTCGTCTAGACTCACTTCGACGGTACAATCGAAATAACCTTGAGGAGCAGTGTCCGGGGTGACCTCAGAGATGAGGTGATGCTCTCGTGAAGGGCGTGGTGCGCACTGTACGGTTGTGATACCTTGTTCTTTCGCATGTATCGCTTGCCACCAGTCGGAAAGCTGAGCACAATACTCCGCTTCTTTGCCTTGCTCACTTGGCTCGTAGTAAGGTGAGAACGAATATCCGAATCCATCGTCTAGTATCTCGGAACGCAGGGCATCATTTCTACCAGGATTACGGAAACGCCGGGCTTGGGTATCATAGGTGGCCCAACGCAACTTATCCCAATACCCTACGCCATTAAGACCGCCACGGAACATGGAGGTCTGGACAAATATCGTGAGTGAGTGTAAAGTGGTACAAGAGATTGATGGATACCTTCAGCCTCCGAAAGAGGACTATATCGCCAACTTCAGCCTGAGGGAGCCATTCCGTGTGCTTCTTCTGAAAACAATTGACCGCGAAATTGTAAGTCACGACATCCACATCATCTTCCATGCAGGACGGGTCGACGATGGTGAAATTACGGGACCACTCTAGTACCACGATGAATAACGAACCGACAATAAGCGCTGACGGAATCCCACCTTGTGAGCGCGTTTGTCCCAGGGGCTTGGTTGACGTAACTACACCAATAACATTGAAGAATCCCAGTCCCGACTCAATCTTCCTGATCGGCATAAACTTATCTCCCTACAGAAAGATTTCGAATGAGCTTGCGGTGAACTTCTCTAGAAACACGAAACTCACCCCTTGCGTAGTCATTCCAGCCTTCATGGCTAGTGGTCCATGACTGCGCGCGAGATCGTTGGCAGGAGGCGGTGAGGGCATGGTCACCACCACTGGGGTTGTCCTGTTGGACGACGACGAAGTGATCTGTGCAGAGCCCAAGCATGTGCGCTCGTTGGAGGGTACTTGCGGTGCAGACCGGACATCAGTGGGGGACGGTGATGGTGCTCGTGAAACAACCGCCTCTGCTTGGGGTGCCGCTATCTCATGTCCACCTGATTCGCGCCCGGCCTCAAGAGCGCCTGACTTCAATGCTTGCCTTTTCCGCCTGCGCTTCTGTTGTCTTGTGAGCTCCTTCTCCGGCGGCTGCGCATCGGATTGAGAAAGATTAGTAACTGATGAATCAATGTGCCGATGGGACGCAAGGACAGGCGTTGGTTCTTCTCGCGCCCCCTCACTAGTAACGATCTGCGGCTGCGGGCTTTTAGATGGGGGATTTATGTTTCGCATATCCACGTCTTCTGTGCAATGTTGCCGGGCAATGTCCCTGATGCGGGGAATGTCGCCGGTAGCGCTATACCAGTCTACTGTATGTTATGAAGGTCGCGTTAACACGAATTACTTTTGTGGACGTGACACAACATAAAAAATCACCTTCCCAAGTACTGAATACCTTCCCAGCTGAGGGTCCTGACATGAGCATGGCTGCGATCCCGTCTTTGAATACAAGTGCGACGGGTAGATAGAAAGGGGCAGAAGATTGTGCCCTTGGCCGAATCTGTGCACCCTTGAGAGAAAGGCAGATTCTGTCATTCACAGCGAATGGGAAGGGAAGCAATTCATCGACTTTGGACGAAATGAGAACAAGAAAGCGGTAAGTGTCGCCGTGTTCGTGCATCTCGACGTTCACCTGGCGTGTTTTACTGATACAAGGAAAAATCATGTGAACTTTGGCTTCGATATTGTTGGTTTCATCTGTCGCGGGGTCGAGGAGGTCAGTTGCATTCTTTCGACGTGTTTCATCGAATAGCGCGAGGTTGTCCAGGCGAGGTCTTTTTGGAGGGGATCCTTCTTCCGCAGATATTCTTTTCATGACTACGTTGGAGTGCCCAATGTGCGCACAGAGGAAGCTGTTAAGTCGCCGAGAGACTAAGTAACTGCAAGCTGAAATGTAAAACGCGACCCATGTGACGCGGGTTGACCCCCAAGCACTCTAACAATAAATATGTCGGAAAAAGGTAAAGGTGCATTATACCACTCTCCAACCGTTCTCGTCATCGGAAAAATATGTAGGCTGAGGTGCGTTGACAAGGCTTTTGCAATATTTGTAAACATTCTCTTGACTTTTTTTGTGTTTTCATGCATTTTTCTCGATTTCCTGTCATCCACGCCTAGTCTCTGCAACCTCGGGATAATATAACGTAGAGAAACACCTCAACGAGGGAAAACGGCGGAGGCCAATCCAAATGCTCTTGAAGAACTCTGCAGCCTGCTGCGGACAGCTTATGACCACCCAAGACAGTTACCAATGATCCTGCGTTGTGACTCAGATCTAGCCATCTTCACCTGCTGCAACTAATCCATTTACCACGCCTGCTGTCGTTGATTTTCATACTACCGCAACTACAACTTCACTTCAATGCTCAAACAAGTTGGACTCTGGACTCACTTCTGGCTTTTTTTCCGTTGTGCGTCTTGTGGATGTACTGGTAGTCATCATTGATCTAATCATTCACGAGCATTTTTTGTGTCATCCGAGTCGGCGTCCTTGCATCAAAACCTCGTCTTGTAGTATATGTTCTGCTGACTCACACTACTCGCTCTGCTACTTACCGTACGACTGATGTTTTGTGCTGTCCTTTCAACTTCATCTCAACTACTGTCTGGTATGATGGTCAACACACTGACTCGGTACAGTTATGTCCATTCGGTTTTGAGGCAACCTAGGGTGGCCACCTCATCTCTTGACGGGACGCTGAAGTCCGTGATCAACGAGGCTGTCAACAACTTAATTCGATCAGAGACTGAGGAATAACTCGTGTTGCAGGTTGCTTGAGTACATGGAACAATTAGCTGTAATACAGATTATCGACGGATTTACACATATTCTATGAGCTCGATCAGAGAATCCGATTGTCCAAGGAGAGGTCAAAGTAGAGTACAATCTAGAAGTCCATACCATCGATTATCTTTCGCGGGCCAGCTCTCAACGGTTAAACACATCTTCTGGGCAACTACTGGCAGGCCCTTCTGCTTCGCGTGTGCGTCATGCACGCACCTGACGTTGCCAATTATACATTGTTAACTTCCACTTCTCCTTGCGTCTATCGAGTGTCAGCGACCGGCGATAAGTCAATAGTCTTGCCAGCACGTACTGTAAAAGAGCTTTTACTGCCTCCTTCTCGCGGTCACTGGTTGCAATGATCAGTCGTTCATCACCCCCTAGACGCCCGAAGGCACCCTTGACACCTGTCTTCCTGATCAAACGCAGATTCTTGATTCTATACATCGCGCCTGCCTGAAGGTCGCGTGCCCTCTCTTTCTGCCCGTCCCCCAGGACAATCTTGACGATCCGGCGGTTGAGGCCAAGACCCCATGGTGCTGGGTGTACTGAATCGACGAGGTCGGGATTGAATGTGTAATCTGTGACGTAAACAACTGGCTCTTCCACAGAGGCAAGATCAACATGGAGAACCTGTGAAACGCGTCATGAAGTGAAAGACGAAGTCCTTGACCGACCCACCTCAACCGTGCAGTGGAAGAACGCTACTTCTCCGTCGACATCTTCAATCAACTTGGTGTCAAACCGTGCAGAAGAGCCGGACGCCCCTCCCTCTCGCTCAAACTTCTTTTTCCGCCTGGAGAACACACGATGAGTGACATGATTGTCGAGTCAACAGCACCACTTACTCTAACAATGCACGAAAGTGCAAGTTCCCGCCATTTGCGACCTCGTCAAGCTTTTTTGACTTATTTGTTTCCACCAATTTACCGTAGAGATGAACATAGGAATCTGTCATTACGCGTGCATTTGGGAGGTACCAGAACTCTCCGGGCTGCATCGTCTTTGCGAGGATCCCCGCGTCATCCCACATATCCATTTTGAACACGTATGCTGACAGTTCTGGCGAGCACCAGCTTGCTTGTGGCGGGTTGGTGCGATGGTTCACAGTGTAGTCGGTCACATACACGGTGTGAGGTCCACTGATGTTTTCATAGGTATACAAAATCTAGGCTTCCTTCAGCTTCACATTTACGACGAGCCGTTAGTGGACTCACTTCGACGGTACAATCGAAATACCCTCGAGGAGAAGTATTCGGGGTGACCTCAGAGATGAGGTGATGCTCTCGTGAAGGGCGTGGTGCGCACTGCACGGTTGTGATGCCCTGTTGCTTCGCCTGTAAGCCTTGCCACCAGTCGGCAAGCTGACCACAGTACTCTGCTTCTTCAGTGCATTGCATATACGGCTTGTAGTAAGGTGATTTCTCGGAATGTGGGGCGTCTTTTCTGTCAGGATCACGGAAACGCCGAGTTTGGGTATCATAGGTGGCCCAGCGCAGCTTATCGTGATACCCTACACCATTGAAACCTGCAGCCCACTCGGAAATCTGAGAAAGATCGTGAGCGAGTGTAAAGTGGTACAAGGAATTGATGGATACCTTCAGATCCCGAAAGAGGACTATATCTCCGACTTCAGCCTGAGGAAGCCACTCTATACGCTTCTTCTGGAAGCAATTGACCTTGAAATTGTAAATCACGACATCCACATCGTCTTCCATGCAGGACGGGTCGACGATAGTGAAATTACGGGACCACTCTAGTACCATGGTGAACAATGAACCAATAATAAGCGCCGACGGAATCCCACCTTGTGAGTATGTTTGTGCCAGAGGCTTGGTTGATGTAACTACCCCAATGACATTGAAGAGTCCCAGTCCCGGCTCAATCTTCCTGATTGGTATATACTCATCTCCCTAGAGACAGATTTCAAATGAACTCGTACTATAGACACGAAACTCACCCCTTTCGTGGCTATTCCAGCTTTCATGGTCAGTGATCCATGATTGCGTGCAGGATCGTTCGCAGAAGACGCGGAGGACATTGGGGTTGCCCTGTTGGATGAAGACGAACTGGTCTGTTCAGAACCACAGCTTGTATGCTCGTTGAATGGTTCTTGTGGTGCTGACCGCACATCGGTGAGGGCTGGTAATGGTACTCGTGAAGCAACTACTGCTTGAGGGGCCGTCATTTCATGCCCACCTGATTCCAGGCTGGTCTCAAGAGCGGCTGACTTCCGTGCTTGTCTTTTCTGCCTGCGCCTCTGCTGTTTTGTGAGCTCTTTTTTTGGTGACCGTGCATCAGATTGAGGAAGATTAGCGACTGAGGAAATCAGATGCTGTTGAGGCACAAGGACAGGGGTTGGTTCTTCTCCCGTTTTCTGACTAGCACCGATTCTTGGCCGCGGGCTTTGATTGGTAATGTCCCTGATGTGGGGAATGCCAACAGTAGCATTATGATACAAGTCTACTAGATTTTAAGAATGTCACGTCAACACAAATTACTTCTGGACGTGACACAATATAAAAAATCACCTTCCCAAGTACTGAATACCTTCCCAGCTGAGGGTCCTGACATGAGCATGGCTGCGATCCCGTCTTTGAATACAAGTGCGACGGGTAGATAGTAAGGGGCAGAAGATGGTGCCCTTGGCCGTATTTGCGCACCCTTGAGAGAAAGGCAGATTCTGTCATTCACAGTGAATGGGAAGGGAAGCAATTCATCGACTTTGGACGAAATGAGAACGATAAGGCGGTAAGTGTCGCCGTGTTCGTGCATCTCGACGTTCACCTGGCGTGTTGTATTGATACAAGGAAAAATCATGTGAACTTTGACTTCGATATTGTTGGTTCCATCTGTCGCGGGGTCGAAGAGGTCAGTTGCATTCTTTCGACGCGTTTCATCAAATAGTGTGAGGTTATCCTCCAGGCGAGGTCTTTTTGAAGGGGATCTCTCTCCCACGAATATTCTTTTCATGACTTCGTTAGAATGTGCAAAGCGTGCGCACAGAACAGACGATAATTAAAGCTAAGGGTAAGAGACGAAGAAATTACAAACTGACTTCGGAAACATTTATACCGAGACGCGATGCAACGCGGGTTGACCCCCAGGCACTTCTAATATATAGAGTTATGCTTATAAGATCCTGGCAGGATCCCAGGAAACTCTCACCATGACCAGCACACTTCCCTTGCCAACTCTATTCTCCAGGGCACTTGCAACAGCCTCAAAGGCCGCAAATCTGCCCACTGTCGACGATGAAACACAGGTGCGCTTTCATCCTGTACCACATATCGTTTATCGTTATCTGACAATACTATAAAGGAACTAATCCAATCAGCCGTAACTGATCTCAAGGAGCTGGATCGGCGCGTCGCTACCCTTTCATTGTTCAGTTCCAATGAGATTCTTGAGGATATATCCACCAGGAATCTAGTGTACTTGTTTGCACGATATGTTCTTGCTGAGGTGCAGAATCGCATGAGGGCGACAGATAGGAACGAGCGCATGACTATTCTCAAGCAAACACAGGTGAATTCTCTATTTCAGTTGCTTAATCAAAAGCTCTTAACCTGTGATCAGGTCCATCTGAGATCATTCATCCATGATTTGGATACTTATTGCTTAGTACCCGAAGTGGATCGTGCGCTGTACGCACAAAATGCATCTTCCATAAAGGACGCGGCCAAACGGCGAGAAGTCAAGATCAAGCAGTTCAAGGCTGAGAAGGACTTGCGTGCACGAATTGAAGCTGTGCGAAAACGACGGAAACAAATGCCCATCGGAGACCTCTCTCAAAGTGATTTTGATCTTATCCGGTCATTACTCCCGTCAACCATTACTCCTCAAGTGAGCGATAACGACGAGGATGATTCAGAGACAGATGAGATCCTTCGTGAAGCGGTATTACTACTACTACGATTAAACTATGCCCAATCGTACTCTCAACTCGAGAGTATGGATCAGGAGCTCGAACTCCTTCGTAACGCCCCACCTCCTCCCAGGCCTGGTCCACCCTCAGACGACAGGAAAAATAAACTGAAGGAACAAGATGACTTGTGGAAACTGGAGACAAAATCTCCCGTCGGTGAGAGCGGACCATTACTTGACTCTAGCGGGAAGGTACCAGAGCATTGCATTGCCACCACCCAATGAAGTTGATCGTCATGATAGCCCCTAAGGCCATTTACTATCCTTCCTGCTGGCGCATCAGATCGCGCACGTCTGCAATCTCAGGTCTTCGGACCTGGTCACCGCCTGCCAACGATGAGTATTGACGAGTACCTCAAAATTGAACAAGAACGCGGCAACATACTCACAGGGGGAGGGTAAGTTCTCACCATTCCAGTTACTTACACACTAATTAATCTGCGCAGCCCACAATCTGAGGAACAGCCAACGTCGTCAGAACAACTGGCCATGGACTCCGAAACGGACGGTACAGTCTTTGGTGATACGAAATCGGAAGAGAAACGGCAAAAAGACGAACAATGGGCACAGTTCAAGGATGCTAATCCCCGTGGAGCGGGGAACACGATGAATCGCGGTTGATGGGGTTAACAGTGGAATTCGTTGCATTGTGTCACAAATGATTAGTAGAGCGTACTTGTGTGCAACACGGGCAAGCAAAATAGGTATCGTGGGGGGTAGTACGTATCATCACACGGGAAACACTGAATCAGCAATTGCACTGTGATGCCTCTGGTACGGCGGCAGCCTGCTGTGTCGTAACATCGATTTCTACAATGAAAGATCAATTCTTGAATCAGCGATACGGCACGAGAAGCATACTTGTATTCTGAGCATCTGCTTGGCCTTCTTTCTCCATCCCAGGTAATGATAGAGCAATCTTCTTGAACAAGCTCTTTACATTATGTCCAGCTTTTGCTGACGTTTCCATGAACATAATGTTCATTTGTGTCGATTTTGCAGTTGCCTCCTCTATAGTGACTTGGCTAATTGCTGTGTCAGACGACTTCGTGTTACAGACGAAAGGAAATCCTTCGACAAACCGTTTCTCTGATAGATCGGCCTTGTTACCGACGAGTACAATGATGACATCGTTCCCCCGTTCTGACCGAACGTCGTCTATCCACTTTGACGTTGAAAGGAAGGATTGTCGATCTTTCCAGTATTTAGCACCTGTCACGCCATGTGAACTAAACTTACTCACTAGTGATATCATACACGACTATAGCTACAGACGAATCTCGAATATACGATGGTATTAGTGAACGGAAGCGTTCCTGAAGCAATACAGATCAGCCAATAACTACCAACACAACCAACTGCCGCACGTCATACGCACCTGTCCGGCAGTATCCCACAACTGTAACCGCACTGTCCGGTCCTCCAGATACATAGTCTTGCTCAGGAAGTCAATACCGATGGTGGCCTGGTAGGTGTTGTCAAACGTATCGTACATGAATCTACACCCATGTCAGCATACGAAACGGGCTCAGGATCCACCGCAACTGACCTGGTGATGAGACTTGTCTTCCCGACGCTCTGGTCGCCAAGAAGGACAATTTTGGTACGTTTCGGAGGCGTTGAGGAGAAGTCAGCGGTTGCGGGTGTTGATGGAGCGTCCATTGGCGGGGTACAATCCTGGCTTATGCCTAAACCGTGTACAACAATGATAAAACAAGGCGATTGGCTTGCTAGGTGCCTGCTAATTAAGACCTCTGGACTCTGGATGTGAAAGTCACGATCTCGTTGGGCTCTGTCATGGCAGTGTGTTTATCCGTGTTTGCTCTGTTATTACTGCCAGTGTATGTAAGCCACGTGGTAGGCTAAAAATCATCACTGCCATCAACGATATCTCGAGGCTCTGCAACCAACCTAGCTTGATTTCGGCGTATTCTGGATAGGGCATGCAATGAAACTTTCAGACAAGATTGCGGCGTACAACTCGTCGCGTCCTTTCTACACCTTTGAGTTCTTTCCCCCTCGGACTGACCAGGTTCGTGTGTGATGTTTCCTTATCATGCGCATCCTTCAAAATCTATATCAGGGGTTCGAGAATCTAGTTCCACGTATATCACGCCTGTCAGCTCTAAACCCCCTTGCGATAAGTGTAACATGGGGAGCTGGGGGTTCAACCAGAGAACGAAGCATTGATCTTGCAGGTCTGACCCAATCAGATTATGGGATTGATACTATTTTGCACTTGACATGCACAAATATGGTCCCAGGGATGGTGGACGATGCTCTTAGGGTGAGTTGCTTCCCACGAATCTCCGGACCACGGTGAACACTGCCTTATCAGGCTGCAAAAGTACGGGGAATACAGAATATACTCGCGCTGCGTGGTGGTGAGCAGCGCGATTCTTGTTTGAGACATTTTTCGTGTTACTGATGTTCTACGTAAGATCCATCTCGAGGAACCGAACTTTGGACGCCCGTCGATTCTCAGTTTACTTGTGGGATTGACCTGGTGAAGTACATCCGTTCTTCTCCGGAGTTTTCCTCCCATTTTTGTATTGGTGTTGCAGGTAAGGGCCCTTAGCTTTGAACTTCTTTGAACTGACATACGTGTAATAGCCTACCCCGAAGGTCACCCGGACCGCGAGACCGATGAAGATGGTAGTTTAAATGTCCTGAAAGAGAAGGTTGATGCCGGAGCAGATTTTATCGTCACGCAACTATTTTATGACGCAGATCCGTTTCTCGAGTGGGTCGACAAAGTTAGAGCAAAAGGTTAGTAGCAAGTCATGGCGTCATTTATGTCCTTCTGATCGGATCGCAGGCATCACTGTACCAATCATACCCGGCGTCATGCCTATTCAGACATATTCTTCCTTTTTGCGCTTGATCAAGCTATGCGGAGTCAAGGTTCCCCCGTCCGTCATGGCTGCTCTGGAGCCTATCTGTGTAAGTATTCCAATTATAAATCACACTACCCTGCTAATTAGAGGGCAGCATGATGACCAGCTTGTTAAGGACTATGGTGTAGGCCTTGCTGTTGACATCATTCGGAAGATTACCTCCACAGGAACAATCAAAGGAATTCACTTTTGCACTCTAAACCTCGAGAAGAGTGTCCAGCTTGTGATAGAGAAACTGCAGTGGGCAGGCGGCAGCCCGACAACGAAGAATAAATTGATTGCTGCAAGTCTCGTTAATGTATGGTTAGGGTCAAGTCGCTGATTATTATCTCAGGATGCTCCAGGACCGATGATCCATGTGCAGCTCGCTAACCCCTCCGATTTGGTCATCGATCCCACCACAGCAACAAACACAGCAACAAATGCACTGACGTTCAAGCAAACCTTGGACCCAGATCCCGGCCAAGGGGAGCTGAATAATGCAGCGACATGGGATGATTTCCCGAACGGTCGTTTCGGTGACTACAAGAGTCCTGCGTTCGGCGATCGAGATCAATGGGGTGGTAGTGGCTTGTGTGTGCGAATTGTTTTTCTGCCCAGTTCAACCAGTGTGCTGATAGTCTTTCCAGCAGTATGAAGGTCTTAGTGAATGGGGTAATCCCAAAAGTACTGATGACCTTACTTCGCTCGTCCTGCGCTACCTTCATTCTGAGGTGTCATCATCCCCATTTTCCTCCTTACCACTTTCTCCAGAGTCGCTGACTATCCTGCCGTACCTTGAGCAGCTCACAAAGCGCGGGTGGTGGACGGTGTGCTCGCAACCCGCAGTAGACGGAGCGTCCTCTACGGATGAAATTTTTGGGTGGGGTCCGCGAGGTGGGTATGTTTATCAAAAAGGGTTTGTGGAGTTTTTCGTAGAAGAGCAAGATCTAGCGAATATTGAGAAGAAGATCGAGGAAGAGGGGCAAGGTTGGGTGCACTATTTCGCCGGGAATCTGCAAGTGAGTATTCCCTTGAATGTTGCACCATTTTTGCGGACTCACGCGGGTACAGGGAGAATGCAGAAGTAATGTACCCGACGACGGCAGGAACGCAGTTACTTGGGGTATGTTTCCCGGGCAAGAAATCACTCAGACGACCATAATCGAGCGCGAATCTTTCTTGACATGGAAGGTATGCGTTGCCTTCAAACTCATTCTGCCTATGCTTGTACTGATGATGTCAATGTAGGATGAAGCATTCTCCATCTGGGCTGAGTGGGCCTCCTTCTACCCACCAGGGTCCGAAGAAAGAGAACTATTGAATTCTGTTCGCAGGGAGCGGTGGCTAGTGAGCATTGTGCATCATGACTACAAGAGACCAGACGCTCTATGGACGTTCCTACTGGATGGAGAGTTCCCGCTATGACAGCATGAATTGCCATGTTCTAATTTGTCGGAATAGTGTTTTTGCCAAGTCTGCGGAAAATTACGATTAGCTAATGTAAATTCTGTATATAAATGACCGGAGAACCCCAGAGTGCTTACGCGGAGTCTACCTAGACCGATACTTAAGCTCGAAGTGTGCTTGGAAAATGCTTGGGGCATTCGCATTTGGGCATTCGGCATTGGGCGTTCAACGTTATACTTTGAGTTCCCTTATAATAACTTTGCCTCGCTTGATCTCAATGTGTTTCCCTGGTCCAGCTCTAGGCGTCACTTAAAGGGTTGAAATGATAAGTCTTCAACTGGTAAGTAACTAGAACTTGGAATGAAATTGATAGCAATTATGTGAAACAGACGTGCAATGCTGCCGCCATCGTTGCGTGGCATGGTGTTGGGCTGCCCGGAACGCTCGAACTTCCAGATTGGAGTCGCCGTCGATTTACTGGCCTTCTTGCAACGGCACCCTGGCAACCCTGCTGGTGCAGGATGATCGTTGACGAGCTCACGTTACCAACAACAGTCCTCCGAGATCCGGCGCTCAGCATGAAAAATGTATCTATTGCCTGAAACAGATTAGCAGCGCTGCTATCATCGTTCCCTTGTTCTGAGGGTGTGGGTGGGCTGCTTGAAATCTCCGCAACCCTCTCTGTATCAGAGTCGCTATTGGCGGTCTTGGGTTCTGGGTTCACTGAGTCAGCATTATGATTTGCCCCGTGCAGCTACGGGAGAACGATACTCTTTGCCAAAAATCGTCCTCCACCTGGAGTTCAGAACTACAAATGGCACGAAATGTCTGCAAAAACAGATGAACAGTGGAGTGCTGCAACCGTCGTTGCTTGCTATGGTGTGGGTAGCCTTCTGGCAGATCCCCTAGATCTTCTGCATCGTAGTCGCCATATTGGTGGGGGTCTACTTGCAACGCTGCAGCTGTCACGGTTCAATGGCAGGAACCTTCAAACGCCATGCGTCCACCAGCAGTGATTATAAATTCCGTCAAAATTCATGATATATCCCCTTTCTTACCGATTGGCCCACAGTTCATCACTCTATTTTTGAGGCAGCATTGGATTAGGGATCTTTTCCGGAGCAGACGATAGGATGTAAACGCCTGCAATGGGAACAGGCTCGTATCGGTGAGACTCCAATGCACATGGTGTGGGCTATTCTCAGGACGAACATGTGACCTCGAGTAGGTTACTCAACCGATGCTGCCCTTATCCTACCGTGCAGTTAAGTCTTTGAATCTAGTGCAAAACTTTTAAATTGATATTGCGAGTTGCGGACCGGTTCCGGTGCTGTCTGGTTGGTCGGGCGGATCGGCAGTCCTCAACGGCGCGTTGTGGCGCATATCGTTGAAGTAACTCATTGGGGCAACACGCTTCGACTACTGATCGGCTTATCACCGTAAAACACACACTCCAGAGTTCTTTCGACTATTCAATGACTGACGCATTCAACGGACGCCAGCGCATTGCCAGCATGGCCCTCTTCACAATGCACTGTTCAAATACTTCGTAAATGTACACTCGACATTCCTGCTGTGCCCTTGACATTCTGCATATCTTCCCCGGAAATCGCCATGTCTGTCTTCCCAGGCCATTACGCAGAGGATGAGGAGAAATTTGTCGCCGGACTTGAAGATGCTCAAGATGCGTACACGATTGAGGCAGTGCCAAATCGCGTGATCGTCAGGTGTTTTGGTAAATTAGGACCTCTTCTATCGAGACTCTTCGCAAGCGGTATCGAGGCCCGTGGAGTAGAGCGTATGCCAGAAAACCAGCGAGAGTCAAAAAATGCCTGGAACAAGTATGTGTCTGAGTTCCACTCGTATGCCTGATCTGACCCCAGTGTAGCATCCTAATGTGGTGGTCAGTCTGCGTCACCCGACCGATATCCGTACTATTACTTGACCTTGGTGTAGGTCTGTTAACACAGTGTTTGATATCATTCCCATAGGCGTGCTCGCACAGTCAACTTTTACTTTGAGTTTCGGGTAGGTCACTTGGACAGGCATGGTGTCACAACCACGCTTATTCTCCCAAGTAATGCTGTAGCTACCATCCTCTGCTTCGGTACTCTCGGGGCCATCGCGACAGCGTTTGTTGCTACTCTCGGCCCCATAACGGGCCTCCGCACCATGGTCATCACTCGTTTCAGCTCGGGATATCTCGGTTGTACCATCTACTCAGTCCTCAACATCCTCACGCAGTATGTTTATTCTTGCTCATGTTTATTTTGCTGAGCCTTGTCTAGGTTTGGCTTTGCCACAACGACTGTTATCCTCGGAGGTCAAACGCTGTCCAACATCAACCCTGGTACCCTTCCGTCCGTCGTTGGAATCATCATCATTGGTGTGTGCTCCCTCATCCCGTGCGTTGTCGGGTACAACATGGTGCACGTCTATGAGCGCTATGCATGGATAATTACCCTGATCAGCATGCTCTTCCTCTGGGGTCTTGGTGGAAAAGCCGGATATGACATCAACGCGCAAAAGCCACTTGAGGACACAGGGCACGCCCTCTCAGCAGACATTCTCAGCTTCGGCGGGATCGTATTCGGCTTATTCACTGGGGTGGGTCTAATCATCATTTATATTCGCTCGACGGTTGCTAACTTGAAATCGTCATCTAAACGATTATCAGTGGGCGCCAGTTGCGGCGGACTTTAACTGTCGGCTGCCTGCTGATACACCACCTATGCGCGTATTTCTGCTTACGTTCTTCGGCTTATTCATCCCTATCTGCTTTGTCGGGATTCTCGGTGCCGCCCTTATGACCATCACAGACCCTGCATACGTCGCGGCGTTCAGAGGCGGCTCGACAGGCGGCCTTGTTGCGCAGGTCCTCTCGCCATTGGGTCATTTTGGCCAGTTCATCCTCGTCCTGCTCGCGCTTTCTCTCATGTAAGAATGGGTAAATGCCTTTTCATGTTCACACTAAACCAGTCATAGTGCCAACAACATCCCGAATACTTACTCCGCGGGCTTGTCCATGCAGGCACTTGGACGCCCGTTCGCCATTATTCCGCGCTTCTTCTGGGTACTGCTAACCTTCGTGGTGTACACTGCAGCTGGTATTGCAGGCCACGAGCATTTTATTACTATTCTTTCTAATTTCCTCAGGATTCTTAGTGACTGGACGGCATTCTTCATTGTGATCGTAGCTGAGGAACACTTCATCTTCCGGCGGAAAAACGGGCCACTTGGTGGGTACAACTTGGATGATTATGATACGCCATCAAAGTAAGTTCTGCTGCCAGCAGTTCTATTGGATGAAGATCGTGACCTCACCATCCTCTCCTCACTTCTTAAGACTACCAGTAGGCGTAGCGGGTATCCTTGCAGGGTGCTTTGGTGTCGCAGGTGCTGTCATCGGGATGTCACAGGCGGGTCATCGGCGCTGCATCAGTCCATTCATGTGCACTCACTCATCAATTTGTTCGTAGGCGTTTTATACAGGCCCACTTGGAGAGATGGTAGGAGCAGAGATCGGGTTTGAGGTGTGCATTATCTTTGGTTGTCTGAACATGAATTCGCTCACAAGATTATGCACAGCTTGCAGCAGCGTTCTCAGCTGTTACTTACTTTCCATTGCGTGCGCTTGAAATTAGGCTCACTGGTCGATGAATGGAAGGTCTGCTGGTGCTGGTATCAGCGAGGCGGTATAAAGGTTATGGCATATATTTATGTGCGTGACTTAAGTATTAAGACAGATGGCTAGATCATCCGGTAGAGCCAGCAGAGGTAATCAACTCATGCAATAGATCATATTTAAATGTAAACAAATATTGTCTGCTTAATTCCCTTGGCGCTCATATCGAGAACCGCGACAACAATGATCTCCTGAAACACTTGATGCGGTAATGAGTCACGTGACGTGTTTAGATTGAGCGTGACAACAAATGTCACGTCCTCTCCTGGTTGTGACAGACGCGCCTTTGAGACGCGACTAAGTACTAACAGTACACAATGTCCCTCCCGGTGCTCAACATACCCATTAGTTACGACGATGAACTAGGTGTGTTTGCTCCATACATAGATGACGAAGCTAATGTATTTACAGATAAAATACAGAACTTTTTATCCACATATGTGGATACACACAAGCAATGGGACGACGACTTTGCAGATATGGCGCTCAGCGATGACGAGGAGGATCGGCAAGGCGCTAGCAGGAAAGGTCTCAAATACATGCAGCAGCTTGTACGTGTCATGCAGTAATTGGGACGCGTCTTTACTCAACGTTTGATTCATCAGCAACGTATAGCAAACCGTGAGCAGCAAATGCTCACTATTGACATGGAAGACATCCATCAAGTACGAGATCTCCACATTTTTCTGATGTTCTATATGTGTTGATCTTTCGTAAAGCACGAGAAAACGGTCGCCGAACTGGTATCTCGGATACGAAACAACACTCGGCGCTACGTCGCGCTTTTCAGTGAAGCCGTGGACAAGCTCATGCCGCCTCCAACCAAGGATATCAGTGAACATGATGAAGTCATCGATGTCATCCTGCACCAAAGGCGAGAACGGAATGAGCAGACTGAAGGCAGCCAAGAGGGCTTCCCTAACCATCTCTTGCGGCGATAGTACGTGGTGATATTGCCAATGTTCGTTCGAGAGTTGACTCTTCATTCAAGCAACCTTTATTTCCAGCCTCTTCGGTCCGACGTTGCTCTGGCCGTCCGAGAGGTCAAGGGAACCTATCTTGGCAGGCTGATCACTGTTCGGGGCATCGTTACCCGCGTGTCAGAAGTCAAACCATTACTCCTTGTGAACGCCTACACTTGCGATGTTTGCGGTTCCGAAACATTCCAGCAGATATCCAGCAAAACCTTCTCTCCTATTACGGACTGTCCAAATGAACAGGAATGCAAGAAGAACGGCATACGTGGCTCCCTTCACATGCAGACTCGAGCATGTCGGTTTAGTCCTTTCCAAGAAGTTAAAATTCAAGAGATGGTGAGTCATGGACACCTGATTTTGTATTGGCACTAATAACATCCAGGCCGACCAAGTGCCAGTAGGACACATACCCCGATCCATGACTATACACGTGCACGGCAACCTGACGCGCCAAATGAACCCAGGCGATGTTGTTCACCTCGGAGGTATCTTCCTCCCCATTCCCTACACAGGATTCCAAGCTATCCGAGCTGGACTGCTCACCGACACCTACCTTGAAGGACACCATATCCACCAGCTCAAGAAGCAATACAGTGACATGGAGATGACACCACAAATACAGGCACAAATCGCGGAGATGCAGGCAGACCCGTCGCTGTACAACAAGCTCGCCCAGAATATCGCACCCGAAATATATGGACACACTGATGTAAAGAAAGCCTTGTTGCTATTACTTGTAGGGGGTGTAACAAAGACGATGGGTGACGGGATGAAGATTCGTGGTGACCTCAATGTATGCCTGATGGGTGATCCTGGTGTGGCCAAGTCGCAGCTCCTGAAGTATATCTCGAAGATCGCCCCCCGAGGAGTCTACACCACGGGTAAAGGTTCATCAGGAGTTGGTCTTACAGCCGCGGTCATGAGAGACCCAGTTACCGATGAGATGGTTCTTGGTGAGTTTCTTTCGGTCTTGCTTAAATGCTTGGCCTGACAATACTGAAGAGGGTGGTGCCCTGGTTCTCGCCGACAATGGCATTTGTTGCATCGACGAATTCGACAAGATGGAGGAAACAGACAGAACTGCGATTCACGAAGTCATGGAACAGCAAACAATCTCCATCTCAAAAGCTGGAATATCAACGACTCTGAATGCTCGCACATCCATACTTGCGGCCGCGAACCCTCTGTATGGCCGGTATAACCCGAAAGTGTCGCCTGTCGAAAACATCAATCTGCCTGCTGCGCTCCTATCTCGGTTTGATCTTTTATTCCTCATCCTGGACAAACCGACCAGAGAAGACGATGAGCGACTAGCGCAACATGTAACCCATGTGCACATGTTCAACTCCCATCCAGAGCTCGAGTACGATGTTGTTGACCCTGTCCTTATGAGGTGAGCATGGGCGTTCAAGACATTTATTCGAATTTAACGAGCCGCCTGGCAGGCATTACATCGCCCAAGCTCGCCAACGCCGTCCTACCGTTCCCTCAGACGTCTCTAGCTACATCGTCGACTCCTATGTCCGCCTTCGCAAGCTCTCGAAAGACGAGGCCGCACAAAAGAAATCCCATACCTACACATCCGCGCGTACGCTCCTCGGTGTGCTCCGTCTCGCACAATCTCTCGCACGCCTTCGCTTCGCAGACACCGTGCAGCGGGATGATGTCGACGAGGCACTCCGGCTTATGGAATGCAGCAAAGAGAGCCTGCACGATGATGATGACAAGGAGTATGAGCCTGATCGGTCGGTTGTCAGTCAGATCTTTAGGCTCATCAAAAGCATGTCAAACGAGGGTGGGAGGAAACGGAGAAAGAGACAGAAGAGGTTTGGTCGAGGCCCTGGCGGGGAACGCGAGATGGACGTCGACTCCGATGAAGATGAGGATGATGGGGAAGAACTCGCTCTCATTGACGTTCGGTCCCGTGTGTTGGGTGCTGGATATACCGAGGCGCAGCTTAATGATACCATTGCGGAGGTGAGTATATATGCATTTGATGACAAGGTTTTTCTGACGCCTACTTCCAGTACGAAGCTATCGATGTTTGGACACGTGTAGCAAATGGCGCGAAGCTGCGGTTCATTCTTGATTAGGGCATTTTGAATAAGGTACTTACGCTAGGACTTTTCTCTCGATTGATCCTTCTGTGAATTTAACATCTGTTGTACGAGTTTGCATAAGTCTTTTGCGTCTCCCAACTTCCGCACCTGCCCTGAAATTGTTCATGCAAACCACGCAAGACTAGTGTTATCTTGTCTGTACAACAAGTAATTCTGAAACCAGCCTGTCAACGATCTAGGTCATCCGCTAATGCGATGAACGGAGTTTCTCAAAGTAAAACTCAAGGTCGGTGAGAGGAATGACGGTGGAGGCCCCCCCAGAAAAAACACAAAGAAATGAAAAAAGGTATCATTCGACAACTGCAGCACAATACATCATAGGCTGCGTCTTTGGCTACGAAACAAGCCTCAGTATTAATCCGCGAACCTAACCGTTCGAGGTCGTTTCAAAGCCCGGTCTGCTGTGCCGTCTGGCTGATAAGTATTGATGACGTTGATATTCAGGGCTGAAGGTGTGGCAGAATCCTCCGAGGTGTGCGTAGATGTGAAATTCTGCGTTTGAGGCTCTGCATGTGTTAGCAAAGAGATCTGTAGCGATGAAGAGAAACGCTCTGGCTCTGTTGGAACAGCTAAAAACCGAGGGTTCTAAGAAGATGAAGGTCCTAGTGAGTGATCCCATGACCGAGTATAACCGAATTGCATGTACCTCCATGAAGTGACGCATCCCCACTTCGGCAGTCATCCTCGGAACTTTGCCAGATCCCTTCAGAAGATGACGTCTAGAGACCATTGCCTCTTCTGCAGTGTGTCTGATTACGAGAGTCTTCACTAAGGGTAGTGATGTGATGAACCGAACTATTAAGCATCATTCAGGAAGAATTACCAGTAATTGGTTTTGTCTGCCCGATACGGTGTGCTCGCTGGCAACTATTTCAGCGACGATTGTCTAATCTGAAACAAAATCTGACCTTTATGGCTTGTGCCTCGACATCGGGGTGCCAGACAGGCTCACAGAAGATAACTCGGGAAGCAGAGGTCAAGTTCCTGTCGGATACATTGTGAACAACAAAAATGAGTGCAAATGAGATATACTCACAGACCACGAGCACCGAGCTTCAACTCCATCAGGAAAACACGGAAGGTATCAGAGGACTCAAAAGTCATGACGCATTGCTCTCGTAGTGGCGGAGAAACATCTGTTGTATATCGGAGGTACTTGATTTCGATAAAAGAGAGTGCCTCTGCGATATGGGCGAGAGTGAGTGGTGAATTAGAGAATATGAGGAATTTTTCCTTCTCTGAATGATTCAGAACCTAGAAAGAAGGGTGAGAGGTAGGCGACACAATAATACTGTGGATTGACCTCTGATATGATAAAGTTCAACTTGGTGGATAGAGATGGCCCGACACATGTTCTTGACAATGGCGACGAGCTGAGTAGATTGGATGACGAAGGAGCAGCGTGATGCCCCAACTTGCGGCGAACAAAGCCATCAATGTCTGTTTCAGGTACATCCTCTGTTTGATATACTTTCTCTTTCTCCTTCATGACCTCCAACTCGTCTTTAACCTCAGACACCATCTTTTTCATCTGCAAGGCGTTGGTGACATCGTGTACTTGTGCAGCTTTCTTCTCGCATCGTGCTCGTTCATTCAGATCCAACGCTTTGCCTTCCTCAACCAATCGATCTAGATTCATCAAAGGTCGGCTGCGAACGAGAGCTCGTAGATCACACAGCCGGCTCGCATGCATGAGATTGTCAACGCGAGATCTGTCCTTCAATCTTCCCCGTGTCCAGGCTTCGAAAACAGCTGTGTCTATCCCCGTCACGCGAAAAGGGACATCTTCATGTTGTTGCATGGCGCGCCACAGAGGATCTTTCGCTGCCGCCTCTCTGCGAGGCGTCACTAAGCCTGAGTATACAGTAACAAGGAGAGCAGACTAACGCGTGTGCTAGTGCTTGTTCCAATAGTGCCATATCATCATTAGACACTTGGGCTTCAGTGGCACGAGCCAGGAATTTAGGGGCTTCATGTCGTATTTGGTCGACGTTAAACAAGATGTCGGACGCCGACCAAAACATTCCTCTGTTCGACTTTGATTTTAGTTATGATTTTCGCTGGAGCCAAGAACTTACTGTGACAAGTTGTCCATGGCAATCTGAAGATTTTTTGCGTTCTAGTGCAAAATTAAAGTCAGTGTTTAAATCGTGCTTAATGGATCTGCAAGTTCTCACCCTAGGATGGAAGATGTAATCCTTCAGGCGACGTGAGTGAAAGTTCGGATACACGACCAGATACGCACCTGACCCTCACGTTGAGAGTCAATAGCGTTAATTGCAATGCTGGCTTGCATCGCATTGTAAGACTTTACAGCATAGGCGTCAAGATCCATGTAAATGGGTGTATGTCGCATGGGAGGTAGAACTACTTCTTCTTCAATGTCCTCGATCCTAGATAAGATAAACTTTGCGGTCTCTAGCAGTATACAATACGACTAACCTGTGACGAACCATGACCATCTCCATGACCTGACTCAATACTTTGACTGCGCCTACGCGAGGCCCACGATGATCGCAGAGAGGTGCAGATACATGGCTACCAAACAATTTGAGATCAGAATGGAACTGAGGAACGGCGAGGAAGTCGCTGATCATTGTCCCGAGTTTTCGCAAGTTGACGTAGTCGTACGTCCCCCATACCCTGGCTATGTTCTCCGCGCCGCCATCAGAAATTGAAGAGGTATCGGATGTAGAGCAATCTGTCGTAGCAGGTATAGATAACGAGTAGGTACTGTCAACGGTACTGTCATTTTCTATGTCGTCGTCCTGCTTGCGCCCCAAGCTCAGCCCTAGTATATTCGACGTCGGGGTTCCTGTCACAATCCATTTACGTTCGATGCTTAGCTGGCGAACAAAGTAATTTAATGTGGCGGCCGTATTTCCTGAGGTATGGCCTTCGTCGATCACAAGCCTCTTCCAGCGAATTTGAAAAAGAGGCGATACATCTGGGTCGCTGGGACAACAACAGTTTGGTACGCGGCTACCAGGAAATGGAGCACAAGTGCAGGGTTTGAGTTTATGCAAATGTGCAACTTTATTCTTCACCGACTCTCTGCGAAAACCTGAAGATGATAAGCACTGAAAACATGTGAAGTACTAAAACGCACGACTATCCGTCATAATGATGAGCTTGAATATTTACAAATCAGCAATGCAGTCACTCGATGTGGAGACAATGCTACATACATCATAATCAGACGCTAAAGCCTTCGCACTTGGGATCTGCGTTGTCTGTCGGATGACAAGATATCTCAAGGTGCTATGACAATGTTTCAGAATTTCCCTATCCCACTGTCCAAGCAAATTGACGGGCACAACAACAAGTGTTGCTGCCGTTAAGTACATCACTCGGGGATATTTCGAGACCCGATCTCTTGTGCGAGAAGGACCAAGAGCAGGTATAGGTGATTTGACGGGGTAGTGGTGATAAAATGGCGTGTTGGCTTGCAGGAGCTGCCAGAGGTTGGACGCCTCCAGTTGTTCTTCATGTGATCGAACGTCCACTTTGTCACCCCACGTCCTTATACGGTGAAGAAGAATTTCAACGAGAGATGGAACGCGTGTTACATCGAGCGTCGAACTTTTATGCATGCCAGCCCTCCTTCGAGCATTAAGGTACTCATCTGCAGGGAAGGTGCGATAGGCCAAGGGAGACATAACAGGGCGGTAGTCCAATAGCGATTCTTCCGGCTGAGATAGTTGATCGACAGTAGCAAGGATCAAGCCCAAGATCATCACCGTCTTTCCCGTGCCTGTGTGTGGCCATATATAAGTCGAGGAGTTGGGAATGATGCGGCACTTACCTAGTTCTTCACATAAAATCCCACCCTTACACCGAGCAACTGTTGGGCATTCACGCGCAGCGGTAAGGGTTGAAGGCTGGAAGTAAAAACGTTCGCCATGCATATCTGAGATCGGGATGTATAAAGGGTCCTGAACAGGCTGGTTGCTCAGCTCCTTCTCAATCATCACGGCAACGGACTGTCTCTGGTACTCATACAAAACACTGCGAAGACCCCTGATTTCTTGTCTCACAGTAATTGTTGAAGAGACCAATGATGGTAGGTCGCTATAGATCTCCGCCATTGTGCGATTATCCTGTGTGATGAGATATGCAGCTATTAGACACCGATCACAGCGTAGGGAGTGCTTACAATATCCCTTGGCAAGAAATAATTTTGAGGTTGACTCATCGAGGGGAGTTCATCTGCATTCCAGGAACGTTGGTCCTGTACGATCGAGGGTAATAACGCTTGAAGGTGACGATGACCCTCTTTCAATACAGCTTCACTGCGATGTCGTAGGCTTTTTTGCACAATTGGTAAGTCGGTAGGTATGAGGTATATGCGGATATATAACACTCGTTGACTCGTTCCAAGGCAACAGGTAGCACGCAGGAATTGATGTTCAGTCAGGAAAGAGAGCTTGCAAAACACATCATCCTCTGCATAAACAGACAGCTGACGTGATGGTACTGGATGCCAGGTGTCACTTGCGTGTCTATGAGCGCAGTGCAGATGACTGTCTTGAACGTCTACACTGATAGTTCCCACAGATAACAGATTATCGAGAGCAAGGGGGTTCGATTTGTCGTGCTCGTTGCCCACGCCATTTCCTACGCATGTTTGACAGCACAGTAGACAAGATTTCGCTCCTTCCATGCGTTCAGGCTGTCCTCAGACACAGGTGATAGTGATGATGGTCAAAGGAACGAATACCGAGACTTGCTGTACCAGCGCCAAGAATAAATCTTTGATTAATCTAGATCGTAACATATGTGTGGGAATAACATTCCTATTTTGGTATTTGGCAAGGCTGGTTGAAATGAGGAACAGTTAAAACCGGAAAACACCATCTTTCTCATAATGTCAGTGTCTCTTGCAAGAATCAGTTGTCATGAAGTGCGCCTCGCGCCGCCACGGATATGTCGTCGGGCGGTCTTGAACATCAGACATAATTCAAACACACCAGTCTCCGAGGCAGAACAGCAGAACTTGACCTGGCCCGAATATCTGGAGATTCGCAAAAGTAAACGAAAATGGGAGACTGTGAGATACTCCAGCTGGAATTCATGTTCGCGTTTTCTCATAGGCTATTAACACATGATAGGCTGCTACCATTCCGGCATGTATTCTCGGGTTGGTGGGAGGACTTGCGTACTTTGGTTCTCTTGAGTCGGACGCGACGAAGCCTATCATGGTGTGTAATAAATTGCTATATGCTTGTACCTCTTTCTCATAGAACTAGGGGATAGATCCGTTGTTTTTCTACGGCGGTTGTACGGTCTCATGCATGGGTGAGACATTTTGTCTATGCAAAGGTGACCTTAATTAATGTAGCTCAGGGCTCGGATACCTCATTGGCCCCACTATCGGGGCTGCGGGTTGGAGAATGACTCACCGTCGCGCAATGAACCTCATAGAAGCCAAAGACCGCAGATTTCACCAACACATAGTGAAGAATCGTGTAGATCCAACAGCTCAAAGTGCCACGAACCCGTGCCGGATTTCTATGGTAAGTACTGGCGCTGGGACTGAATGTGAAACGTATCTTATACTTGCGGTACCATAGGAGAAAAAATTGGATCTCTCCACCAATATCGACAGGTGCGTATACTTTTTAGTCTCTTTTGCAATAAATTCACTATTTCATACAGTGGTTGCGTGACCAAGCTAGGTTTAGACGGAAAGCACGGTTTGCGGAGGAATGAGATGTTTGTCCTAAGACTGCTAAGTAACTTTGCACCTTACCCTCCATAATTGACAGTATCTTTGGCAAATCGCATTTGAACAGTAACTACAGATTTACCATGCTTCGTCCTCTCAATGAGCTTTACTGGAGTCTGTAAACAAATCACTGGTCATCTAATAAATTAAGGGTTGCATAAAAAGGAGTGGAATACGCATTAAGCCTACGGTAAGGTTTTCGTTGTCTCCGGAAAGACATTTAAAAAGAGGAATACCTAATATCTAGAAGCAAAGCAAAACCAATTGTGAATAGCAAACTGTAGTGGGATCTCATCGAGTCTGCAGTTGGCATCATAAGAAACAGCTTTGTCCTGAATCATCAGGATCATGCAAAGGTTACAGTAACTCAAACTTCCGAATCCCGTGTTCCCTTCTCTTTCGTCCAGAGACCTCTAATCTGATACCCACTCACGGAAAGAGCATAGGGCTGAGGAGAAGACGGAGAGGAAATGCTGATGGCACCTTCCATATCACGAGCCCCGGGTGACTTTGGAGGAACAGACTTGGGTCGGGGATCAGCAAAGGGATCTTGAGATGGTTTAGAGACGAGAGATGGCGGTGGAGAACGCGAGCGTTTGGGAAGGGGTGGCTTGGACTCTTTGGCAGCTTCTCTGACATACTCAGGACCACTAATCGAGCGAAACTGGGGTGCCCAGCCAACACCAGCAGGTGCCACGAAGGTGTCAAGAGCTAGGGGAGCAGTTGTAGACGGTGCGAGCCATTTCTCTTTCTGTCGTTCTACATCACCCCCATCAGCAACGTTGACAACGCCCTTGATGGATTTCCTCCTCTGTACTCGTATGTACCAGAACCCAATGCCTGATAGATGTAAAGCCCAAATGACATTACCATACATAGAGGACGACATACCAAGAATGATAAACGCAAGGATTGAAAGCGCGATGACGAGGGTTTGACTTGAAGCAGGGAAACTATTTGAAGTGGCTACAGGCGTCGTTGTCGGGGGAAGTGCTAACCCAGGTCCGTCAGGGATAGCAGGTGAAGGTGCGGAAGATATAGAAGAAGCGCTAGCGCTAGAATCGCGCCGTTGCAGAAAACGAGCGATCCTGCGCCCTTCCCGCTGAACGAAACGCATAGAGTATGTCACGAAGAAGGCGCTGAAAGAAAAGAAAAAGGGAGTAAGCTTTGGAGGAAAGATGAATGAGTTCCTTACTACGCACCCTGTCCAAACCATGGAGGTCTATCACACATAATCACTCCTTGGCAACAATCATCAATGATTGCACCGCCGTCTTGAAAGCGCTGAAGATTATCATCATCACCATGGGCATCAAAAGTGCTTGAGAGGTGTCATTGATTGCCAGTGGTGTGAGAAGATATGGATGTGACGTAGCACTCGTGAAGTGCTACTTCAATTCGATTTCAACATGGAGACCTGAAATTAAGTTCAGCCTGTGCTTTCCAACTCGACACTACGGCCTGCCTAGTTCGAAACCGACCGGAAACATTAATATGGCTACGTATAAGCAGCTCTGTCGTTCCTGATTCCTGAAATACTCGATCGACTTGAGTGGCATAGCCTCGCAGCAGTGCCACACGATACGAGGGGTCTGTCTATGGGAGACCCATAATCAAAAACTAGAAACGACCATCCTCTTTCTCTATATAAGGGAGACAAGGGGAGATGTACGTTCATAACTTGCATTTTCTCTTTAATGAATTTCATCCAAGTCCAAATTTCGAACTATTAGATAGCCTGGTTTTTGTTTCATCGTCACGATGGCATAATGTATGTATTGCACTCGCTAGATCTGGATGGACACAGAAAGATATACCGCAACTGCAAAGATGCAACAACACAATACTAAGTACCATAAATCACAGGTATATCAAAGAATCGCAAAGTCAGAGACTAGATCAAATCCACCAATTGATTCGACACGGCTCTGTGTAATGAACGAGCTCCCTCCGATGGAACATAACTTGGCAGCACTTTCATCACAATTGCCTCCACATCTTGAGGGGACAGGGTCTTCGCAGCGTTGCTGGTGAGAGAGTACACCGTTTCGGCTGCGATTGCCATCTTTTTCTTCCACGGTGAACGGAATAAAAGGCAACACAGTGGTAACGCGGGACAGAAGCGAAGCCTGAAAGAGACAGTATCGGGGAGTCCGTAAAGGATTTGACCAGTTCAAGCACTTACTCCGAGGCATTGCGAGACATGAGGTCTTAAAAGATCCATGAGACCTCGGTACTCTTCTCGAGTAACGGGTTTGCTTGGATCTGGTCGGGAATCATGGTGCTCAAATACAAAGTTATGGCCTATATTGGATGTTCCAAGCCAGATTACTTTCGTAAGATCAACATGTCGCTTTCCCGTTTCAAGGGAGCAGCGGCCTTTGAAAAAGAGTAAAACATTGTCGTACTTACAATGTTATATGAACTCACCTAGCTCCCAAGGCATGAGAAGAGAGTACAACGCTTTAGGATCTTCTACCTTTTCAATCTCCTGAGGTAGAAATGAGTCAGTTTCGCAGAACAAGGTTGAGGGGAACGTACGTCGAGCACTACTACGCATCGCTCGCCTTCGTTGTTAAGCAGAAATTGGGCCAACGTATCCGAGGAAGGCTCCTTCACGGAAAAAATATCAAGGTGCATTCCATCAGCAGACAAAGCATAACAAACCTCATACGGACTCATAGAGTACGATTGCCATAGATCGTGCGTCGAGCGCAATGTGGTCATGTTAACAGTATGGGTGGGAATATCCAAGAGACTTCCAACTGCAAAAGAAACGATAAGTTAGAGAGGTGTAGCTCGTAAATACGAGTTACGGACATTTACGGGCCAGCAAGCTCTTCCCATGACCGCTTGGACCTAGGGGAGGTATAACGATGCACCCTGTACTTGGCTAGAGAACATACCGCAAAGCAGAACCACGATGGGAGCCACCGACAACCGTTGAGAGTGCATACTCAACACCCTGAAGAGTTGTTCTAATGCCCAATCTTGACCAATGAGATCATATCGAACTCTTGTGAGGGGCCGGAAGAATGAGCGATATATAAGCTGAGATGTTTGCCGAGTGTGTATCGAATCGGCTCTAGTAACATAGTATCTAAAAATTGAGTGAGCAAACGGTGATGAAAGCTTAAGGGGCACTACGCACCTCGTAGCGGGATCCATTCCTTCTGGCATCGTCTCTCCAGGCTGTGAATGTGAGCCTGAAACACCCTCACTTCCCTCCGATGACACTTGTGCAGATGGATTTAATTCTGGATTACGCAGCGCCGATGGATCTGCGCCATAGGCTAATAGGGCCTTGACAATCTCATTCTTGTGCGACAACTTGTCATTGGTCAAAGTAAAGGCCAGGGCGGACTGAGGACCAACTTGGTCGTTTGGTCCAGCTTCGCCGCTCTCAAGCACCTGTCGCACTTCATTAACATCGTCGCTCGCAATGGCAAACAAGAGAGTCGGCTTTGGCGTCGCTATCGCATGAACCGGAGCTTCGAGAACAGACGAAGGCCGTGGAGGAAGGCCGGAGGCGGAACGACGAATTGTGCGTGTGTATTCATTGACATCTTCCTCTTCATCGTTGTATGCCAAACTGAGAGTTGACAGTCGGTGTGGCAGGAGGTGGAGCGGCTGATTAAAATCACGAGAACCTCCTCGGTAGCGCGAAAGGCGCCAAGACGGAGCCTGTTGGACTGGTGCCGAGTGCAACTGGCACTCCCTCTGCGTAGAAGGAACAAGAGACGAGGGAGCAGGAGTAAATGCGAACGATGACGAAGAACTATCATGAGCGGGCGTGAGGGTATTGTGAATATGCTCGGGAATATGCTCGGGTATGCTTGATAAACATGGTGAAGGCAGCTGCCCACACAAATCAGACTGGCACTGAGGGCAAAAACATGATTAGATTACGTACCAGTGAATTATGCGATAGCGAAGTACTAGATGATACATTGGGCGAATGAGGTGAAGACGAGTTGAAGCTATGGTCTGTATTCAAGAATCAGCACTACGATGGCCGAAGAGGTAGTCGAAGTACCGACCGGATAATATATTAGACATGATGGACGAGGTCGATGATACGGACGACCTCGGATTGAGCAAACTAGACTGAAGGCGAACCTGAGTGATGGTGTACAGGAATTACTGTCGTTTGGCAACTCACCAGCCTGAGAGGTTTTAATCCAGTAGTGGATGGTTCTTGCTGCAGTTCAACAGGAGACAGGAGCCGGTCGGTCGATGGTGGTCTTGGTGGAAAGAACTTGTTGAGTTGCTGCGGGGCAGCGTTCGCACTGGCAGTGTCACTCTCTCGTCTCGTTGCCGGATGAAAAACAGGTGAAACGGAGGATGAGGGCTGAATATCCTGCAGCGGTCTTCTGGCTACAAACTACAGGGACATACATGAGTGACAATTAAAGAATGTCGCTTCAGAGGCCTACCTGTGGATTGACACGTCGAAAACCGAACGGTACCTTTGTGCTCCTTGCTTCCCGCGACGAAAGATTTGACGTTACTGGAGCTGAGACGGAGGGACTTGCTGTAGACGAAAGCCCGTCTGTATCGGAGAACCATCGCTTCGTATCACGTCCATTCGAGAGGGATAGAATAAGTGGTAGACTCTGAGCAGTAGACGATGAAGATGGCTGAGCTTCATAGGTCGATGGAATATGTATTGTGAGATTCGGTGGAGCTCTATGTGTTGCAGGGGACTCCGCCCTAACTAACACGGAAGAATGTTTCTCCTCATGATCATGTGCTGTTGATTCAAGAACAGATGCTGGATGCAGATTCGGAGATTCCCTCGTCTCATAGGATAGTTTCACGGCAGTGACCTCCATACTTGGCAAATCAGTGGGTTGTGCATCCACGCCTTGATCGTCAAGCGCTTGTAGGAAGTCCGCATGATCGTCCAAATTGGTGTCAACGAGGGTGGCCGGGATGAAGGCCACGGGTGATGGAGGAAAATAAGGAGCACTCGGAGACTGCAAATCGGGTTTCACGGTGACATCTGAGATAGCACGATTCCTCTGTACAAATTCAATGATCGAAGGAGCATCTACAGAACCAAGAGTCGCAACCGAGGGATCGTTGACAGTACTAGTGTCAACCAGTGATTCGTCGTGAAAATGAGCTGCCTGGATATCCTGCTTCCTCTGAAGTAAGAATGCATCTATGTCACGAGTTCCGATGGCTTGCCCGGCAGTCGCCGCTGGTAAAGATACCAGGTCATCCAAGAGACCTTCAGTGCTATGTTGGCCACGAAGCGCATCGCCCTCGTCGAGTTCAACAGTGCTAACGCTCATGCCCTCCTCGACAGACAAGACACCTTCCACGCCACTCCAACGACGAAGGTTGGCGGAAAAGTTGCCTTAATTGAGGGCTCCAAGACGTGCGCACGCCAGCCTCGTCGTGATCGAAGTCTGTATCGTCAGATAAGAATATCACAGGAGACATTGAAGACATGCGCAAAGCCTGTTGGACATCCGCATTCAGAGCGTCATGCCACGAATCATGATGACCATCAGTCTGGACATCTGAACCACTTCCGGTTGTGTCTAGAGCATCTCCTGCAGGCACTGGCATGTCGTCGGAAAGGGAAAATACATGCCCGATGTGGGCTAGAAGTTCACGGGAGATCCTTGGCCGCTCGCTGGGGCGGGCGATGGACAACTCTCGACTTTCGGTTGGGTAGCTTGCATAAAGATGATCTTCCCGGAGTCCGTATCCGTCCATATCATCATCATCATCCCGTACCGGCGATAAAGTAGGAGACTGCGCTGGTATGAGACCACTCTGCTGTGGCGAAGGAGGTTGAGAGAAAACGGTCTCTTGAGTCATGTCGTCAGCCGTGTAGTCGCACTCAACGGAGAGTATGGATGTATTCGGAGATGAGCGACCAGACGGGAAAGTGCCTAAAGATAACAGCGACACCTTTAATGACAATTCTCCCTCCATAAACTCGCTGTCAATCAAATACGAAGAAACCGAGGGGGTAATGACGTCATCGGCTCTGCTGACGATATGAACGTCGGAAGCAGCGGGTTCGGGTAATGGAGAAGGCGGAAGGCTGCAAAATTCCATGCCGACGAGCACTGCTTCCCGGGATGGAAAAATCCCTTTAACAGAGGACGGGCAAGCCGTAGATGACGAAAGCGGAGAAACCAATAAATCTAGAGGGCTGTCAGCATCGAAAGTCGCATGTTCGGTGTCAGCCTCCGGCGCGGAATCGGGCTGAAGTGATGGTGCTTCTAAGGTGCTGTCATGAATTGGCGCACTCTCGGAAATGATAACGGATGGCTGTTTTGGAAAGGATGGTTCTACTGGAGGACTTAAAGGAGGTGTTAACACTATCCCAGCGAGACGGACAGTGGGGGAGAGAGGCTCTTCGTCAAGATCAGACGACACATCATAGGCATCTAAAATAGATAAAGTCGAGGATGTGTCATCTTCATGCTCTTCGGTCACCACTGGTTGGCGGGGGGAAGGTCGGACGCCGCGAACATCATATGACACGCGTCTATCTTGTAACAAAGATACTGAAGCACGGCGAGAGGGTGTTGAATTGAATGCAATGCTATTGCGCATGGAATGAGGTGGAGAACGAGCCAGCAGCGCCGGTCCCGTCCAACTGTCGGCATAGCCCGAGTCGATAGAGTCTTGCCGCTTTGGCGGAAAGTTGTAGCTGTACATTGAGAAAGGCCGCAAGCGTGCAGAAAGCTCGACAGGAGATAGAAGGTCATTGTAAACTTCTTGTCCTGAATTGTCCAAGGGCTCCTCCATTGGCAAGTCATGAGGGCATGCAAGGAGTGACAAGACAGAGCTGGCAGTACTCATAGAAGAGAACCTGGAAGGCGGGGTGGGGAATCGCAAGATAGTCATTGAAATGAATTGCGACCTGTCTTCTCCAGCCTCTTCAGGGTCCTGTTCCTGTTCTTCTTCCCCGTCCTCGTCACCCACCACATACAAAGGAAGCACATCCCCAACCTCTTTAGAATCATCTGAGCCAATATCACGACATGCGAGTATCTCCTGTATTTCCCCTGCATCCCGAGGCACTTCAACAACAGAAGAGTCCTGAGTATCACATAAATCTGATTCTTCCACTAACGCAGAAACGTCCATGGAGAAACCAATCATGGTGGTATCTGCTGGGGAATTCGGCAAAAAAATATCGTTCATGTTAGCAGGTCGAGGTGTGAGTGTTTCGCCGTCCTCGCTAGTTGGGCCAATTACATCTTGAAGAACCGAAAGTAAACCAAAATAACGAGAAGTGTCATCCACCGGGCTGACAAGTTGAGTAGAGCGTGGGCTCGCAGAGTTGATCACGACCGAAGGAGGATTTAAAACGGTCCTTGGAGGCAAAAACACGCGTGACCCGACAGGCTGCGCGACGTGCACGTCAACAAGTGACTGGCCGGGAGGGTTCTTTACTTTGATATCGTGAAGGAAGTTGCACGAATCCGCGAACAGACAGCGTCCTTGAGAGTAAAACGGACACGGGCGCGCTATAAAAAATCAAAATATATACATATAAGATATACGCAGAAACAAACTTCTCTGGCGCCATGGAGGGTCCTGAACTGTCATTCCACTGATTCATCGAACGACCATGGACGCGGACGGTGTACAGAACATTTGCTTCCGTTATTGAACCAAAGGCCACAACTATAATAAGAAATATTACAACGGACCCCAGATACCACCCTCCAATGGCCCGTCTCCCCCAAGTCGCCCGCCTCATTCTCTTCACTGGCCCAAATTGCTCGCTTTGTGACGTCGGTATTGTTTTCTTTTTCTTTATAAAACTTTCTAATCATTCATGCTAGGTTGCAAAATTAGAATTGGCAAAAGTCAGGCAGTCAGTACGTTGCAACTCAAAACTCAAATGCGACATACAAGTTGCTGATGAACGAGTAGTATCAATTCGACCTTGAAATAGTCAACATACAGGATAAAGGCCAGGAAAGGTGGAAGAAGAAATACGTCTACTGGATTCCCGCGCTCCATCTGGATGGGAGGGAGATAGCGAAAGGTCGCTGGGATACCTCCACCGTACTCGAATCCATGAGGCAGCGGAATGCGGCACTGGAAGCTCAGGAGGAAGCTGTTTAGAGAGTAGTCCTTGCGGTTCAAATGTTGCTCGCAACTTTTACATCGATACCTCTGGATCAGCTTGGTTCCAAGAATTGTCACCTCAGTTATGCTTTTATGACAGACACGTTTCGGATATCCTAGGCGAGAATCGAAGTCCGTCCCCTACACTCCACGATGCTCGCTTTTGTTTTAACTGTGGCTCGCCTGATCACATCGTCGGATCCTGTCCTGAACAGCACAATCGTCCCCTCATCGCGCTGTCGCGGCAACTCTTCAATTTTTTGCGCTCTGACTCGGATGGGGAAACGAGGGAACCGGGCAGGTTTCATGTTGTTGAAGCTTGGAAGAAACAACGGCTTGAATGGTTGGAGTGTTTCCAGCCTGGAAAGGTTGTTGGTCCCACCTTGCGCGAAGCTTTGGGCTTGCAGCACGGAGACTCAGGTCATCAGTGTGCATGGCTATATAACATGTCATATTGGGGCTATCCTGCAGGATGGATAAGTGATACCGATCCAAGGGATACTGTTCGCCAAAGAATTTTGGGAGACTTCCGCACTCTAGCACACAGCCATCCACTTGAGGATCCCGATGACTCTTTCCTCATAGTTAGTGACGAAGAGGACCGCGAAGTAATCGACCTAAGTCTTGCAACGTCTTTCTATCCTAAATCAGGCGGGGACGAAACACCAGTTGTCGATGATACTTTGTCGACCAATTCTGACTTGGAGCCTCGCTCATTGACACCCCGCAGGTGGGCAACATACCCCAATGATTATTTCTCCTCGGACCACCTCGCTGTCTATAACGGAATGACATTCATGCCATCGGACGTCGCCAATTCTCGTCACAGTATTACCTTCACTGCAGAAAGAAGAGCTCTTTGGGAGCAAATCATATCAGGAACTCAATCTGCAAAAGCACCTGTTCCCCCCTGGAGATTACCTGGGGCATTTTCTTCCCTGCAATCGCACATCGAGTACCAACCACCTCCACCCCCCTCCGCCCCCCCTCCACTGCCACCTTCTCCACCTCCATTCCCGCCGTCGCCGCCTGCATACCCTCAATACTGTGCACTAGTCGCGGACGATGACTCAAATAACGGCGACATGGACATGGATCTTTCAGACGATGAATAGCGCGCTTCACCCCTATGCTAGCATGCTCTCGTACTTCACAAATCATAGGGGTATCATATGAGTCAGTAAACTCCGCGATGCTGCCCGCACTCGAGTTTGAGTACATCATGACATCATGACGGATGCTAAGGACATTAGGAGTCTGGTCGACAACCTGGTCTACGTCAACTCATGAATCAAATCTACCATGTCTCGCTCAATATGCATCACTGCCGCTGATGGCCAGACTGGCCACTTGATTACCGAACTGCTCCTCTCCAACCAGTTCAGACCGAAGTTCAAAGAATTATTTTGCGTCACCCTCCACCCCGAGAAATGCAAAGATCTCGAAACGATGGGGGCTAAAATCATCGCTCATAAACACAGTGATCCCGCGGGGCTTGTGCAATCCCTTAAGGAATCTGGTGCAGACACCATATTCATGATCCCTCCTGCACACGCCCATAAGCTTCGACTCGCACGGGACGTGCTCAAGGCTGTGGCAGCCGCTGAGATCAAAAACACAGTCTTGCTCAGTGCAGCTGGGACTGACCTTGCTGAGGAAAAGGCTCAACCCCACCTTCGCCAATTCACAAAGATCGAAACCGAAATGATGCACTTGCGGTATACGGGGGGCACGAAGGCAGGGACAAGCCAGTGTATCATTCGGTAAGAGCTACGATACCTTCAAAATTTCCGGCATCACTTATTGTTGCAAAGCGCCGGGTATTACGCCGAAAACCTATTGCTCTATGAAAAGGACATGAAGAATAACGGAAGGCTTCGCCTGCCGATCGGTGATGTGAATTCGTTCGCCCCTATCGCGCTTGGCGATGTTGTCAAGGCCGTAGCGAACATTCTTGTCAGTGAAGGGCCGAAAGGTTTGAGTGATAGATTCCGAGGCCAGTTGATCACGCTTACGGGGCCCACGTATGCATATCTTGAGTTCTTGAATTATACAAACCGCCTTAATCACCCCCTAACACAGGATGTGCAACGGTGTTGAACTAGCCGCTGCAGCTTCCCAAGCTGGAGTTAACATTGAATTCACCGATATCTCTGAGTAAGCCTATGACATACGTTCCCAGTATTTACTTTGTTGAGCTGATGTATTTTTTTCAGCACGGAAGCGAAGCAGCTACTTGAATCGGACACTGATGTTGACGACTCCGAGAAACAGTATCTTCTCGAGTACTACTCGCTTGTACGCGAGGGGAAAACGAACTATGTCAGTACTCTTGATTTCGCGCCCATAACAGGGGAAGGACCTACGAACCCCCCTGACTTTTTCAAAACGTATGGGTCGGCAAAGTGAGTCACACTCTCTTGAGTTCGTCTTCCCCAATCAAACATTGTCATCTTAGACATCACATCGTCTGTCAGTGAATGGAGAATTGGCAAAGCAAACCAGGCCTTGGAAAATCGTCTGACCAAAAGCCAAAAGTATCGTTATTAATCTTTTTATGCGAGAACTGTATGATACGCTTATGTGGACTAGCAGGTACTTCAAGAAGTTGAGGATTTGGAAGTTCTGAACGTTCGATTGTCGGTATTGACGACTACTTATGTATAACGCGCCTATTCGCAAATGGTCCATGACAACTTTAATGTAAACTACTACTGCACTGATCCGTAACCTGACGCGCAGTTCTGCTTGGCGATGCTAGCAGAACCACTACGAATGTAGCAGATTCTAGCAAGAGGGCATTTGCCCGTGCATGGCGGGGTGAGTATCGAGCCCTTTCCTTGGTATGAATTGAAGGCCTAGGAACAAGTAAGACAACAAGTTAAAAATATCCAGTCACAAACTTACCCGCATCAAAGTCGGGTCCACTTCCATCTCTGAAATAACATGTATAGCGACGGTGGTGGAAAAGAAGAAACACGCACGCTCAGTCACAAGATGCCACCAGGTCGCGTTCAGTGGGTCGGTTGCTCCCCAGGTAATGTTTCCTCCATATGCCTCACGAGTGCTATACTCGAACTCGAAAGTAGGGCCGAATTGAGTCTGCGAGTCCAGCGCAGGATAATCGTTGACGTAACTCTTCCAGCTGCAGGGAACTTGTAAGCAAAAGACCAGCTAATGACAGCAGTCCAGAGAAAACTGACGTATAAGCCTCGACCACTTCAAAAGTCTGCGTGGATGTATAAGCTAGATTTAGCAGATGTTAGCAGGAAAACCTACAGCAGAGTCAATTTCATAAACACGGAACCCAGAGTTTAGGTTGGTGAGGGGTGTTACAGATGGCCCAGTCTGGAAGCCGAGTTAGATTGATCGTTACCATGAACTCGTCAAAGGACACACCCATGATACCGCCTGAGCGGTCTCAGCACTTATATTCGTACCATTATTGGCATAGAAGATCTGGACCAGGAAGATATGTCAGCGTTCCCTTTATGAAGTGGCATTGGCTCATACGGATAGCTGGTCCTCGTGTGTATGACCCCAGAAAATGTCTGATCATGTGAGTCGTCAAACTTGTTCGAACATCATAGAGAAATAACATACTGGCAATGACGTGAGGGGAAAAGCGATCAACACTAGGTATATCAGCTCCACGTAGAGTAAATTTGACATCCAGCAGACTTACATTTGGTAAACTAACGCAAACGCTGCTCAGCAAATTGCACATTGATCGGGAAGTTAAACTTACAGAGATTGGTTGGGTTCGGCAACGAATTAGAACCATCCCAACCGCTAACGACGTGGCCAATGATCCAAACTGAGCATCATCAGGTCGGTTGAAATGTAGTACCACCTATCAGCGCACCTCGGTCTCCCGCGTCTTCCGCATCCTGAAGTTCATCGGTGAGGAACCTCATTATTCCAGAAACGTCTGGTTCGGATGAGTTGATATAATTGAAGTAGTTTGACCTTTGCACAGTTTAGATCATGGAGCTTTGACCGTATCTAGACCATTGATCACGTACCTGTACCCTGTAGACCAGTTTGTCAGTGCTCATGCCAGTTAAACGTTTCGCCTCACATAAGTTGGTATCCAAGCTGATTACCCTCAGGCCATCTGCACGCTTGACCATGTATGCTGCATAGTGAGCGCGCGAAAACTCGACGGAAGCCTCCGGAAGCCATCCCTTTTGCTCCCATAACGCTGTAACGTGGTCGTATAGCCTAGTAGATTGGTAACGCATGAAGTGGAAACTGATGAGAGAAATTTTACCAGCTGAACTGTTGCCCCAAAGCGCCCCCTAGGGATAAAGGTGAAGCTAGATCTGGTAGACAAGTATCGTGATTTCCGAGTGTAGCATAGGTAGGGCCAGGTCCGAGCATGCGCTTGAATAGATCATAAAGGACGACCTGCCAGGATGCATGATATGTAACGGTCCAATTTTGAAACACAAATATTACCTCAGAGTACTCGTTCAAAGCCCTTGAAGGGAAGTGAGAAAAGACGGATAATAAGTATTAAATACGTACCTAGACTGCTGGTTTTCTGGGTCATGCGCCAACATGTCGCCAGTGAACAAAGTAAAGTCGAAGCCAGTTGATTCAGTTCCGGTCAACTGTGGGATGGCCTCTAGCACGGACGTGATCAATGAATATGGAGCGTCGCTAAAAAGACATCAAAACGTGTTCCTTCAGTGAAGGCGAGCTCTAACCAGAGGAACGAGCCGTATCGTGGCGCAGGAAGGAGGGGTGTCTGAGGGCTGAGAGAATTGTAAGCATTGTCGCGGCAACACAAACCACTGGTGCAGTTTGCTTCCGCGCCGTTCGCATAACCTGGTAAAAGAAGATCAATGGAGATAAACAATGTATACGTGTAAATGCCGCGCACGGGGATCAATATGCAGGTCCGAAATATGCAAGACTTTGAGCAGTTGGCCACTGGGCTGCTTCGGAGGGGGAAGAGGGTTGGGCTTTGGCTTTGCAAACCAGCCGGTGAGGTTGAGAGTCGTTGTCGTAGGCGCTGGACATAAACCAAGGAACTCAGAGCAAATCGACTGGAAAACATCGTGAGATACAAAACATTCTTCCGTTTCAGCGACTTGTTTTACCTGTCCGTCGTATCCTCCAACATCGGCAAAAGATACAACTTGAGTAATGATCGGTCCCATGACGAGGGGTCCATAACTTTTTTCGCAAGAGGATGAATAATTGAAGTACTCGCAAAGCGTCAGAGCCAGATTCGTCCCTTGTTCAGGAGCCGCAAGAGCAAGAAATTTTGCTACTTCTAGGGAGGCCTGGCACCGTGCACATGTACTAAACATTGGGTTTATTGCAATAGACTTGATCTGCGCTACCGCTTGTTGAAGAAGCTTTTGGGAGGACGCCTTGGGTGGAAGCGGGTGAGGATCCACGGTGTCATACTGTCAAAGCCGGAGGGTTAAAACGATAAAACCGACGCGCACAGTGGGAGTGCACGTTACCTGGGGAATGTTTTGCGGGTCTGTCAGGGAAAAGGGAAAGATTTCATGCTGAAGAGCGAGTTAGTTTCAGTTGCGCAACAGTTGCAGTAGACATTTACCGTGACAGGATCTGAAATGACTGGCTGCGGCTGCGCAGAGGTAGCCGTTGGACTATTATAGTAATGAGAGTAGAGAGAAGTTGGGAACGCTCCTGGGACCGCATATGAAGAGGGAACAGTACTAGTAGTGCTATCCTCTGCAGCCAGGACGAACTCGGATCCCTGCAAGTAGTGACTCCAAGCTAAAGTGGCTAAACCTAAGAAATACCTGGTTTTAACAAACATTCCAAGCCTCGTGAAGTAGGAAGATGAACTGCAGGTACGAGGGCTTCGCACAATACGATGAAATTCCGGCTCATTATTTCATTAAAGGCTAGACTCTCGTGTGAGGGATCTATCGGTTACTTCGAACGTTCGAACGCCGCGTGTTGATATTGATCAGGTGCCCTTGCACGCGGATGCAGTGCCCAATCAGGAAGTGAATATTAATAGGCCCGATAAGACGGTAATTAAACTTCGTCACTATGGATAGTATGTACTTAAAGCTTAAGCCCGCACTACACATATATATACCAAGCTGTTCGAGCGCTCACTCCAAACGTTGCCTGGAAAAACTCGGGAGGGTACTATCAGCGCCGTTCAGCTTTGGGATTCAATATTATACCCCCCATGTATTGACTTTGCGCTTTTACCTTTAGACTTCGTATTACCTTCTTGACAGTATCAGCTTCGACACCATGTGCAACGCAATCCGTTTTGTAGCTTCTTGCTTCTTGACCACACGAACCACCCGCTCGTCCATTCACCGGTATCACTACCTAATGTCATGGTCTCTCGTATTTAGTTCGCGTCGTCCCATCACATACCTCAGTATTGTTCTTGAACTTACTGAGTGTGTGCTCTCGCTAGTTATTCTAGCGCGACCACCATGTGCACGTCACAAACGTGTCTGGGACGCAATGTTCAGAACATCGACGAATGTCCAAATTGAGAAGCTTGGGCAATGTCACAGCAGGAAAGTAGAAGGAGGACCATCTAGAATACTTGCACACCGATTATGAATTGCATTCCTTCTCCCTGGTTTTGAGGTTGCCCTCATCGTGCGCTGGCAACGTGATCTCTGGACCTACTAAAACAAACCCTGCTGCCATTCCAAGAACCGGTGCTTCATTCAAGGCATTTTACTCCGAGCTGTCCTGAAATGTTTCGTTGGCCAAAAAATGCAATGTTTGAAAAGCGAGGTACAATATAACAGTCCAATAACAATACATACATTTATACTCCGGCCAGTTCGGACACAAAGGTGCCCCACACTCCATGCAATCTTCGTCAAAATCGTCTATGTATTCCTGGCAATGAGCGTTAGCCATGGCACAAAACCCCGCAGGATAATAATTTGCATCCCGTCACGAGGACTACACCCTTGTTTGACAGTGAAAGCCCTTCCTCGTCGGGTATATCTTCCTCCGCGCAATCTTTGCATAGTGTTGTCTTTCGACACTCCGTGCGTGCACGGATATGTCTACACGGGCCTTCGAAGCAATCAAACGTCTGACATCCCGGACAACGTCGACCGCTCCTCTGAATTTCTTTCTGAGCACATAGCTCACAAACCCAGGTTCGTCCACAAGGGCAAGTTACATGACTGCGATTGACTTTAAAACAATCAAGACAAACATCCGGATCATCATGTACACGAGGCCGCCAGATGTGCTTGCTGCGCTTCTTCCATGAGCATTCCAAGACGTATCAAGCAACAGGCGCATACCTTGATTCTCGCGAACTTGAGTTGCTTTTTCCAGATGGATCTGCGCCCTCTCGGTGAATCTGTTGGAAATGGACATGAGATATATTGAAGATGTGATCAACGAGTCGCTCGTAAAAATCCTACGAAACAACATCATTCGAGTGCAAGGTGTTTTGGATGCAAAGTCGTGCATACCTGGATATCAACGTCGAGGAGACCCAACATTGACCATCCATTGTCAGGCCCAGCGTAAGTGGTGTTTGTCCTCGATGACGACGGCGTGTGCTTGGCCATCTACGTACACCATGTCTCCTCAGACTCCACTGATTAGTCGCCTTGAACAGTTTTTCGGCGCAGCCGTACAATGGAGAATAAGATCATTGCACAAGTCAAAGAAATGATTTCATCAAAATAACATACCTCCCTGCAAATACTGGACTTGGACAGTCCCATACTGAAGCTCTCGCTCGCATCATTTCCACCTGGTTCTTCATTGACCAAGTTAGCATGTTGATTGGGAGTTTTGGGGTGAAATCAGCACCCATCTCGTATCTTTAAGAGTTGCTATTCTGCATGTCATAGGAGTAGCCTCGAATACCTGAGCTTTGGATATATTCACGTTCAGGGAATATCCGCCTCATTCGTTTGTGTACATCTCGGAGACGTTTTCGCAAAAGCAAATGTTTGCATTCGGGAAGTAATACGAAAACCTGAACGGGTAAAATTACTTCGAAAGCCAAAGCACATCGAGCGAAAGTGACAAAAGGTTTTGTCGACATCCGTCTGTCAAAACTCGCTACTGGCCGATTCCGAGTCGACAGACTTCCCTCGGCTGCGAGTATCCTGAAGCTGCCACATGCACAACTAGAAGTCTTCCTTATTTCGATATGTCAATGCCAACCAAAATTTGTTGTTTAAAAATCGACATACCTCGCACCCCCGACACCCATCTTCCGTGGCGCAAGTCAGGCACATAAGCTCCCCACATTCCGGACACTCTTCGTAGTCCGTGCAATCGCGGCAATGAACACTGTTACAAGATTCACAACGGGATTCACGCTCGTTAAAGCAGTCTATACAGATTCTGCCCCGACATTCTTCGCACGTCGCCACAAGGAATGCGCTCTTGTTTGCGCTTGAAGACTCCTCCTCGTCAGCCATGTCTTCTTCCATGCAATCGTTGCATAGCGTCATCGTGCGACAATCCGCGCACACGTCAATGTATCTGCACCTGAAGAAACAAAAGCAGTTCTGACATTTTGGACAGCGTCCACAATGATTCAGAATTTTCTCCTCAGTGGCACACGTGCCACAAATCCAGTTGTCCTCGCAGAGACAAAGTATGTGACCGTCCATGGGTCTGACGCAATCAGGACAGATTACGCCACCAATAAAATGTGCGCGAGAGGAACAGTCGTATTGGCTGCACTTCTTCGTCATTGCAAGGGTCGAAAAGCATGACTGACACGAAGATACAAAACTAATGAGGTTGGCACCTTTACAGCAACTGTTATCGCAGGTGACATTCGAACAACCATGACATATGACGAGAAGGTGAGAGCAGATCGGACAACGAGGATAGTTTGACGAGGATGATGAAATGGGTGTTTCAAGTGCTCCAATTGCTTGTGAATGGGATATCAAACTATGATCGACGAGTCGCTGGTAATAGTTCTACGAAACATTGTCATTTGAATGTGAAGTGCTTGAACACTGAGTTGTACGCACTTGGAGACCGACCTCTGAGAGACTTTGATTCATCACTGACTATCTGTGCCCCCGCGTTCGCTGTGAGAACCTACTTATCAGGTTTTCATCTTTGAGTTTACGTGTCCTCATGCTGTGCGGTGGTCTCGAAACTAGATGGTTTAGGAAGGGGCGAAAGCGCGTTCTAGGAACTATGCTCACTGTACTGGTCCGGATATTTCCGGTGTTCCTAGAATGTCGGCGTCGAGAGTAGCTGTGTGACAGCAGGTGACTTGCGTCTTCTCTCACCATGGCCAAGCTTACCTTGATCAGAAGTTCGATATCGTGCTGTGTCTTCAAAGGCTGTATCATCTTCGAAATCGAACCACCTGTGCGTGTTCTCTCGACGCTCCAGCCGTCCTATCGACACGGCAGAACTGGTGCCATAAACCTGAGGCTCTACTTATTTCCGAAATCCTCGCGACGATTTCCGCGCATGTGAATCAAATGCTGTCGACCACATTATCTGTGGATGAGATATCATATTGGCTCGGAAATCCCTAACAGCACTTGCAACAGCATGCAAAACCTTCCACAAGGTGTGCTGTGGGCTGAAATAAATCAGTTAGAGCAACTGCTAGGCTGTGTCTACTGATATATCGTAGTGGTGTCAGGGTCAGTTTCACGCTGTTCATTTCTTTGCTGACCAGCATTTACTAAACAGTGGGACTGCTGGACGGAAGACTTCGAACCATTATCTGCCAATGACGCACGTCGATTTTTGCTGTCGCTCCTCCTGTGTTCCCTCGTTGATTTTGCCATTCGACCGCCTTTTTCATCTTCTCTCGATCATCCATATCGAGCGTGCATCTTTCCGGGGCTGCAATCGTTCACCCGAACTCAGAGTCGGAGGAGTTCTCTGAGCAATAATGGACTGTTCCTGCACATACGCTACCTCGTTCTCCATTGGCCGTTTTTCAAGATTTGAACTCTATTGCGGCCTGCTGTGCTTCCACCATCTGGAGTAACTCGCGTCGTCATCCACCTACTATTACAGTCCGCAGATTATTCACAGCGCTTCGTCGATGATCACTTTTTTTTGCTGCGAGTGTTAAATGATACGGTCAATCTCGATATCGATCCTGCTGCTGAGCCAACACAACATATCTCCCTATGCATATTGGACTTTGACGCACCTCTCAGAGTCCCATAGGATGCTGAGGCTCTCCCTTCCATTGACCAAGTCAGCACGTTCACTGGCACAGATCGGGAGCCTTGGGATGAAGTTAACACATATCCTAAATATCTGAAAGCTGCTGCGCTGCGTGTCACAAGAGTCGCCGCGAATACCCGAGTTAGCCTAAGGATGTGTTCATATTCCTGGAGTTGCCGTATTCGTTTGCGTTCGTTCGTACATGTTGGAAAGGTTTATGCAAAAGCGAAGTTTGCATTGGATGATTGGAAGGCAAAAACTTGTTTTTGTGTGCATCAGTTTGTAGATGCCTTGTTAATACATTAGGTTGGTCACGCGAGTAATGGGACGCCATGCAAGGCTCTCAAATGTTATATATCCTGCTAGTACAAGCGATCCATGCAAACAAAAAAACCTGTTACGACTGATATCTTTCGGCTGAACGAGTGAATGGTGTGTATGGTAATAGGTATCTACCGGGAGCATCATCGAATGTCAGAAATATCTTGAAGTAATATCTGCAGCAACGAGGGAAAGGACAGGAAGCCTAAGGGGAACCTGAAGCGGATGGACGAGTGTGTCGAGTGCGCGATAGATGCGGGAAGCACCTTGCAAGGACTGCAAAGCAGCTGGTGTGTGGAACATGTTCAACGTCCAGCGGAGAAGAGGGTCTGTTAGTTGCAGCAGAAGCATTGGTATTCCCTGTCTGCAAGGGTCCCGATGTGGATCCACTCATCACATTGGATGTCCCTGCTGCTGCCGTGCTGCTGCTTGAGGCACCAGCGTGGGCTTTCTGACGAGGCTGTACAGGCCACGGCAGATGTCGTTTTCCACTGTGGGCATTAGCAGTGCGCTGCGAGACAATATCAACATCACGAGATGGGTGTCGAAAGGTCAGGCAAACTTACATATTTGCCTCGTGTAGCGGAGACGTCCACAAGGGGAATATTGGGTGAGCGAGGAGCACGGCCCTGGGGAGAGGAAGAGCGAGAAAAGAGACGATTCATCATGTTCTTGATTCCGGACCCTTCAGCATGGCGGGTGGTGGTAGCAGCGCGATTGTTACGTCCAGGATCAAACTATCAAAGGATCGTGAGACGTGCATCGAATCTAATGTATCATATGGACTTACATCACGGAAGAACTCACTGGTCGGTATTGGAGCGCGTCTTGGGCAAGGTTGTGTGCTTGGGATGGTTTTCTGCAGGAGTGAAGTTAGGGATCGTACAAATCGACGGGCGCGAAAGCGTACTTTGAGAATTTTCTGTGTGGACTGTATGACAGGTCAGTACGAAGCATGACACGAGAAGATAATTTGCTCACTTGTTGGGACTCCTTCTCTGATTCGGTCAGAGGAACTGTCCATGTGCGAACAAGGTTGTCCCAACAGCCTGTGGCGATGAGCTGGCTGTCCTCGGAGAAAGCCAGACCGAAGACGGCATCAGGATGCTCGAGTGGCTCACCGATGGGTTCGAAATCATTGGCCAGGTCAAAGAACCGTGTCGTTTTGTCGTGTGACGTGGTTGCAAATTTTGTGCCATTGGGAGCAATGGATAGTGACCAAATGTTATTGGTGTGGGCGTCAAACTGTTTGATGATATCTCCAGTGGTAGCATCTGAGATTCGGATGTCGTTGTCGCTTGCACTGATGAGATGGAGACCATCTGGAGTGAATGCGACTCTGTATGCCCGCTGTTCTATTGAGTAATTCTTTTCCCGTTTCTGCATTCCAGACGATGATGTGTTCCTGAGTGCCTGCTGCCAGTTTTGTCCCATCCGGGGAGTACGACACTGAGAGTGCATCACTGCCCACTTTGAGTGGTCCCAGGATTATTTTTCCCGTCTCCCTCTCCCAAATGCATACCGTTCCGTCCCATGAGGCACTTGCAAATGTCTCGCTGCCTGGTGCAAATACAACATCCCAAACAGCACCCTTATGGCCATTGAACGAGATGGGCACTCTTTTGAGGTCTCTCTTGTTTGTCGCAACTTCCCAGACTAGGATCCTTCCATTCCTGCTTCCACTCACAATCCAACGCCCATCAGGGGACGCTGCGACACTACAGACTTCGTGATCGTGACCCAACAAAGGCTCTCCCACTTGTTTTCCCGTGTCCAGATCCCACACCCGAAGAGTCTTGTCTTCGGAGACAGTGATAAGGAGACAAGTCCCAGCGATGAAAGCTACGCCGAGAATATGATCTTTATGACCCTTGAGCGTCATTTGGACATAAGGTGGTTCCTTTCGAGTCGGCGCTTTAGATGATGCTTTGCCCGTGGTGGCTGCCATTGACTCTTGTTCGGTGTCTCGGTCAACAGGAGAGTCGAGGAAGTAGCAGTCACTTGGCTGCGCTTTGGTGAGTAGTTGTTAAGTTGGATCTCCTACAGGATGCTCAGTTCATATGTTGACCTTGCTGTACACACGTGGTGTCCTGCATACAGGTTGGCAAGATTTTCAGCGCTTTTTTCAGGAGTTTCCTGTACTAGGAGGCGCCGTGGTTGCTTTTGCTGTGCTTCCATGATATGGCTGATACAATTTCTCTGCTACATCAGTCGACCCGAGATCTTCTTCGATGCTGTTCTTGTATTGCTAGATGACCATATGGATGCATCGAATCAATGGTTTGGCTGCAGTACCATATACCCTCAGGGAGACCAGCTTTTTGCACCTGAGGGCATCATTTAGTCTCTTACAGTCTGGCAGCTACCCTCTCAGTACACTCAATGACATGGCCCATTGATTCCATTTATAAGATTTCATGTGCAAGTTCAACCACCACTGTTTGGACTTGTAACTCTGCATGATCCATATACGTGAGATTCTGCACACAAACCGCTATCAATACAGCATCATTAATGATGGAATGCCACTATTACATGCATTCTCATCGATTACTCCCACCAATATATGATCCATCCCATGTAGAACTGGCTTTTATCCGCATTTCCCGTCCTCGTATAGGACCTTGCAGAACGCTAACGCTAGTGGTATGGGTTCCACATTAACATCGCACATCACAAACTCCCGGATCGCAACCAAGATATCATCTGGACATATGTGACTGATCCCCTTGAATGGGCTCATGCCCGTGAGCGCCCGGGGTATGAACATGGATGTCTAAGTCTGGTTTCAAAAGGAAATCGTAAGTAGTCCCTGTCGGTGTTTGGGCATAGATCTGACGGACACAGAAGGGCCGTGATCATAATTTGCTATAGTAATAGTCGGGCAACGGTACTGTCTTCTTGTCAATGTAATGGATCATTGGCTTGATGGCTGTGGTAAAAACACAATCTCAGCATGAGGAGAAGCAGCTTTTCGTTCCTGGCAGTCTCATTGGCTGGCAACTACCCTCTTGGTACACTAGATTAGCCTTATACTAACCACTATAAGTTAATTCCGTCTACAGGTTGTCACGCGCAAGTATAGCCACCATACGGACGCGCGGCTCCACATGTGGGTTGGCCCATATACGCGCAAGACTATGCACAGACTGTCATTGATATGGGCCGTACGGCCCATCATCGAGCGATGACAGGACACTACTGTTACACACATTCTTGTCGAAGAACACCGCCAACATCAGATTTTTCTTGTGTTTGCGCACTCTGCGGCTGCGCGAGCCAGCTCATGTGGGACTGATTCGCGGCTCACAACATTATAGTTAGCTACTGTCGTGCAGGCCTTGCCCGCTTGGCATGTTTAGCTTCAACTCATCGATTTATCTTAACTAGTCTTAGCCAAGTGGTTAACAGATTCAAAATCTGTTCTTCCTGGATCATGTGGGTTCGAAACTCGCCGACAATAGCTTTTCTCTATGTTCGCACCCCTGGCATGAGCTCATGAAGGTCTTCGAATGCCAACGACAACACTCCTCGCCCAGTGGTTAACAGATTCGAAATCTGTTCTTCCTGGATCGTGCAGGTTTGAAACCTGGTGACAATAGTTTTTCTACTAGGGGTCGGCGTTGCCGACTTTTTACCTTGCGGAGCTCTTTCGCTTAATTTGACTTGCCCACAATATCAACAGGGCCAAATATCTTTGATTACTCGCCGTTCAGACGCACAACATTCTGAGCATGATACAAAAGGCTGTAAACTTTCATATGGGTCCATATTCACCTTCATTAAAACGTCTCTCGGTGTCTTCTACCAGTTCTCGCATTCTTTCGTCTTCTATACGAAGATCTTCCAAAGGGTGTCGAAGGGGTCTACGATGCAGCTTAGCGTGTTCGAATTGCTGAAGACTTCCAACGCCGAATGTGCTTTTATATTTAGTATGTTTAATTCGTTATGTGCGTTATTTATCGTTGATGAGTGTCTCATCAGTCGAACACCAATCTCGCGGCACTCCTCATATCTTCATTCAGACTGCGGCCGCTGTCCAAGAAGCCTTTGAGTCTAGCGGGTCTCGAATGATTTATACAGACTCTCCTACCATCCTTGCAGATCAAGTGTTATGTGCAGATCCAGCAGAGTTTAATCGTACGTCAGTTAGTTATATGTTGGCGTCTTTTACCCTAATTTATTACTGAGGAATCGCTCAGAAAATGGCACGCGACTTAGATACTACAGTGGTGTATGCAGATACACTTCTGTTAGCAGAACGGTTGAGAGATGCTGCTCTCAAAATTCCTCGAGTGGTCAGTTAAGAAATTGGTGCTTGGGCTGTTTGTCTGACAATTAACTTACGGACTTTCTGTGTTCTCTTTTGCCGCATTTTTGATAATGGTTATGTCGTTCGTTCGTCGTATTGTCCGCTGTGAATGAAGTCCATGACACCTGTTGTGATGACATAATCTGAGTTAGTCATTTGCTTGTATCTAATTGCGGAATGCGCCAGGCTGTTGACTTTCATACAGAAATGACGGCAAGCAGCTACATTTGTAGAATCGCAGGTCAGACGATCAATTGGAGTCGTGGTTCATATTCAGGCGAGTAGTCTTTGTCACTATGCATTTTTTCATATCTTGGACAGGTTTCAGGTATAAATCAATTTGGACGCATTCGCGCTCTCGTATGCTCTGGATATTGGAGCACATACCATCCTCGCATATGCTGTGTGCTTTTGCATCAGCGTGGTTGAAACAACCTCGAGGTTAATTGTTCGCGCTGTTATCGAACCTCGGGCCGTTCATAGCATGGTATATGTGAGGGCCAGTGATGAAATGAGTTTGCCGGATGGATTTTAAAAAAGTAGTGTAATTATTGTTCGGGAGGATCGTTCTTGAAGATACTTTGTACCATTATCTCATTCGCCATAATGTAATTCTGTGCAGAATCAGCAATAACGCAGTCTAATTCATTTTGGTGTGTCTGGTGTCAGACGGTTCGCGATGATCACGTGTATATTTTGTGATGTTTACCACCACAGGTCACGCCGCATTCATAGACCTTGCTCCGCAAGGTAATATGATCGCAACTTGAGCATGAGCTCATGGATAAGTCTTCAAACGTCAAACATAAGACTCATGGCCGAGAAGTTCACAGATTCGAAATCTGTTCTTCCTCTATAGTGCAGGTTCGAAACCCGCCGACAATCATTTTTCTCCATGATCTGAATACTGCACAATTGGCAGTCATTCATTGTGAGCAACATCGAATTGCACGTGTCTTCAAACTTCAAATACTGGGTACATGCGGTAATATTTACTCCAACGTAACCGGAAAGGGCGGAAAGTTGTTTGTCGAGTACGTGAAAGGCGAGGGAACCACCTTGTGAGCATTGCACAGCAGCCGATGTCTGGAACATGTTCAACATCCAACGAGGAAGGGTGTCTGTTAGTTGCACTGATATTTCCGGTCTGCAACATTACTGGGGTGGCTGCCCCGGATCACATTGGATGTCCCTGCTGATGGCGTGCTGCTGCTCGAGGCGCCAGCGTCGGCTTGCCGACGAGGACAATGTAGCGGTCTCGACAGATGTCGTTTTCCACTCTGGGCATTAGCGGTGCGCTGTGGGGAAGTGTCACCATCACAAGATGGAGGTCGAAGGGTCAGGCAAACTTACATATTTGCCTCGTGATGCAAAGACGTCTACAATGGGAATCCTGGGAGAGCAAGAAACATGTTCCTGAGGAGAGGAAGAGCGAGAAAAGAGACGAGTCATCATATCCTTGATTCTGGACCCTTCAGTATAGCGCGTGGTGGTAGCAGCACGATTGTTGTGTTCAGGATCAAACTATCAAAGGATGATGAGACGTGCACCGATTCTATTGTGACATATGAACTTACATCATCGAAGAACCTACCAGTCAGTATTGGAGCGCGTTTTGAGCGAGGCTGTGGACTTGGGATGGTTTTCTATGAGAGTGAAGTTAGGGATCATACAAAGCGACGGGCGTGAAAGCACACTTTGAGGATTTTCTGTGCAGACTGTATGGCAGATCAGCATGGATGACATGACGAGAGAATTTGCTCACGTGTTGTCTTGTTATGAGACGAGCGAGAGGGGCGAGGAGTCTATACAACAAGTACAATCTCAGTATCTTGAAAGAACTGAGATGTTAGGGCGTTTCTACTGACGCTTTTACAGCAGTGTGCGAAACTAACGGCAATCGCAGAAATTTCGCCACTTCCTTGACCAAAAAGGAAATCGATACAACAACGTGTCATGGACGCTCACAAGCGTTTATAAACTTTTCAGACAACGTTGGCGACACCAGCTAGCTACGTAAATGCTATGGTTAACCGAAGAATCAGCAATGATCTCAAGAAGTGCGCACTTCAACTGTGGGACCACGGATGGGAATTGGAAGATATCTGTGAAGCATTTGGTATTAGTCAGAGGAGCTGCTACTGCTGGTGACAGATCTTTGAGGAGTGTGGTACTGCCATGAAGCCCCCTTCTCCACTCATGGGATGTACTCGAACAATAATGTGAGCCCTGCTGATGGCTGTTGAGGATCTCTTTGCTGAGGACTCTGACCTTTTTCTTGATGAGGTCTGTACATGGCTCACAATCAAGCATAATATCACTGTCAGCACTTCCACCCTGTCATGCAATCTCAAGGATGCTGGTCTCACTCGAAAAATCCTTTGAAAACTGGCTTCCAAATGTGATGAGGTCTGTTGTGAGGAATTCAAAGGTAGTCTTTGTGAGGACTTTATCAGAGATGGCTTGGAATTCATTGTCATTGATGAAACGAGCAAGAATAACTGGACATATGCATGACATTATGGACAAGCACTGAGTGGAGATCGTGCACAGCTTACAGATGTTTTTGTTTGAGGCAATTGTTACTCATTGTGTGCTGCTATGACCATGCAAGGATACATTGCTGCTCAAGTAGTCGAAGGCTCATTTGATGCACAGGAATTCTATGACTTCATCACTGAGGATGTGGTGATTATGTATCCTTTCTGTGCCTGTTTAGCTTGAAGATATGAATTTTTCTAGCTTCCATATATGCATCCCTTCCCTGGAGAGCATTCCGTCATTGTCCTTGATAATTGCAGGATCCATCATAATGAAGATCTTGTTGACCTTGTCGAAAGTGCCAGTTTGTTTTTGTGACTATTTCTCCCTTTGTAAAACTAACATTGGATAGGTTGTCTGATACTCTACCTACCTCCATACTTGCCTGATTTGACACTGATTGAAGAGTCATTCAGTGCCTGTAAGTTACAAAAATTCATGTTATCTCTGTATCTAATCCATCATGGTTGACAGTCAAAGCTCATCTTTGACATCATGGTTATCAGTTGTGCCATCTTGAAGATCTGGTTGAGGCCCTTCTTGAAGCAACAAGTTGTATTACAGCAGAGAAGGCATACAGATGGTTCAAGAATGCTCATAATTGTACAATTTTGAATGTTTTATGCAATAAAACTGGGTGTGAATGAATGCTGTTTGAATGTCCAAAAAGTCTACAAGAGTGTGATCAAGAATGCTTGTGATTGTACAAGTTTGAATGCCTCTATGCAATAAAACTGGGTGCAAATGAATGCTATTTGAACATCTGCAAGAGGTGATGTGAGAAATACAGAATCATTTTACCCATGTGCCAGACTTTATTGCTTTGCAAAATTTCTTGTGTGCATCAAGAAAGGCCTGCCAGCTGAGTCTCGTAAATCAACCCACATCCCGCCATTCCTTGTCATCAAGTGTCTCAACTGCTTGATTTCCTGGCTGGTATTCAAGTGCCACAAGCTTTGCTTGATCATTGTCTGAAATGTGATACTTGGCACAAAACTCAGACAGAGATATGTTGTGGGAAGTTGTCAAACTGGGTAACAATGATGCTGAGGGTACCTTGCCAATAAGTTGCCCATGACCTTGCGCAGCTGGATGATAAGGTAGTGGGTATGGGTATCCACCAATGTATGGTGGTGTGTCATATCTGCATATCTGGATCTCAGATCTGACCCTTATCTCATCTCAGATCCACATTTTATCTCCAATCCTATCCACATCTTATCTCCCTCCAAACATCTTGTCATTCAATCTGTTCACTTGTCCAGTCTGGTCCACAACTCATCCAAATCCACAACCAGCGCTTGTCTCCTTTCGGTAACCCCCTAACTCTGGTATTTCAGTTATCTGTATATCTGTCCTGCTCCCTGATCCGTTACCTATGTTTCATTTCTGTTTCATGATTTGTGATCCGTTTCTACTTACCAATAGACTACCCATATGATTCATACATAGCCTCAGACTCTGATTCTGTTAGATACCTATAGTATATAACCTCCTGTAACTCTCTGTAGCACCTCAGTTCGAATATCATCTTAGTTCTACTCATTCCTGTCCTCCGGACTTGAGTATCTCTACTCTTGTCACCCTCCAAGACTTGTGATTGATTCCTATAGTCTATCTGTATCTGCCTCTGTCTCTGACAGTCTATTACCATTAGTTTCTAGTCTGGACTCGTCCAGATTAGCCCTACAATACCTATCCCACATCCAGAAGTCATCTGGATCCGCTATGATACTCATCCGACCTTCCGGACACATTAGTCTTGCCTTCCTGAAATAAGGGGCAATACTCGGGTAAGGGGCACAGCGCACGAGCTGAGGCTGAAGCCCTTCGGATCCAGTTATCCCTTGAGTATGACCTTAACATGGTGGCATATACTGGGATGGATGAAAAATTGATGTGAAGGACCAGGCAAATGAAGTGGGCCAGGAAACAGAGGACCATACTGTCCATGTGGATGTAGAGGCATAAGAGGAGGGATAACGTGCCCATGTGTGGGTTGAGGAGGCACTGGTTCCTGGCCAGCACCCTCAAGAGTTTGTTCCCATTGATGATGATGATAGAATTTGCCAAATGTTGAAATTGGGGCATCTGGTGGGGGATGTGGCACCTTCAGCTTCTGTGCAAAGTGGTTTGTTGTAGGAGGAGCTGACATGTCAGCTCTTCCTGCTGCCTAAAGCATCATTTTTTTTTAGCTTCATGCACCAATGAAAATAAGAGATGTACAATGGAATTTGCCCAAACCTTCACACACATCTTTGTCAACTCAAAATATGTGTCCGTCCTCTTGTCATGCCAAACACGCATGTTGGGAAAAAGTGGGTATCTGCTGACTGGATGCAGTGAATGAAGTTCAGCCTCAGCCTTCCTTTGTTTGGTAGACATATCATCCTTCAGAGTGTTTATCAGATGTGAGAGCAAAATCTAGTACAAACATCACATACAATCAATGAC